CAATGATAATGTTTTCACTTATTACAGGTGTAAAAATATATTTAAACGCATCTTACAGTAACTTGTGCCGAAAAAAGAGTATTTTAAATGTATCTAAGCGTTGCTCTATTCAGAACAAATAATATATTTCAAACATCAAACATTATAGCGGTATTGTTTTTAATGAAAACAAAAAAAAAACGTAAGAATAATGTTCAAAAATATATATAGTATAATAAAAATAAAAGCAATGCGCTCATTATGTGTGAAACAATTATTTGTTCTAAATAACAGCGTGTACTAGACAAAAAATGACAATCAAAGGGTGCTATCAGTTTTTATAATATAATATTTTAAAAACGGCAACGTCGCAACGGCAACTTCTGTCCGTCTGCACCACCAACACCGAAGAGGCATGAGGTTACCTAAAACCACCTAATTAGAAAACTTAATACATTGAAAGTTAAGTTCATAATAGATTAGAAAACTTTAACGTTATGCGGTAATCTGATGCGCTGCTGTGTGTACACACGACCGCACGTCACGATACCCACCACCGCAGTTCTATACGAAGCGAGGTCGGTAAGCCGTGAGTAATTTACAAGGGACAAACTATCTGAGACATATACCTATAATAGAAATGGTAATTTTGCAATAATATTGCAGATCTAAACATTGTAATAACTTATATGCGACTTTATATATAATTTTTTATTCAATAATACCTACTCTTAACGTTACTTCGTATCCGAATTCAAATAATAAAAAACGTTTGAAAATATCGTCTCTTAATTAAACAACTATAGATAAGATGTTTTAATATGGATTCTATATATGAAAAGAGACTATGTGCAGTATACGGTCCAGAATCTTCTGGCCACTGTGCGTTGAAAGTTTTTTATATTTATTCTGTGAATTTTATTTGTATTCCTCAACGTAACATATAATTTTATATATTGAATCCAATTTAATTAACATTTATATTTATTACTTTGTATCGTATTCTCGCGCGCGGTACACATTAATATATTCGACGTTAAGACAATGGTTGAATTATAAAATAATAACAAAACTTCAAGGTAACTAGAGATTCATCGTGTAGAATTAATATAAAAATCAAAATCTAAGAGTTCCAATTCTGTAGCTTTGCAATTGCAAAATTTATCTAATATATAATTATTGGACACTTACCCAATAATTAAGATTTTATTTTCCACAGTTTATCAATAAATAGATATTGTTTCAGTTTATAGTTAACGCATTATATTTTTATAACTTCTCCGTAGTAGGTTCTTCTTAAACAGCACTTACATTTTCTTTAAATCATTACAAAATATTAAAAAAAAATCCAACGCATTCTGCGTTTCTGTGCCATTTTTGGTGAGTGGAAATAATAATTAAATACTACATTTCTCTTTTACCGCGCGTTTTATAACTAAAAAGGAATCGTATAAATTGTATAACTATTGCATGGTACATACGTTATTTGGTCGGATACACAAGTGGAGGTAGACGTTCCTCAAGCTCTCTTTATCTCTGTCACTACGATACAACTAAATAAGGACAACAGGTAGACTTGCATTAGACATAGTAATTGGTTTAGATGTCCAATGGCAATGTTATTTCTATTCCCATCAAATCCTATCCCGTCTCATCCCAGACAGAGACCAGGGACAGAGTGGATTTTTTAATAATTCTTCATTTGAATGAAAAATTTATAAAACTACTGACTTACTATAACCATTGAAAGTCTACTCGGTGTCGGGATTAAATCTAAAACTAGTATATTATTAAGTAATATTTTCAATATATCAAGTGTACACTTACAAGCAAAGAAACCGTTCCACTTTATTAGTTTGAGCGTGTGCGGCTCGCTATAATATATTTTGAACTGGTGCCGCATTCAATTTCAAACTTTTCTTCAATTATTCATCACATTTGGGATAACACAAAATTTTATTACAGTAGTTTTACGGTGTTCATGTGTAATATTAAGAGTCGAGGGCTCATATTCAATCGTAATTTAATTTAACCTTACTTTAATTAAGTACATTCTTATTTTAAGGGGATCGTAGGATACATAGTAAGCAATTTTAAAACAAATCTTTTAAAAATATTCAATTGATAAATAGGAATCTTTTCCAGGATGAATTTAACAATCGCAAAGATGGCACATTTTTTTGCTCGCAAATGTAGTTACATAATACTACCTAATCACTAGGGACACCTGAAAGTAGTGCATACGGGCAAAGTGTGTTAATAAAATATTTCAAGACGTTCCCACCGGAGCACGCGACTATATATATATATATATATACATAATGGCAAAATAATAACAAAAATTAAATCATAGTCACAACTTGGACGGAATCACCGCGCAGCTTTAGTAATAGCAGCAACATAGTTTTGTTACTTACAATGTATAATAATAATGATTTTTTAACATAGACATACATTATACAAATCATTATACGTATTTTCGATTCGACATTAAATTGGCCCAGTTTAATAAAGTTTATTTAAAAAATAAGATTTGTTCTTTTGTATCACAGGATGATACTTTATAATACAATATGAAAGATAAATCACAGAGAAAAGTATACGAAGCGTTAAAACATCGGGCACTATAATAAGCATAAAACTTCTACGATCAATTTGAACTTATGTAAAACTTGAAATCGATTATAAAAAGTAGGCTTTTTCTAGTAATATTTTAAGCAGAATATATATAATAATATTTTAATTAAAACCCACACTCTGCCCACACCGTGACCCTCCCTCGGGGACAGGTCAAAGATCAACTCGATTAAATTAACCCACTGAAATTATACATGACGGTCTATTTACAATTACAAACTAATATCACTACAACGTAACTGGATATTATGGCAACCGCAACAGTAAAGCTTAACCACGTGAACAAATATAAATATATAACATTTAAATTATTTACGCCAAAACATACACTCTGTGATAATTTAATAGTGTTGTGACAGAAACATGGACTATCTGTAAACCGATCAGTATTTCTTAAAACACGTTGTCTATCAAGTAAGCTCGTTTATGGCTGTATGGTTCAGATCCCTGTGCTTTAATTGTTAACATCAACTTCACGTTTCAACATAACACGATTTAGGTTTTTTTAAACAATCCAAAGTTTTTTTTATTCTCTGAAAGTGTTCGACTGGTTTAGAGTAAAAACTGTTCGACAGAATTGTATGTGCAATCGTAATGATATAAAAAAATACCGGTGAAGTGAAATACTCCTCGTATTATATAATATTTCATTGTGTTAAAATGTGTTAAACTTGGCAATTTAAAACTACTGGCATGTCATACTTTACAATCAACATTAGCTATAATTTATTACTATTATTCCCGCTATAATTAATATAATTGCTGTGGTACTAAGGCACTATAACTATCCACGTACATTCTCTCATGTGTGTAATATTTGTGACCCACATCGAACGCCATGAGGCCAACGAGACGTGTGCTATCGAACCGGCGATAGATTTCAAACGACACCAAATGACTCTCGTTACATAAAACAAATACGACAGCGTTTTCAGATGATGGCCTATCGCACTGGTTGTGATCGATCGGAGAGATCGATAACTGGTGAAATCGATCGAGGAACGATCCCTTTTTATATTTCAAATCTATAACACTTCCACAGGCAAGATTCCTCTCCAACATAATACGATATACCCTCGCCTACGCGGCGACGAGCTCGTCGTTGGCGTTGACGTCGCCGTCTATGGCGGGCAGGTGGTCTATCACGGAGGTGAAGGTTTCGTTGTTGTTGCCGTCCTGCTCCCGCGCGCCGGGCTCGTTATCTAGCGGCGCGCGAGGTGTTAACGGCGCGGCATTCGGCGCCGTTAACACCTCGCCCGCATCGGCCGCATCGCCCGCGTCGGTCGCATCGGCCGCATCGCTCGCATCGGTCCCGTCGGCCAGCTCCTGGTAGTCGGGCGGCAGCTCCACGTGGCCGGCGGGCGCGGGCAGGCGCTCCGTGGACAGGTACCGCGGGGGGGGCCCGCGCGCCTTGTGCCGCACCGCCTCCGCGTAGGGCGGCGGGGGCGCGGCCGGCGCGGGCGCGGGGGCGAGCGAGTGGGCGGGGGCGGGGATGTGCGCGAAGTCGCCGTTGAGCAGGCGGATGGTGCGGCCGTTGAGCGTGTACGTGTCGTCGGCGTGCACGCGCACGAAGTCGAGCTCGTCGATGTTGATCTCCGCCACGTTGGGCGTGTCCGGCCGCGGGTCGCGCCGGAAGCTCGGGATGCTCAGGTGGAACCGGCCCAGCTGGAGGGTCAGTCTGGGGGGGGGGATACATATACTTATCGTTTATAACGTTGTGATCGATTAAAATAGTAGAAGCAAAAAACTATGATATGTGATACTCATCTCCTGCGTGCGAACATCCGACGCATCGTTAATGTCAAATATGCGATCGAAGTATCATCTATTAGATTCTAAAAAGATCCCAAGAACGAATCGGATAGGAACGAGCCTCCGTTCGTAAATCAGGAGAAAGGGACGATCGCAAATAGAATCGTATCAATAGTAAAATAATGCATATCTGACCTGTGCCTGTCGGCGTGGGCGGGCGCGTTGGCAGGCGCGTGGGGGGCGGGGGCGAGGGAGGGGGAGGGGGGCGCCACGAGCTCCACCTCCGCGCACTGCGGCACCTGCGGACCGACACTTGCCGTTACTCGCGCTGAATAATCACCAGTGGTCGGTGTGTAGGTGGTGCTGTATTTCACGGGATTCGACGATGCTAGACTAACGTGGACATATCCTCGCATTTTTTCAAAGTCCCGGGATTTTTATGATCATTTTCAAATTAAATATTACATTTTATTCCACGTCTCCGCAAACAAAATTTCTTGATTGCCAAAACGTTCTTGAAAAAACTCATTTTTCAATATTTATGATACAAAGGAGACGGATATCATTCACAAAATTACAAGAAACATTTGAAATTTTCCGAATTTTCGTTCGAGGACATGATAAAATATGTATCACGCGATAGTTGATATGCAGTGTGCAGTGTGCAGTGTGCAGTGTGCAGTGTACAGTGTGCAGTGTGCAGTGTGCAGTGTGCAGTGTGCAGTGTGCAGTGTGCAGTGTGCAGTGTGCAGTGTGCAGTGTACAGTACAGTGTGCACCGACCTGCGTGTACCGCGACGCGAACACGCCGCCGAGCGCCGCCAGCGGGTGCGCGTGCGCGTGCGGGCGGCGCGCGTGCGCGGGCGACGCGGTCGCCGAGCCCCCCTCCGCACACTGACACACGCACACACACAGGTTTAACTCGAACCAACAACGACAGGTGACGCCCGAGGCCTCGTCCAAATACAACATTTAGAAGCGGATCACCGGTACGTTATAAATCAAAATCAAAATTATTTATTCAGTCTAGGCTGTTACGAGCACTTGTGAAAGTCGAGAGCTACGCCATCGGTTCGTAAATCTACGGCGGGAGACCTTGTACCGAGAAGAACCGGCAATAAACTCGGCAAGGGCTGCTTTTTTCTCCCTGTTTTATTTCATACAGAACGTCAAGATTGATAAAGTACTTTATTAAAATATGAAGTCACTTTCCATTACAATGAGAATTATAAAAGTAAAACAGTATTTACGTCACGTGTCTAGTTAAACAAGCTCACCGATAAATAATTTAATATACATAAAAATAATTCATATTTAACACCGAGCAGTTTTATCGTTTAAATATTTCATTAACAGTATAATATCCTTTACTGAGTAGGCAATTGTAAATATGGGTTTTAAATTTAGGCAAAGGTAAGTTTAAAATTTCCATAGAAATTTTGTTATAATGGTGTATAATTTAGAATCCAGCTTTACCCAAGAAGATTGTTGAAGATCAACCAACTCGAGCTTTTCATCATTAAGTTTAATTTCTGTTAGTTCAGCTTTTATATTAGGTAACATGAACTCTATACATTTCAATTTTTTAGCTTTTAACTGAAGATTATTTACAGTAAACCAGGTAATAATCTGAGAGAGCATTGTTAAACGAATCTGTCATTGGGTAGAATCTTAAGGGCACTAGAGTCACTCTTTGCCGATTTATTATTTGTAATTTACATTCCATACGGAGTTACAATCGGAGGCGATGAACTCCTCGACGTTTCTTCTTTGATTTTCGAGAGGACGATAAAAAGGAGCGGCGTCAGCATCCCCGAGATCTTTGCAGTTTAAATGTAACGGATGACGGAACAAGTTTCTCTCTTTATTTCTCGTATCCCCCCGCGTATATGATGTTCGGGAGTTCGGAAAAGTCCGAGAGACACCGGACGGTCGCCCCCGGCCCCTTGCTATTTGCTACGGATTCTAAACACGTTCTCTTTTTCCCCTTCCTGACCTGTAGCCTCATTCTCAAATCGGATCGTTTGACTATGAGATTCCCGGTTGAAATGTAAGACTATTTATTATAATCGACAACAAAGAAATGAAACTATATAAATGCGCAGAGGGCACTCACCCTGTCTTGCGGCGGGGCGAGTGGGGCGAGCGGGGCGAGCGGGACGAGCGGGGCGAGCGCGGACAGCGGCGAGGCGTCGGGCGCGGGGTGGTCCAGCAGGTCGGCCGCCTCGTAGCACGGCGGGTAGCGGTGCCGCTGCACGCCCTGCGCAAGAGCGAGAGTGGATGTATGGAGGGTGGGCGGGGCCACAGTGGGCGCAGCCCGCTGCGGGCGCGTACGCGTTAGTACGCACCAGGTTGATGCTGTAGCGCGCGTCGCTGTAGGAGCGCAGCGCGGCGCGCTTCATGTGCATCTTGCAGATGGCGGACACCAGCAGCACCACCGCTATCATGAAGATCAGCGCGCAAGCTGGACACACGCACACGGGCACATATGTAATTGATAACTTTTACACTTTCGTCTCGGTTAGACGTGAGTTTATTACATTTTTTCATCTGGAACTTCAAAACAGTCGGGGGTCAGCAATTTTTAAAGTGAATTATAATATTTAGGTTACAAAAAAAAGCTAAAATCGAAACGGCGACCTTCAGCTGAGCGAGCGGGGGAGGGAGCGATTCGATCCTTCGATGTTCCATAGGATTTCGATAGTTTATTATGTAATAGGCTCACCGGTGACGGTGTATATGGTGGACTGAATGAACCCGTAGTCGTCCGGGGCGCGGCGGTCCTCGAACGGCGGTATTAGTTCTAAATCGAAACCTGCAATGACAGACCAAACTCACAACTGAAAAGTAATTTAATAAATCGCTCGCAAGTCATTACGATTCGGTAAAAGCGATTCGAATATTCGTATGCGCATGTAACGCGTCACCTCTGGCGCTGCGGTCGCCGCAGCAGGAGTGCTGCCTGCACAGCGGGTGCGGCGTGGGGCAGCACGCGGCCGCCGGGATGCAGCGCCCCATCGAGCAGTTCAGCCGGTCCGGACCTGCGGGGCAATACACGGTACATCGACCACACCTCTCGGCACGACGCCTACACAGCCTATACACTATACGCACGGTCGCAGACTCGCGCGCCGCACAGCGCCTCGGCCTCGTCCTCCGCGCGCGCGCAGTCGGCGCGGCCGTCGCACACGTTGGCCGCCAGCACGCAGCGCGCGCCGCACCGGAACGCGCTCACGGCGCACCACCGCCCGCCTGCCGCGCGACCGTTACCGTTACGACGGGTCGTTCAGTTGTTTAACATGAATATATCTAGCTTCGGTCCGAGACCGAGTACTGACCTTGCGGCTGCACCAGTATATATTTAGCCTGGCTGTGCGGCGGCGCGGCGCAGAAGTACCTCCCGCTGTCCGCCTCCGTGAGGCGCGCGCGAGTCAGCCGACTCGTAGTGCCGTTGCTCCATACCGAGTACGGCTCCCTGCCCCGCCAGAACACAGACTTGTAATAGTGACGCCGTTCGAACGGCACTCGACACTTCAGTACTTTTTTTTATTTTAGCTCCTGTATCTTTACTGTAGTATAAAGTGATACCGCTAATTATTATTATTATCGAGGGAAAGCAAATCAGAGTTGCGGTATTGGTTTCATATATTTTTATAAAACCAGATTTTTTTTATATCGATTTACAATATCATACTCACATCCCAAATTACTGGGCTTGTTTTGTTTTCACACGATCGTGTTTTTTTGTTTTTTATAATAAAATTTTAATTTTACACTTTTTAGTTAGTTCTCGTTGACTTTATTATTAGAACTATAAGATGGTAAATTTCGAAATAACGAAAGTTTATAGCGTGAGAATTTTTAACAACTTGCGATGGTCTACACTACTGATTATTAGTCCCTCTAGAGACCTCGTTCGGCTCAAAGCTAAATATGCTTAAGCTTTGATTCACTAATTTAAGTCAACCACGGTTCGATCCAAAGTAGTTCTTGGCACTTAAAAGCTTAGTAATTTGCGAACGGCCTACTATCAGCCAGCCGTCCATTGTGTTTTGACAACTCCTTAAAGGATGAGCTCTAACGAATGTCAAATTTGTATGCGTAATGTTGCTTTAAACGAACGACTACTAGTTATATATATTAAAACGATCTGCGCACACTTCTAATATTTTTGAAAGACCTATCCAACAATATACCTACTACAGGGTAATTAAAAATATAAAACAACATCTCCACTCTCACTACATGTAGGAGAGGTTAAAAAAATTAGACCTTAAAAAAATGTTTTTTTCAGGACTTTATTGTGCCACTCTCTCGACATTATTATATCAGTGCCAAGTTACAACTTTTGAACTAGACCATGGATAAACCTAATAAATTTTTTTTTTATTAAATATCTAATCAATGATACCCCATTTGTCAGTTTTGTTTTCATTTTGATATATGGTGTTTGGTAGTTACTATGATATTTAGTGACACTCACAAAGTTTAGACAAATCGATTGATGTTTAAATCGTCAAAGTTGGCCAAGCCGTTCGATCTCTAAAATGCCATATAGGATCAAACATACATACAGCCAGTTGCACAAACCTCCATTATATATATCATCAATTTAAAGCGACATTACCGATACAAATTTGACAATCATTAGGGCTTAAAGGCGTCATTTAACCTTAATGGACATTTGTGCAACAGGCCATTAGACTCATGAACACATTACCCTCCTTTGTGTTGCGCAGTAAGGTGATAAATAAGAAAATTTGAAGTGGAAATTTTGAAAATTTAACCATAATATAAAATTATATCTAATCTAACCTTAGTGGTTTAGATAATATAAACTTTTTAAATGTGACATTTGACATAGGCTTGACAGAATGTGTGCTGCAAATATTGTCAAATAAGATATAAAAAAACTGTTCTAATTCAATATTCATAATTAAGACAGGACAACATCAATCGGGTTAAATAGTTTTATACAATAAAACAAATCAAGCTCACCTTTCAGCAGCTGAACTTTCATTGGTGGCAATATAGTTCCACACAAAGTAAGCTGGTGAAGGTGTGTCACCATGCAGCTCACATATAAGGGTCAGATTATCACCCACCCGCTTCACTATCACGTCCGTGAAGTCTAGGGAACCAGGACTGTACAGATACAGCGATGAAGGAAGGACCTCTGACACACCTAAAAGTTGAAAATGTTTTATTAGCCTTTGTTTAATTTTGTGGTGCTATTCAATTTTTGATTTTATGCTAAACATCTTATATTTAGATATTTAGCAACTTCAGTTAGTTTTGGAAAGTAATACTTGAATCTGATTACTATGTAGTTGTATTAGCCTTAGATTTTTATAAAATAAGGTATGAAATAAAATATCATACATATTATTCTGGACTATAAACTCTTTGTTCACATTATCATCCATATTTTTTAATGTCTAATTTTTCACCTCTTTTTTCTTATGAAAGTATAGTTATTACAACTTCGTCAGAAATATTCTTATAAAACTCTTGGTCTAAATTCATATTAAACACCACCTCAAATGAACACTGTTTTAATATTAAAAAAGGAAGAATGTAGAAACACACTTTCGGATTCGTAATTAGCATCAACTCAATGGTTTGTTAAACAATGGATGCTAATATTAATGAATTATAACAGAAAATAGTTATTTTAGTGAAGAAAATATTATTTAAGAAAATAAAATACTTTTTTAAAGTATAGTATAACTGCAAGACAATTTAGTATGCCTGCTTTCTAATTAATATTGAACCTAGTTAAGCGAAAAGTAAAAGAAATGCAAAAAATAGAAGATGTTTCGAACATAAAAACAAAATCTGTCCCAAAGGTCCGTAAATTATATAAAACAAACACATCGCTTTAACTTCCATAAAAGCAATTTCGGGTATTGTTTGACCTTGACATTTAGATTTCAAGTATTAAAAATATTATTAGCACACAAGGATTCCAGAGGCTCCAAGCCTTAAAAATACAAAAACTGGCAGCTTTCCGTTTCAAAGCAACGTTAAGAAGTCAAAACGTGTAATGAAATTCAAACACTCACATATCCCAGGCGTGAAAATTAACAATATAACACTAATTAATAACAACATAATTGGGGATAACATTTATTTACTGTACATTTTTATTTTGCTAACGTGTTGACATTTTATTGTACGCCATTATGTTTTTGTTCGGTTTACGCAGCAATATTTGATGACAAATATGATTTAATTTGTCTATGATAAATACATACGTCTGCATAATCACAATAACATGTCTGTTATTAAAAAGTACCTACATGTATAATTTATTATTTCTATATTTATTTTATTACATTACTAAATGTTGTGAGCATAGTTAATATTGTTCAAGAAAGGTTCAAGTAGATTTAAGGGTGCTTGTGCACTACACTGAATTTTCAGGTCCGGCGGTCCGATTTTTTCCGGTCCGGAATGACATGAAAAACCCGGATGAGTGGCTTATGCACTTGTCCGTTTTTTTCCTAATCGGAGCGGTGCAGTTTAGGGCAGCTCTCTTTGAAGCTACACGTCACTTACGCTAGGCACGATGAGATTTTTGAAACATCGGTAACTGCTTGCTTTGGTACTCTACGTGCGAAGACGTGGAAGACAACAAATATTGGGTTCATCCCGTTATAAGTGAAAGGTACCTAAATAATGATCTGACAGGATCATTTTACATAAAACATAATAAATTGAGGCAAGTCGAAAGCATTTTTTTTTGCATTTTTTTTGCATTCTTTTTCATTTCAACTTTTAAGATATTTACTATTGTCTGATGACTACTATCAGATGTAAAAAATACTAGTTTAAAGAACAGCATTATTCACATACAATAGTTAATATATCTGTGACATTAGAATAAAATTACTTATAATGTTCTAGTACTTGATGTTTTAATTTATAATCATGCTATTTTTTTCGAAGTTTTGTAAAAACAACTTCAAGCGATTACAGAGATAGACCAATTGTTGGCGCCATTTCGTAAACAAATTGAAATTAGTGCCGTGTAAGCGGATAATTAATATGCTAAATGAACTTTACGATGGCATTTAAATCAGCCATCCTATTGTAGGTTTTAAATGTCATGATTTAACTATAATCATTGTAAGATCAAAGTATAATTTTATACGTGTGGTTTCTTTGAGCATAATTCTTTTTCTTTTAGAATACTTCTGTTATCAAATATTTATTTATATATATCAATAGCCTAAAAGCAAATTTTGATATTTAAAAAAATTCCATGCAAACTTTCATCCCCTATTTCCACCTCTTTTTCGCAATTAATATGTCCTTTCTCAAAGTTAAGTCTATTTCTATATTAATATCTATTAAGATGGGCTCAATTGTTTAGGCGTCTAAGCGTAACACTTATTTGTCTTACCTTAAGTTATCGATACTTTTAATACGATTCTAGAATCTAGCAAAGTACAATTACTAGAACCATACGATGATCAAATTAGAACTAAATCGAGTTTACCAAAGCATATGCAGTGAAATATACCAATTACGTTAAATCATCATATAAAATATTGCATTTTATAATCTAAAATAAATATCGATTATCAGTATAATAAAAATTAACAATATCGCTGAAATAAATATCGATTATATTCCACGCCTTCTCCGCAGGCTCATGAATTTTTCGGATCGTGGACACAGCAGTGCACAAGTGTAAACACGTTTTTCATTGCCGCCATCACAGACCTGAAAACACCGGTCCGGAATAGAGAAAAGTAAAATTCCGGACGGTTAAATTCCTAACAGTGCACAGGCGCGCATTACCTACATATGGCCTGACATATCGGACAGGAAAAAATCGGACCGCTGGTCCTGAAATTTCAGTGTAGTGCACAAGCGCCCTAGGGAGGATCACATTGGTGTACCATATAATGTAGAGACAACTAATGTGCCAGGTCATTAAAAATGTATATCCGCGGATACGGATATTATGTGTCAAAATCCTGGATACGGATACGGATTTTTATAATTAATATTTTTTTCAAGTTCCTCTAATTTTCACTGTGTTTGCTCGTGTAATCTAATGTTTACACTTTATATGGTAGGTAATACCTACTAGGTACGCAGTATTAATTTACTTTATTAGAATTTATTTTTGGATTTCTCATCGTCTCATAGTTATAAAAGTAATGTTATAACTTTCTAATTTCTTGATCTCATTATAATTACAAAAAAGATTTAAATTTTGGTTTTCTCATTTTCTTATATTTATAAAAGTGATGTTATAACTTTCTATAATATTGATCTTATTATAAAGATAGTTGATTAGTACCTTTGAGTTATGTACTATTGGTATATTAACTTACTACGATAAATGGTTGTAATATAAAGGTGCCAAATATTCGATTTTAAGAAATAAAAATTATTGAATTTAATTTAATAGCTTTTTAAGTCTACCTTATCACCTATATACAGCATTTCATCCTATCAATTAAAAATTAATAAGTCAAAAGAGCCGCGAGAAAGTAACGGATATGGATCTTTATTTTCCGTCGGATATTCGCGATACGGATATCCGGAACATCACTAGTAGATACCAGTATTTATTGCATATGAAGTAGATTTTCTTATCTGTAGAGTGATTTCGTAAAAATGCGTAACTTAATTCGAATTCACTCAAGTGACCGAATTCATATCATTTAGTGTAGATTTCTATTGTTTAAATACGAAACAAGATTGATTGATTGATTCATACATGTCCAAGGTATTCTATCCCCTTTTGAAGTGATTTCAGACATTCTAATGGTGAGCAACATTAAGCCCTAGCAGGCTTAAAGTTGTAATCACCGTAAAAACTTAGCAAATTCGGTGTTGTAAATCACTCGTTCGTATGGGCGCTTGTGCACTACACTGAATTTTCAGGCCCGGCGGTCCGGTTTTTTCTGGTCCGGAATGACATGAAAAACCCGGATAAGTAGCTTGTGCACTTGTCCGTTTTTTTCCTGATCGGAGCGGCGCAGTGTAGGGCAGCTTTCTTTGAAGCTACACGTCACTTACGCTAGGTACGATGAGATTTTTGGAACGTCGGTAATTCCGGTCGAAAACGTAGAAAGGTACCTAAATAATGATCTGATCGTTTTACATAAACCATAATAAATTATGGCAAGATGAAAGCATTTTTTTTACTACTATCGGATGACTACTATCTGATGTAAAAACTTATACCCTTACTAATTTAGGAACAGCATTATACACATACAATAGCTAAAAATATCTGTGACATTAGAATAAAATTACTGATAATGGTCTAATACTTGATGTTTAAATTTTTAAACGTGCAATTTTTTTCGAAGTTTTGTAAAAACAACTTTCTGCGATTACAGAGATAGATCAATCGGTGGCGCCATTTCGTAAACAAATCGAAATTAACTTGACGAGATCAGTTGACTGTATTATATATAGGCATAATTTTATACGCGTGGTGTAGTTTCTTTGAGCAGAAATATTATTTCCCTTAGAATACTTCTTTTTTAAAAATTTATTAATGACACAAATATACATTTAAAATTTTATTAAATGCGAAAAAGACATTGAGTGTCACTTAATTACTTTTGTTAATCTTCTGTTTATTCTTTATTATTATTTCTGTTGTCAAATATTTATCTATACTTATCAATTGTCTAAAAAAAATTGATAGTGACAAAGGGTTTAGCCGGATACGTATGACGAGTCGGCCCCCAAATGGGAATCGATATTGAAACTTATGTTTTAATATAGACTTGATGTTCAAACACGATTTATGTACTTTTCGCGACCGACTTCCGCTTTGACCTTGAGATAGAGAGCAAAATATCCGTATGCTTGACTATTACTGAATGTGATATATCTCTGAAGCTAATTAAGATAAAGAAGTGAAACTAACGCGAGGTGTTAGGTTACATTACAAAGTATATCACATATATTTTTTTTATAATTTTTAGAATAAAAAATTACATTAAAAAAATAAAAATAAAAAAAAACATGTTTTTTTTTCTGAGTTTTCTGTGACTGACTGTACAATCACGAAATTAATATATGTTATGCTCCTTTGTGTGCTCTATCACCCATAAAAATTGCGTGAAAAAAAAGTTGGTGCAACACAACGAAAAAAAATTATATGTGATTCGCGCCTTGTAGTGTGAGTGTATAAACAAACAAGTTCGAACTTGTTATCGAGCTGTTTACTGCATCGTTTGTTTAGCTAAAGTAGCAGTCATTTGTATTACACAAGAAGGCAGTTTGGGACTCAAATTCTGTCATAGGTATTTTGTATCAGCATTTTGAAATTATTAACTATCGAACCAAATCATTATTAAGTAATAATGTCGAGAAAGTGTAAAAATTGTAACAAGTACCTGTGTAAGATTCCTGGTTATAAAAAAATTATAAAGAATGAAAAAGAAGCTAAAGTGTTTAGTGACTGTTTGAATAAAATCGTAATAGTTAATGATATTTTTTGTAAGAAGTGTCGACTTATATATACTAAAAAGCTTCTACTTCTAAATGTGCAGCATTTAACTTGGCCGAAATAATGGACGATCAAAATAATCTCTCAGTACAATATGTGAAATCAGCACCTAATATCATCAAAGCAGAAGTAAAATCAAGACATATAAATAGAAAAGTCTATCGAATTTACATTCAGTATATTTCCGAAGGTAATGACTACAATAGTATTCTTCGTTATTGCTGTGATTGCCCCAATGGCAAACGTACAGTGGGATGCTGTTCTCATGTAGCAGCTATTATTTATTATCTATCATATGGATGATATTTGTCCAAAATCGTACGTCCTGCTGAGGTCCTAACTAAGTTATTTGCGACTCAAAGTGTTCCGATTGTAATTAATTACAACAGTGACGATGATTAATATTTTGTTTCTTGTATTTTGATAGATACGAAAAAGTAATAATAATAAGTATTGAACACTGGCTGTTTTTTTTTCATTTCTTTTTTAACTATTATCCCATCTCTTAAGACTAGTTACTTATGTTTTAAAACAAGCTGATGTGAAATTTCGAAAAAAAAACAATGATGTAATATGAAAACCTTATAATACAGGGGTATACCATAAGACAGAAATCACATATATTTTTTTTCGTTGTGTTGCACCAACTTTTTTTTCACGCAATTTTTATGCGTAATAGAGCACACAAAGGAGCATAACATATTTTAATTTCGTGATTGTAAGTCACAGAGAACTCAGAAAAAAAGACATGATTTTTTTATTTTTTTTTTTTAATGTAATTTTTTATTCTAAAAATTATAAAAAAATATATGTGATATACTCTGTAATGTAACCTAACACCTCGCGTTAGTTTCACTTCTTTATCTTAATTAGCTTTAGAGATATATCACATTCAGTAATAGTCAAGCATACGGATATTTTGCTCTCTATCTCAAGGTCAAAGCGGAAGTCGGTCGCGAAAAGTACATAAATCGTGTTTGAACATCAAGTCGATATTAAAACATAAGTTTCAATATCGATTCCCATTTGGGGGCCGACTCGTCATACGTATCCGGCTAAACCCTTTCCAGGCAAACTTTCATCCCCTATTTTTCGCAATAAAATGTAACCTATGTCCTTTCTTAAAGTTAAGTCTATTTACTATATTAATTTCCATTTAGATGGGTTCTGTTGTTTAGGCGTCTAAGCGTAACAACACTTATTTATCTTACCTTAAGCTATGGATACTTTTAATACGATTCTAAAATCTAGCTAAGTATCGATACTTGAACCATACGCTGATCAAATTAGAACTATACCGAGTTTGCCAAAGCATATGCAGTGATATATACCAACTATATTAAATCATCATATAAAATATAGCATTTTATAATCTACAATAAATATCGATTATAAGTTTATTGGAAATTAACAATATTGCCGAAATAAATATCGATTCAAATCGATTATTTTTTCCCAAGTCTATTTCTTATGAATTTTCCGGATCTCGGACACAGCAGAGCACATGCGTAAACACGTTTTTCATTGCCGCCATCACGGACCTGAAAAAATCGGTCCGGAATAGAGAAAAGTTAAATTCCGGACGGTAAAATTCCTGACAGTGCACAAGCGCGCATTACCTACATATGGCCTGACATATCGGACCTGAAAAATCGGACCGCCGGACATGAAAATTCAGTGTAGTGCACAAGCGCCCTATGTCCGCTAACCCATAGAGCTCTGTCAGATTCACAGGATAGGTGTATTCAAATTCAAGTTAGGAGTTAGGGAGAATTTAACTCGAGTTAATTCAAGCTATGCCTATATAACTTGAATAACCTATATAACTCGAAGAAAATTGAGATTTTTTTTTCATCTTGTGTAAAATGAAATCGACTATCACTGGTCTGTGCTTACTGACACTGACACTAGCAAAGAGAATATAGGTATTATTTTTCTCTTTGTCTATCAGTCAAAATCTTAGGCAGAGTTTATATGTTTATAAAAAGTTTCAGTTTACATTCAAAATATTAATTGATGTGTTTGCATTCTAACAGCGTGATTATTTGTTTCATCTGTATTTATTTCTTATTCACCACTTCATAACGATATGGACCTCAACAGACTTCCTAATGATAAGAAACTGCAACTCTGTCGATGGTATTTCAAAGGTAAAAATAATTGTTTTGCGTTGATTTGTTATCATTCTTTTCTGATTCATTCACAGGTCTGAAGATTTGAATAAATGTATTGTAATATGGTTGATTTATGTTTGTAGTTGGCTGCGTCTTTCTACCTTTTGTGTGGGCTGTGAATGCAATATGGTTTTTCAGGGAAGCTTTTTTGAAGTCTCCATTTGAAGAACAAAAACAGATCAAGAAATGTAAGTTTTTGTACTTCAGTTTTTTGTAAATATAACCAAACTAGTTTAAATCTGTAATAAAGTAATGTAGCAAACATTAGTATGCATTTTGTGTAGGTTTTTGATCATTCCAGCCAAAATTGAAATATATGACGTTTATACTGTACTAGCAGAGGCGTAACTACACGGTGGCAAGTCCAACCCCCAGGTGGAAGGGGCCCCTGGTCAGAGGATACTCTTTACTCTTGATAGTTATTATTACACAATTAGTAAAAAAAATTGAATATCTGATGAATTTGGGCTTCAAACATATAGTTACGCCACTGTGTACTTTTATTATACATATATATTGATGGAAACAGCATTAAATCTATTGTGTAGTTTAAAAGATCACAGTGTACATACAGTGGGAAGCAACTTTGTTTTAGATGCATAAGATGCTAATCTAAAATAATGATTTTATAATATTTTTAGTTGAAAGTATTCTGTTGAACTGACAGTAAATTATATTGATACTTCTTAGATGTTTTGCTGAGTGCATCAGGGGCGCTGGTGTGGGCGGTGGCCCTTATAGCATGGGTCACTGTCTTCCAACTGCAACGGGCTTCATGGGGTGCGACGGGAGATGCTCTATCATTCATAGTACCGCTAGGACGAGCATAATGCAATATGACAACTCCTCTACAACAATTTCAAACACTTTTAGATAATATGAAATAGATATAAATATAAAACTTACTTAAACTGGAAACTATTAAATGTAAATACTAATTTTCCAAACTCAGCAAACCACAGATAATTCTACTGGTGAGAGTAATAAACTTAAAAATGAAATATACACTATAGTTAGATTATGATTTAATATAAAAATGTTTTGTCTGTATTTCTGAAAGAGATACATATTGAAAATTAGCCTCATTTGAGCTGACAAATTGTTTAATAAAGTGATGTGCTAGCTAATGAGGAAGTATAAAAAAAAATATAAGTTCCGAAATCTTGATTTCTCTATCCTTTCCAGTTTTCTTTCATGTATAAAAGTAAACAAGTTTTCAAAATTCATAAGCAACTCCTATTATATTTGTACTTTTTCATATTTGTATTGATATCTATGTTTCGAACTTTGCAAATTTTTATTTTATATATTAGTTAAAGGGAACAGAAATTACTATCTTTGGTCCATTTATTTCCTGCGAAAATCAACTTTTGCTAGAGTCGCCATCAAGTGGAGGTACTTTTTAGTGCTTTCTTTTTTTAAATACTTCCTCATTAATTACTGAAGGATTCAAAATAGACACTCGACCGTAACAACCCGTCGACGAGACAAGACCAATGAGCGACGCCGTCACGCCAACTGCGGGCGTCTGAGTTAACACATTCCCATGCTAATCTAAATTATGACTCGATGAGGACATATGTATTTTTATCCCTTTCCAATGGGGATTATTGTTCATCTCTCCATTGAAATGTATTATTTGTTGTTATTACTATTTTTTATAGGATCTGCAATATATCGACTTTAAGAAAAGAACCAATTATAATTCCGTTAACTGTCAATTTGAGGTTAATAATACTTTTCTTGATATTTTATTAGAAATGTTTGGTTAAGTAGTAGTAAGCTTAATTTATTAATTTTCTTGTAAATAGTTATTAATTTTGTAATAAAAAATATAAATTCTGGAATCTGATTTATTTCATTTATATGCACAAATAACTTATTGTATATACAATAATAATATATTTACAATATTCACTTATGCTTTTGAACATGATAAGATCTGTGATCTGATCTGCGGGCTTTAAGAAAATCATTAGTATTGAAATTATATAAATTTTAGTATATTTTCTCACTTAAAGTTACATTTTTATGTAAATACTTTTGAAAATTATAAAAAATAATCGCTTACGTATGTAATGCAAATCATACTGATCACGGTAGTGCCTTTAGTGATAGTAGTTAACGGTGTATAGAAATGTTACAAACAATTGTTGAACATAAAACTAAACTCGTAGTATTTTAGAAAAAAAAATCAAACAATAGAAATTTAGTAAATAAAATGTACGATGTAATGTTTGATGTTGATTTTGACAAAATGTTATATATTTCTAATATTCACTTAAAAATCACCGATAACAAATCCGTTAAGTAAAGCTATACAGTCGATGACTTTCGTGATTAACATTTAGTAACACCCTGTATAAATTACAGCAACCCAGTCGCATAAAACAAATGTAGTTAGGTATCGAGTTAAGAGCAGCTCTCGTACTCGCTCGACAGTTTCAAATGCATTCGGTTATCCCTCAACATTTTTAGAGTACCTAATCTTTCAATACTACGTCACCGGCGGTGAGTCGACTCATTTACTGATACACATTAAAGACACCACAAAACCCTGACAACACCGGCGGCGGGTCAAATAATTTCACAACATGACGTCACAATTATCTATAATTCTATCTAGAAATCGGTCGCATCATTCTATTCGTACGTCGCGCGTACTTCTCCTCTCCTGACGCAATTTCCCAATTTCAGATTTCACTATCCTGCAACAGAAACAAAGGTCGATTAAATTGCCGAGCTCAAACACCGGGCTTCAATGGTGACACAAACGGCCACGCCCCGCACGCGCCGCACGCACCTGAGCAGCAGCAGCAGCGCGCACGCGTCGCACGCAACGAGCGCGTAGAACACGCGCCGCCACGCGCCCTGCGCCGACACCACGCCCGCCAGCAGCGGGCCCACCGCCGCGCCTGACACAAGCGGTCAATCTCATTTCACTATATATATATATGAACTCTGCTCTGCGATATTGGAATCTAGATAGATTTTTAAAAAAAATCCGAAGTACAATAATGACGGATGTATCCAAGCGGAAGTTGAATTTCCAAAGAAACACCTGGGATGTTCCGCGCTTTTATAAACAATTAAAAGAAAAGCTGCACAAATAAATGGTGTGGAAAGTGCACTGCGACTTACAAGTTACACGAGAGATGGGATATCAATCCACAGTTGAGTGATTGTCTATCTATACTTTGAAATTAAAAGATAACCAATAAAATAATCACAAATTATTATTTCAGAAATGCGCACGTTAATGTTTTCCGTGTCGTCTTTTACAATATACATTGTAACAAAATATATCGATAGTTTGAATATATGTAGATTTGAAAAAAGATTATATAAATTGTTTCATTTATATATAATACCATAAGCTAGAAAGTTTTGTTTATTATTATTATGTTTACATGAGCTACTATTGATCATGAAATCCTAAAAAATATTGAAATTACCGACATGAAATTTGGCAACGTAGTAATATTTTGACAATGTCAACTAAAAAGATATTTATGGCAGGTCCGAATTATGGGGGGTTAGGTTCTTCACTAGTGTGTCCTTTAAGAAGAAAGTCCTTTTTGTATATGAGATCGAAATTTGATAAGATTATTTTGAGATAGGAGCGGATTAAGGGGGCTAATTATGAAATCTATTTGTTACGTTTTTATACTGACCTGATAAAATTAAATTTTACGATTGGACTTCTAAATAAACGTTTTATTTGATAAACCTTTGATAATAAAGGTTGTATTCAGTAAAGAAATAAAATTAATATTTTTTTTATTACTCAACAAGTGTAAGGTAGGGTGTTTTGATTTTTTTTTTAAATAAACGCCGGTTATGCGACTCATCTTTACCCGCATTGTACTTACCTTGTCTGGCTGTCTTTTTATGTAGATTTGATTTTTTAAACTGTATTCTTAAGGTATGTTTTTACAGATACCATTACTGAATGTGGAAAATATTCAATTCTAGTCGGAACTAACGAACGTATGACATAGACTGTCAATAATTACAACTCCGCAATAGGATTCGGGCTCAAAAATGCACTTAACGCTGTGTGCTGTGTATGTGTGCGTGTGTACGTGTGTGCGTGCGTGCACGTGTGGGCGGGGCGTACGCACCGACGCTGCCGGTGCCGTCGATGATGGCGGTGACGGTGGCCAGCGCGCTCGCGTCGCCCGCCAGGCTCGCGTGCGTGCCTGCACCAGGTTAAGGTTTCAAATAGTGCAGAGAAATCAGACAAAACAACATTTTCGCATACTATCATTATAAAGAGGAAAGATTCATTCGTTCGCAAGTTACGCACCGAGCTCGGTGCTGACGGCGGTGGTGATGAGCGCGTAGGGCCCGTTGACGAGCGCGCCCCCCACCACCAGCAGCGACAGGTTCACCCAGTAGCCGCTCGCCCCCCACATCGAGTACACCAGCAGCTGCGGACGAGGACGTCGATCGTCGTTACAACGGCATATACATATATGTAACGGTGTCGTAGGTATACAAGAGGGGGCCACTGACCGCGGGCGCGGCGAGCACGTAGAAGGCGGCGCAGACGGTGGCGGGGCTGCGCGTGCGGTCGGCCAGCAGCCCCGCCGCGATGGCGCCGGCCGCCCCGCCCACGTCGAACACCGTGCTGAGGCGCCCCGACTGCGTGGGCGTCAGGTGCGCTGCAACGATGCCTCGCTTAGACCGGCCTCACGTCATATACATATACATATCAAATTGCCGTTTTGTCGTCCTGGCCACTTTAATCACAATTTTCTCCTCCTCGGTTGGGAATGCCAAATTCAAATTTGTACAGCATACGGCATTCATTTATTTATTTTTTCTTCTGTTTGTCCCATTTACGTCACCCCGTATAAAAAATGGAAAACTTGAAATATCGTGTTATTTACGAGTACGAGTTCCACCATGGTACCAGTGCTGCGGAAACGGCTCGAAGGGTTAATGATGTGTGTGGCGGTTGTGTCGCAAAAGAAAACATAGTGAGTTTTTGGTTCCAATGTTTTCGTTCTGGAAATTTCAACCTGCAGAACGAGCCCCGTGGACGGCCGGAAACCCGAGTTAGATGACTTCTTGCGAGGGACAAACATCAACTCTGATGGGGCAATGCAAATCGCCTTCAAAGATTTTATTGGTTCCCGTCCGAATGGGTTTTTTTAGTAAGCGGATCAATGAATTATGAGATGGCAAAAGTGAATAGATAACAATGGTTTATACTTTTATTAAATAAATATATTATATTTAAAAAAAAAAATCGACTTTTTGTTCCTCCCATACTAATCACCAATTTCATAGGTAAGGACGTAATATATAAACAGTGGCAAAAAAAAACCACGTTTTAGTATTGATTGTTGGAGCGACATAAGTGTTCTGAATGTGGTCGGACGATTTTTATTTAACAATAGGAGTATTGTTACTTCCCCACGAATATTATTAGCGCGCTTTACGGCGGAATGAGCGGTCATTAGCTGGGAGAATTTTCGCTTCCTGAATCTCATTAAATGTTGCGCAGTTTTACAATTTCGTATTTATATTATTGTAATGGTTTTTTTTGTAGCTGTAGGTATGTTGACAAAAATAGGTCATCGACTTCCGAGTACCTGGGTATAAATAGGTTTATTTTTTACACCCGCTATATAACCAGTGGCCTAATTGTCTAAAAATGTGAGAGCAATTGCGATCGCAACATTTTTTTTTAAGATATCAAATGAACGATAACGTTCATTTGTCGTAAATCGGAATTGTCTAAGCAAATTGATGGCTACGAATACCTTCGAAAGTTATTGTGTAATGTCAAATGGAAGCGTTGAACACTGACTGCAATCTTTCGATATTTTACGTATGTTTTGATTATGTTTTTGCAAGTTTTGGTAAGGATTTATTTTATATACATTTAAAACCCAATAATTATTATTCTATAAATAACACAATTTTGCATAAAATGGTTATTTTTTAACTACCACAAAGGTGACTATTAATCGATTTAAATAAATTCCTCCATTATTGGATTACCGATATTTTTATACGTGAATTTTCTCAGACCTCCACATACAACAAAAAAATTAGAAAAAAAAAAATAGTAAATATTTCAAACTTAAAATGAAATGCCAAGTTTATCCAACTTTTCTGACAGATGATACACAGCTGATGATATGACAAGCTTAGGGATTCAACGACAACGCGTAGGAATCGATACTTTTACTCGATACCTGCTTGTATCGAATAGTTTTAAAATGCCTCACCATCGTCGTCATTTTTATGGTTTTTCAGAGTAAATTGGATACTATTGATTTACTCTGTATAATGAAGAAAGAGAAGTAGGTCTAGACATAAAAAGCGATGCATATAGAAAGTATTTAGTTAGGTATTGCTTCAAAATTTTGTTGGCAGTATAGATAGATCTCTAACTGCATAAAATTAGTAGGGATTAGTAATGATTAGTCATACAGGGACAGGCACGGTGCGCCTAGGATTGCCAGATAGCGAGACTAAAATATCTGGACAAAATTTGAAAATGTCGGGATTTTGTGATCACAGTCGGGACAAAAAAATATTAATAAAAATACATTAATTAATTAATTTTTTAAAATAATAACAAGTATCTACTTTTTTTGTAAATTTATAAGATCACATAATAATAGTATAATATTTAAACAACTAATATACCTACTTATTATATTTGTTATGATACGTGTTTTATTATTTTTATACTTGGAATTCGATTTTTCAGAATCTAACTATTTTTGTCGAGACATATTTGTTTTTTTCGGGACTCTGGACATCATACGAAATGTCTGGACAATCCAGACGAATCCCGACCATCTGGCAACCCTAGGTGCGCCTGTGGGTCTTTTTACAGAGTAAACAGACTAATGCTCGCGAGTTTTTGAAACTCCTCAGTGACTGACCGACCAAGTACCGATACAAACACTTATTTCCTTACTTCACGATACTATTTACCACTCGGTTCTAAAGTATCGATGCCATAAGTAATTGGTATCGAAAGAAAAGTATCGAGTAAGTACTTGTATGTATCCCTAGACAAGCCGACATAAAAAAACGCGCTTCGTGCGTTTTGTTAGTAGGATGGTTTATTTGTTTCTTTATTGAAATAAAACGTTGTGTTCGTCAAAAGTATTAAATGATTTAACATTCTATTTATATGAATTAAATATTGTAATTCTTTAGTCGAAATGGTGAATTAATTGCAATCATACGAAATCGTAAAGATTATTTCACCACTTGCCAACAACAAAACGAAATTAATTATCTATGACATTCTGTATCATTCAAATCATCATTCGTTCCGAAAGCAATTATGACTTTAAAAGTTACACATTTCCATAAATCACTATCACAACCGCTATACGTTTGAAAATGATTGTGAAAGATTGAAAAATTAGACAATTAGGCCACAGATTGATATAAGGTAGGTACACATACGACTATGTAAATATATGACCTGAAGGCGATCACTTCATTAAAATTTTATTATTTTCTAATTTATTCCCTAAATAAATTGAAAAATATTAAAATTTGTTTTTACCACAAATGTCATAATAAAAGAATGTCAAATATGATACAAGAAGCGTAAGTGGTGCATCAAACGTTAAGGTATATCGTGAGATTCACAATCGTCCATAAAATTAATAATTTAAAATCGATATGTTTTCTATATAAAATGAACAACAAACACTCACTGCTGGTGTTGATGTAGAGGGGCAGCCAATACAAGAACGTATAACTGACTAGCTTCGCGAAGAAAAGAGACAGCGAGAACTCGATCACGCCCGGTATGAGCAGCGCGCGCGAGAGCGAGACGGCACTAGTCTGCGACGTCGACGAGTGACGGAGCAGCGACGTCTCCTCCGTCGCCTCCTCCTCCGTCTGGTACTGGTCACAACATAACACATGACTACCTGCTAATATACAGGTGTGTTTGGTGCGTTGGTGCGTGGACCGAAACAATTTTTTTGAGAGATTTGGAGTAACATTAGCTGCATTTTAGCTTTATTCGAAATAATACCACTAAATATAATCAAAATAAAAAGAAAAACACATTTTGTACTACTTCAATTATCAAAATTATGTCAGTCCATGCACCAAACAACCTGTATATCAGTGGCGGTCTAACCCCAACGGGGCCCAGGGCAGACCCCCTCCCCTCCCCCCTTAGTCCGCCACTGCTATTTATTGTCGCTAAGCGCAACGCGTTTATACAAGTTATTCTGTTTCCGTGTGGTTACACGGACGCACCTGAACGGGTTTTATTATACAACTGACAATGCGGTCAACTTACCGGTGGATTGTTGGCGGAATGCCTGTTCGGTCTCAAGCTGGCCGCCTGCGAACACACACATGCTGTTATATGTACTGATGGGCCTCGGTTAATATTGTTATAATATTATATACGAATACATTTCATAAGTGCACATATTTTTACTTTGTCTAAATTACTGTAAATCAACTCTTTATAAATAAATTATGTTATTCGATTAATAATTAGTTTTATTCCTGATAGCCCGTTTAAAACCTATTTTTTTTTTGTTTCCGTGCCCTGTATTATTTAGATTTTTTGTAAGTTTCAACTTCATCGGTTTAAATCCAATAATTTGGGATAAAGTGGCTGTGACATACGAGCGGAGAAACGGACAGGCACGAGCAATCATAAGTTCCATTTTAAATATATCAATATAAAAATGTGAAATTATATTCTATATTTTTTTTTATCTATGTGCACTGATGAAAAATATAACCCTGTAAATGATATAATATTAAATTATTAATATGGTAAATATACGTAAGTCAGTCCGTCAGTTATGTATAGTTTACTACAAAAGTACAAATTGTTCGATAGTTTTAAGCCGTAATACATTGAAAGTTGAGTTAAGGCTTTATTACACAAAGATGTACCTCCATTATGTAGTGCGTGCGTGCGACTATCGATATCAAATATGTGTTAATAACTTTATTACAATCGCTATACTCAAAGAAAGCGTAAGTTACTAATTATTAGAGATGCGCCAAATATTCGTTTGATATTCGTCGTTTGCCGAATGTATTTGGTTCGAGTACTTATATTTTCTTCACAACTATTCACAACACGGTACACACACACACACACACACACTTTTAGTTCTAAAAGACAAAACTTCTTTTGTAAGATTTATGTAAGTTAAAAAAAATCCTATAAACAATCTGCAGACCATGCTGGAAGGAGTTTGTGAGAGGCACACGTCCAATACTGGGCATACAAATGCCGATGGAGAAAAAGAAACTACAGTAAACATTTTTAAACTTCAAACTGAGATTTGTTAATACATTTAAGAGACAAATTGATAAAAATAGACATTATATATATATAAATACAGTCATATTTTAATGTATATAATTGATTAGGAGTAAACTTTTGTCGACCCTTTTTGACAAGAGTCTGTCGCATGATTCCGAAATGATTCGTTCGCTATACAATACATTGATACACACGCTATCAGCTGCCAGGAGCACAGAGAAACACTCTCTGGCTAAATAAAAGCAATAAAATGATAAACCGAATAATTCGGCTGAATATCCGGTTCGGTTAAGTTCAAACCGAATATTATTCGATATTGGCCACGGATCGGTTAGCCACGATTCGACGCATCTCTACTAATTATGTATGTAATTAATATGGAAAAAATACATTATATTCAAATGTTATCACATCAGGTTAGTGTGTTATAACTGATATTTGATAATTAGTCAGCGGGCAACACGAGTATCGTCGTCGGTGCAGTACCTGGTCTCCGACGATCACTTGCGGTTCCTCTTCATCATCGGACCGTGACGATCTGGACGGCTGAAATCAATGCATGCGTCATAAACATATTACTTTTGTTCGGCAAGCCGGTACATAAATAACAGCACAATCACATACATATTGATATGTCAAAAATTGTCGTGTTCGTATCTTATATACATGTACATATAAAAGTTGAGTCGCATATTTTGCTAAATTCGAACTGGATTTGTTTTAAATTTATTTTTTAGTAAAATGATCCTGTGAATTGATGAAATCAAAAAAGCAATTAAATGTTGTTTACGCGAACTGCTAAGCGATTTTAACTGTTACGGCGAAACGAGGCGCGAGAAATGGAAGTCGGAACGAACGCAATAAGATATACTCAGTATACAGTATACTCACGCCGGCGTGGGCGGGTCGGCGCGGCGGGGCGGGCAGCAGCACGGCCACGTGGCGCGGCTCGGGCGGCAGAAACAGCAGCACGAGCAGCGCGGCCGCCGCCATGCACGCCGCCGGGTACACGAACGACAGCGACCACGCGCCCTCCACGTACGCCGCCGCCAGCAGCGTGCCTGCACGCCACGCACAACCACTGTCTTTATGCTGTTCCACTGATCACGAACGGATCGTTACGCGAGCCGCTGTGCGAGTCGACTCACCCAATATGTTCCCCAGGGAGGTGTGGGCGTTCCAGATGCCGAATATGAGCCCCCTCTTGTCGTTCCCGAACCACTTGCCCACTATGGCCACCGTGCCCGGCCACCCGGTCGTCTGGGCGATGCCCGCGCCCGCCTTAGTACACAACACAGCACACGCTCAGCTCGTGAGTACACGATTGCCTTTGAAAAATCTCGTATTCACAGTAAAAAAAAAAAGATATCCGGTGACATAATACATACAAAAAAAGAAGACTAAGGCCCTGCGCTTAGGTATATTTTTTAGAAAATTCAAAGTTAGTTTAAAAACTGCGCAACATGTGTGCCGTTATTGTTATATTTATCGATCGATACGTATAACAAACGAGTGGTTACCTGCGCGACCAGATAGAAGGTGATGTTGTGTATGGAGTACGTGTAGCCCATGCCGAACATGAAGCAGAACAGCGCCGACACGAGCATGCCCAGCGTCAGGAAGTATCTCAGGTCTACTCGTTCAGCCACCATGCCTGCGCACGACACCACACGACACGCGCTATATACTATGGAAAGAACTACCGCGGATTGCTCGGACCCCTCCCCCCAGTGCCACGCTTTGAATTTGTCCCTTGGAGCAGGCCCTAGTGGTAGGCTTTAACTCATAAGATGTATTTTCCGTGCGTTAAAAAGGCGGTATTTAACCGATTTTCGGTTAATTCTTAACATTTCTTTATACCATTTTGAGTCTGGATGTCGTGTTACCTTTTTTTGTTGAAGTGTAAGAGAAATACTATCTTAATTATTAAACCAAGGCTCCGCAACCACCCGTCCTGAGGTCAAGTCGAGTGTGACCGTCCTAACCTACCTGGTAAAACCCGCTGCAGTCCTGCGAGAAGGGATCGGATTCGTCCAAAGTATGTCCCTTATTACAATCCGGGCGGAATATATCACTTCCGATCTTCGGATATAAATTAAATATGTATCTAGATTACGTAATAATAATGTTCCTCGACATTGTATAATTATGTGAATTAATGTTGTTGTAAATTCGCTTATCAATAATCCACGTAATAAAAAAATATATAGTACGAATAATACACAATTCAATTAGTAACAAATTTAATTAAATCATTGACATGTCCACAAGTGATTCACCCGACCATGTTTGGCGTATGACCGAGTTAACCGTACCTACAAGGTACTCGGTACGTACCACATGATATGGTGGTACAAGCACATACGTTGTTGCTCCTACAGCTTACATTACATATACGGAAATAGACATTCAATGAGATAGGACAGCTTCTGTAGCAGTCTTTTTATCTGTACTAACATTAAAAAAATTTGTTTGTGTGCATTTTAAAATTCATTCGCCTACAGGAAGCTACGTCATACTCAGGTGAAATAGGCTGTTTTCACACGGGCGAAGTTACAGGAAAATAGTTAATTATTGATAAAATATATAGTTTACACAAAAACTTTTGCAGAAATAAAAGATGACATTTTCTATCTTCTTTACTGCCGTCCCATGCGTCGTGATACACTAGTCATACGTAGTAAGTAGTTATAATGAAATCACAAGTTTGTGTTGCCGCAATGTTCAGAATACTGAACCGGTGTAATGTTCCTGTTTCTATTTGACCAGGTGATTCCGACGCTACAACACGGACACATTTTAAATTTCATTAATTAAATATTTCACTCACCAGAAACAAACATGGCGCCCGCATATGAAAACAGAAAGGCTGAATCCAATGCTCCCAATAATGTATTAGCATCGTCCGTGTCTGAAACAAATATAGAATTACCTATATTGTAACTAGGTAGGTAGTTCAAGCAAGCGATCCTACACATAGCAACAAGTCAGGTTAACACGATATATCAAAAAATAATTCAAAGAAAAACAAAAACCCGACTGCATAAAAACGAATTTTAAAAAATCATGAAAAAATAAACTTAAATAAAAACTAAAAAGAAAGATTCTTTTAATTTTGTTAAGTAATACTAAATAACTACACAATTGAAATAGTTCTATAATCGATACACGCATTAAACAAATCATAAATTCTAATGCAGAACAGAACGACTCACAGTCGGGGCCCATTCAAATTTTACCAATCAAATCTTCCCAAGGGGCCCCGACTGCCCCTCCTTTGCGTCGCGCAGTCGGGAAAAAAATCAGAGTGCAAGACTTGATCTTCAGTGCATGCATGGCGGTTTAAAATCAAATAGATAAATTACAATGTCATGTAAACGTGCGATTGTTTAAACGATGCATGTGCCAAATTTCAACTCAATCTAGGTGTTGTAGTTCTCTGTTGTTTCATATTTCATACCTCGTAATACGAGCGCTTTAGCTTAGTCATCATGGAATTGAGCAATGTACTTATGTGATGTTATTTAATATGTATTGTATATATTTACAAATGATTACTGACTGAAGGGCGCCCAGTCGCACCAGTTGTCATCAGCGGGGTCGACGCCAGGGGGCGGCACCAGCTCGCTGCAGTTCCTGTGCAGCACGCTCTTCACCACGGATATCGGCTTGCGCGTCAGGTGGTACGTCATGTACGTGAGGAAGGTCAGCACCAACACGCTCGCCTGGTAACTGCTCGCGTCACAACACTTCATAAGTACAACTATGCCGGTATACGCATTTAATATTGCCAACGACAAATATAATACTCATGCTACAACGATATACAAATGAAAGAAAAGTACAAGTTGTACCTAATATGTGGAGTAGTAGCCCGGTTAGCGAAAGGTAACGGGTTCGAACCCGATCTCGATTTATAATATCTGTAATTTTCTTACTCTTTTGTCTTTTGCTTACCATATCAAGGGGTTACCCTACTCTAATGATCGATTTCCGATCCAAACTATTATATAATCGCTATTGTAGATAAGAATTACATATAATGTTTTACTTTCAGAACCGAGCTCAAACTGTATTTTGCCCATGAGTATACATACTTTGCGTAGTTTTTAAAACACTACAAGACTTATTATCTTTAATACAGAGTTTCATAGTTTTATCTTTTATAACAACCAACTTTTATACAAATTCAGCTTCTATTCCAACCACTTGAAAGCTCTTTTTTGCTATAAAAGGTAGCTTATGTTCTTTAGTGTCCGACCGAATGTTCGGTTTCGGACGAGTTTCGGCAAAAAAAAGCGGGTTTCGGTTGCGGTGGCAAACGTACCGAAACTACAACTAAAAACGATTCCCATCTCAGAGCACCGGGGCTAAAGTGGATTTTTTAGCGGTTTTCATTAAGAGGGGTTGTTATGTTGAGTATTAATAAGTGAAAATGTCGATGACTGCATACATTTGTGATTTAAAGATAAAAATACCCGCCTGCCTGAAAAATAACTAATAGAAAATCAAATGGAAAGATTGGAGCTTAAATTAAAATTATTTTATGTCTTATCAGTTAGACAAGTTAATAGGTTGGAAGAGAAAGTGAGAAAGTCCATATTTAAATGTATTAATTTCATTAGTATTACGGTAATGATTATCATGATATACCTTTTTGAAATCCTTGGGTTAAGCCTTTCAATTCGATACCCATATTGTACGATTAGTATTAAAATAATATTTCTTTCTAAGTACAATGGCGTCGCTCGGCCGCCATGTTTGGTTTTCCGAAACGTCATCTATCTTGGCCACTTGGCCTGCTAAAACAAAACTAACGATACTTCAAGTATGTAAATCTGTTTAGCAATTCTGCAGTTAGGTAATAAAGAATAATACATGCATACATAAAAGATATATGCGAAAACACATAACCCTTTCTTTGCAGTCGGGAAAGACTGCCTGATTATAATAACGTTTTCTTCATTATTTTCTTCCAAACATGATCCTCGTAGGGAAGTTTCGATTCCAGTTTCGGGAAACTGAGACTGTTGTCGAAATTCGATTTCGGTCATAAAAAACCAGTTTCGGTCGAGCACTAATGTTCTTAGATAAAATCAACTCTAATTCTGTACCAAATTTCATTAAAATCAGTTCAGTGGTATTGGCGTAAGTGCGTCACAGACAAACAATGTTACTGTCGCATTTATTAGCAGGGACTATGAGGAGACTTTAATTCAAACGGACCCCTACCAACATCTACCTATGAATTGATAATAATTAAATGTGTTTTATCTTTCCCACTCCCACAAACCGATCCGATCCAGGCGTTCGCCACAGTTTATGAAATCGTCAAAATCATAGGGGCGCAAATAAAATCCCTCATAATGAAACGACGTAAGTGGGACAAATAATGTAACGTTATTATACGAACATTCATTGATTCATCACGCCTGCCCGCTTATCGGTAATGTACGATACATCTCCGGTTTCATATAACAAAGTTACCGGTGTCATAGTTAACATGGTGACGCATACGAGCCACTGAAGTCTAATGACCACGGAGCCTGCAGACTGCATATAATCTTAGACATGTAAAAATGCGTAATCACCAAATTATGTTATACGCGTTCCAGTCCTTATAAAATAGTTCCCTCTGCTAAATATTATTCAAGTTATGCAAGTTATGCGAACCACACGGTAGTTGAGTTCTTCCTATACAATGTAAAAATTATTTAGCTATAGGTATAATAGACTACTGTAACTCGCGGCTTCGTCCACGCGGTCCAAGGGTACTGTGTACACACTGGCCTGCTATACTGGAGCCTTAAGCTAATCTTGATTCTCTGGCAGATATTTGCCAGTGAGCATTCACCTTTATACAATCATCATTAAGCTAATCGACGCCCTCACTGCTGGGGCATAGGCCTACCCAAATCCCAGTAGATGGAACCAAATGAAGAAAATCTACCGGTGTTTCTGTGTATAACGCGCATGTCTTTATAGAATAGTCCAGTTGTTCTTCTTTCCATTTTAGTGCGTAGTATGGATACGCATTGCAAAAAATACAAACAATTTTTTTTTTTAAATAGTCCTATTATTGAAGTAGTTTAATAATTATGCCATCATTTTGCTTGGATCTAAATGTGGCTACTGTGTTCACTCTGGATTTTCAGAGGCTTCCATTTAAAGGGCTTAAAACAGCCTCATGCTGTGCTTCAGCAAGATTCTATGACTGATCCTCAAAGCAACTTGCGGTCAGCTTGTTCTTGCTTTCTAAATTCAGCATTTTCAGAGAATTTGATGTGTGTAATGAAATAATAATAGAAAATTGTAAACTTAATTATGATAAAATGTCATCGTTAAAATATTTTCCTAGGCCCTAGTCAGTGTTCAATACTCAGGGTTGCTACCATTTTCAAATTAAAATAGTAAACAACAACAACCGACTACTTGACTATTTTTTAGAATAATTATAAATCCAGACAAAACTATTTACAATTTTGAATACAGTTAGGTCTCAAACATTATTAAATTTAAGTTATCAAAATAATACTTACAGATATTAAAAATAATACTTAAAAAAATGAAATAATAAAATATCTGCATAAATGGCATCCCTACATGGTATTGATAATATCACTATTTAAATGTGATACAAATGTCATGATAAATAAACTATAAATAGTTTACAATATGATAAGATAAGACTAAATTATACAATCATTATGAGTCCTTACTATAACTACAACCTGTCCTAATGAATGGACATCAAGGACGCCATAGGGAAAATAAAAAGTGCATTAAAAAATGAAGATCCATTATATTATTTCCTTTTTAATAAAGTCAAATGCAATTAGGACAAGTAAAACATTCTCATGACTTAGCTTATCTCTGTTCTCTATATTAATTCTTATACAGAAGGAAATAGAGTTTAATATTATGGATTGTCAAAATTTCAATTGTAATATAACAATTAAACGATGAAGTAAACAGGTCCTCAGAACAATACAAGTATGGGCTATTTTATTTGTTATGGCGATTGGCGAGTGATATTTCACAGAGTTATATCAAATCTGTCAAATATCTCCTTTAAATCTTAATGCTTTGTGGTCAGAGTTTAAATTCAACTAGAGGAGTCTGACATATTGTGGTAACCTGATGGGCAACCGTGGGTAATACAGGCTATGTAGTATGAAATGAATCAGGTAGTATGCTTTATTGAACAAAATGCACCCTGAAATTTAATTGATGATTATATTTTGCCCAAAATCATATCAATAAAAATTATCTTTACTCTTGTTATCAAATGAAGTTCATAAAAATTTTTTATTTAAGATATTGAGACTGACTCAAGATGCAGTGATCACTTTCTAAACTATTACAATGCTATTAATAATGTATTGTAAATAAATTATATGTCAAGAATATGATTATAACAAAGGCAAAACAAAATCTGTACAAATATTTACAAAACTTAAGTTTCATTACTGAAAACAAAAACTCCACGATGGCCATTCGTTAACGTTATCAAGCATGACGCGCGGCAAAAACACTAACCTTCTCAAATTATCGGAACTTACCATCTGAGTCTGTTGAATTGCCATCGAGGGCACAGATTATTGCAAAGTCTCTGCAAACACTGGGTCCCGAAAGGAGCGTCTTTATTAACACCAGTCATTTTGAAAGTTCTATATAAAGTCTTTAATACACCAGTCAAACACGCCTTCATTCACAGCCCCGAACACTTTATTAACAACGCATTGTTTCAATGAATTTTTTCTTTGTTTACATGATTTCGCGACCGTGTTTCAAAATGAAAATTCAGATATTTGCGCTGCTCATATAGGTAAGCTTGGTCGTTATAATATAAATTATATTCAAATATTTAAATTTGCAATTCGAATAAAATTAATAAATCGCGCTTAATTTATTAAACGAATTTATAAAATTCGCAACAAGACGACACGTCCACTCTTGCCACTAATGTCGACTGTCAAACTCTAATGTCAAACTGACGTTGCGTTTCGTAATTGAATGGCCTGTAAGCGTTTTGTTTGTACAATATAGATTAAATGAATAAGGAAATATTTTAAGAAAAAAAAAGGAAAGCATTAAAAAAGCCCCTTACTAGATGGCGACCCTACGAATAGTTGATTTTAGCAGGAAACGAATGGATCAAAGATAGTCAAATGACTACCGTTGCTTTTAACTGACATTTTAAAAAACTTAACAGACTAAAATGATTAAATCGTTATAACAATATTTTGGGGATACTTATGAATATTTCAATAATTAATTTATCTCTTGTCCTTTGTGCTATCTATAATTTCCATTTTCATATGAGGCCACGCAGGTGTTATTTAGAAAAAGTTCTAGCGCATTAGCAATTTACGGACTTATATCTACGATGTTAGATGCATGCATTTAATCGATACCTATCAATCAATAAACATAAATGTTTGAATTACATTATTAATTACTCATGTAATCAGTAGGTATACCTGTAATGTTACGTATTATAACATATGCAACATTTCTTACCATTCTTGGTCGAGACTTCGAGAATATTTAAGTCTATTTATCATGTATATAACGGTAAGTAGGCAACTGAGTAGTACTATTTATTTATTTATTTTGGGAAGACCAACAGCTATAACAAATACATAGCGATTAAATAGACTATAGGAAGCCATTTACAGGTCCACACAGATGGTACAAACTGGTAAACAAAAAATCGAATCACAATATATACTCATACTTAATAAATCTGTTCCAAATTAGGGATCACACTTAATTAATCCTTCCATCGATCATTATTATCGATGTAAAAAAAACTATCCACCAATGCACGCCTTGCTTTCTCAAAACCAGTATTAAATAGGTCGAAATGGAATTCGATACATATTTTATTAAAGCTGTTACATGCACGCCATTTAAAGGAATTTTGCCTATAATTAGTATTAACTTGTGGAAGATAAATAAGCGCATTTGATCTTAAGATTTTACGAGGCGGTATAATGGAAATTGAACCTAACAATTGTGGACAATCGACGACATTGGATGTGATCTTAAGCACGAAGCAGAGGTCAGCAATTAAACGTCTTTGCTCTAGTGGTACGAGATGATACTTCTTGCAATGGAGCAGGTAATCAGAGGAGAAAAATGGCTCGGACAGTCGGAAACATAGATAACGTAAAGATTTAATCTGAATATTTTCCAATCTAGAAATGTAGGTCGAGTATCTAGGGTTCCAAACCTGCGATGCATATTCAAGATGACTGCGTACATATGAGCAATAAAGGATTTTCAAAGTCTTAGCCTGCTTAAAATCACGAGATACGCGTTTGATAAAGCCTAATGCCTTGTATGCTTTAGCGATAATACTGTTGATATGGACATCGAATACACCAAGATCGCGTATGCTAGTCTCTCTTCCGAGCTGTTCGCCTCTTATGGCATAGTTGATAACTATAGGGTTTCGTTTCCTACTATAGCTTACGAGACAACACTTTGCAGGGTTCAGGTCTAGACAATTAACGTCACAGTATGCTTCAAATTTAAAGAGGTCGTCCTGGAGGGATTGAGCGTCCATGATAGACGATATCCAAGCGAAGATCTTCATGTCATCGGCGAATGATAAAAGACTAGAGAAACTGAAGCATTTCTCAATATCATTCACGAAAACTAAAAACAGCAAAGGTCCAAGCAATGAACCCTGCGGAATTCCGCTAGGTATGTCAACCCAACTGGAAATGTAATTATTAATAACTACAGCTTGAGACCGGTTGTTAAGGTAGGATGAAAACCACCTAAAAAGATCTCCCTTGATTCCAATCGCCGATAGCTTAGAAACTAATAAATGGTGTGGAATTCTGTCAAAGGCTTTGCTATAGTCTGTGTATATAACGTCCACTTGCCCTCCATTATCCATTGTATCAGCGATGGCCTCATTCAAAAGAACAAGGTTGGAAACTGTTGAGCGGCTTTTCAGAAATCCGTGTTGCTGAGGACTTATTGAATGTCTAATACAAGGATATAACTGATCGTAAATTAAACGTTCCAAAACCTTTGCGACTATACACAGTTTAGAAATCGGTCTATAGTTTTCTACCTCGTATTTTAATCCTTTTTTGTGGATTGGTGTTATAAATGCCCGCTTCCAGTGGGCAGGCATGTAGCCTTGCGTCAGGGACATTCGAAAAAAGACGCATAGAGGTATTGAGATTGATTTGGCGCACTGTATCAGAAAATATGAAGGTAACTCATCCGGACCGGCAGATTTAGAGGCATCTAGTTTTTGGAGCACCTTCACAACTCTATTATAATCTATTTCTATAGAAAATATTTCAGAGGTAGAATCAGTATTTAGAACATTCTGAGTTGGTGAAGGCGAGCTTACGGCAAAAGTGGAAAGGAAGTAATTAGAAAATGCTTCACAAATCGAGTCGCCAGTATTATAGGTCGAACCGTTATAGTTAAGACTACATATGCCATTAGATTTTTTTTAGAAGATACAAAACTCCAAAAATTTTTTGGATGTTGGTCAATTGAGTTTTCTATTAACATTAAATAATTATTATAGCATAGTTTTTCTAAGAATTTGACTCGATCACGTAACAAACTGTAACTTTGAATATCTGCTAGATTACCGTAGGTTTTATATTTTCGAAGATATTTTACTTTTTCCTTTATCACTTTTATTAGTGACGTAGTATACCATTTCGGGTAGGAACCACTTGTGATATTTTTTTTTGGTATATATTTGTCTTTTATAGACGTATAAAAATTATAAAATTCGTTCATAGCGTCATCAAGTTAAATGGTTTAACTTAGAATTCCAGTCGATAAGAGCAATTTCTTCATTAATTTTATCATAGTCGCCCCGCTGAAACAAGTACTAGGTACGGGGTGCACTAACGAGTGGAGGGGATTCAATACAATTTAACTCCAATAACAGTGCGCCATGGTGGGAGTCGATGGGAACAAGTCTATGTGCTCAAATATTCTATACCGGACAGCCCCCCCGGGACAGACATTTTGTATACACTATTAATATTATATATCGAGGTAAAATAATAATATAACGGACTATTAGCACTGTTATAATTTTTTACAACCATTTACCAACGTAAAGGCTATATATTCTGCTTAACTATAATGAAGATAGTTTGCAAATCCTCAATTTCTCAAGTAGTGTTTAACTGTTTCTCTTTCAGACTACATTACTAGCTATAGGCATCGCGTGGTGGAGTATAGCCATCGGTAATCTGGAAGTGCGGCCGGTGGGCTGGCTGGGCAACCTAGTGCAGTACCATCGGCAAAAGCTAATACAAGACGTGCGGGACGAGGCACCTATTCAAGTAAAAGGTAACAAACGATCGATGCAACGTCTACCGTAGTTCCCGCTACCATTAAACCTTGCGATAAATATAAATCATATCATAGCAATTTTCGTGCAGCTTCTATCCACCCCCGGCCGGAGGGTTACGTGGACTCGCCTCTGTGGAATGTGACATCGGTGCTACGTCTGATGGCGCTGGTCCGGCGCAGCGCGGGCGCGGGGGAGGTGCGCGCCGCGCTGCGCCGGATGCTGACGCCGCGCGCGCGCAGGATGAGTAGACCGAAGAGCTTCAAACACTTCCCGAGTTTGGGCAAGGTAAGGAAAGGCAGAACTAATAACAACCCTAGTCAGTGGCGTAGCTACCAAGGGGCTAGGCGGGGCAGTGCCCCGGGACCCTCAAGCTCAGGGGGCCCTCGAATCTTTATCAGAAAATCTCAATCGAACTCAACTTTTGAAAATTTCTCCAATTTTCAAAATGAATATGACAGGTGACAACTAGAGTTAAATCATGGCAACTCAGCTGTGAGAAATTCCAAAGGGAATTCCAATAAATTATTTGTGTGGGTTGACAGTGTTATTAATGTTTTCATCAATTTGTCGGATATCAATATGTGCATATTATTATTTATCGATATGTGTTTTTGTGATTCGCGATTGTGAACTTCCGAGTCAAGATTTTTTTTTCGAGAATGGTTAAAAGTTAATGTATCAGGAGTAAGTAAGCGTATGTCAATAAATTAGTTGTACTGGTCCATACAAAAGTTCAATTTTATTTGATTATAGTTCGTATACATAGTCACGTAAAGAAATCTATAGATTTCGGCTACACACTATATAACTCAAAATACCGTGAAAAATACAAGTCACATGGGGTAGGGGGCCGTCCATTCAACGTGATGTTTTTTGTCATTTTTTAAACCGTCAAATGTGGTAACACTGGCAGCGATAAAATGTTGCCGGGGATTCCCCAACGACGTCTTGTATCGTATCATCTCGTTTCGCTTTCTTTTTACTTGTAACGATGTCAGTGAACAGTGAGTACCTACTTGGGTACAATGTTACATAAATATTGCATAAATAAATTAGAAAACTAATATGGACAGAAAAAAAAGAAACCCAGTGGTGCATTTAAACGCAAACAACGCCAAGAAAGTGAAGAAAGTAAACAAAAATTGGCCAAAATTGACAAGTTTTTTAATCAGCCTTCTGCAAGTACTTCTGGACAAAATATTTCTATTGATAATTTTTGTAAATAGCTTGCATGGCGATAGGTTAAATAACAGTAAACCGGTGTAACGTATGTATGAATAAATAAATATACTGACCTCCGTAGCCGAGTGGTTCGCACGCCGGTTTCAAGATGTCGCCATCTCTGAGGTCCCGGGTTCGATTCCCGGTCGGGTCAATGTATAAAATGAACTTTTTCTATATTGACTCGGGTCTGGGTGTTGTGATACCTTCGTTGTCTCAGATACTCCATAATACGGGGGCTCTAGATACTCATCTTGGAATCTGAGCAATGTATGTGATGTTGTTAAATATTTATATTTATTTATATATGAGATCTATGGTGGGACGAGCTTGCCCAGAAGGAACATATTCACTAAAATATAAAAAACCCTTGAATCTTTTCTATTTCGTTTTATTGCCCAATACCCACACCAAGTATAAAAATAATTGTAATTTATGTTGTTAGTGTTTAATAGTTTTATTACCTGCCTATGCACGAAAAAGAGCTGATGATAAAGTTGTTTAGCATTTTTAAAGTATTTGTATATTTAATAATTTTATTTTAAAAAACCTTACCAGTTTTGATAGCAGTGGGCCCCATTTTTTTATTTGCCCCAGGGCCCTAGGTAACCTAGCTATGCCACTGACCCTAGTGAAAACTCAAGTTTTGGCCATTTGAAATTGATTTTGGTGGTAGGCCAAAAAGAAGGTAAGAAATGTGCGAGTGCAGCGGGCGACCACTCGAATCGACTTTACATAATTTAAATATATCCGTAGGTAAACGCTGTATTATTCAATACCTTATTTGTTATTCTCATCGCGTAGGATTCGCCAAACTACTTCTACTACAACGTGTTCTCTGAAGAGGAGTACTTTGAGGAGGATGACGGTACGAATATACTGGATGAGGACGCGGTGCTGATCATCAGTAACCCGGTGGAGGCTCGCCTGCCTAGCGCTCAGATCAGCGTCAAACTACTCAAGTCAGTACCCTACGCTCACTCTAGGGTAGGGGAGGAGGGGGGGGCGATCGTGTTAGGCTCGACGGTCGGTTCCCATCTGCGGCGCAGAACTCTTGGGATCTCTAGCCCCTAGGCCTAATGATCATGTCACTTTAAATAAAGTTATCAATAACGCATGTACAAGAATGACCTCGTCAAGGCGCGCGCTAATTTGGTATTCAGCGTGAAACGGATTTTCTTCATCCATGTAACGGGCTGCTCCCTCCTAGCCGTTTACTGATGACTTATTGGCAGTGCTCACGTTGTCCGTCCTTTCTAACGACGTGGGTAAGGAATTCCAGGATCTTTAGAAGGCATACTGGCTTATGTTTAGTTTCCGAAGAAATATTTCATTCATACGTAATACTCAGGATTCATAAGATCTACGTACTCAAGATCGATCTTTATTGTGTTTATGGATGTTACACAACACTTTCTTTCTCCTAAAACAGCATTAGTTATGTTGATAGTAAGATAAGACCAAGCACTAAACAGTCATGTGAGTGTCTCAACCTTCTTTACCGTATACGTACAATCAAAGACGTTATGGAATGTAATAAACTATTTGCATAACAATGATCACGATTCGGTCACCTTTTTATTTAAACGTAAGCCCGTGTGCAAAGATCATGCTAAAAATTAGATTAATGGTCTAACTTCGTTATCTTTGTAGAAGCATACTGGAGAAGAGAGCCGAAGCCGCCAGGCTGATGCCCGCCACCACGCAGCGGACCGTGTAAGATATCGTTCACATTAAACTGCGTAACGTACATTATGTAGGTAGATAAATACTTATCACTTTTAATAGATCTCACTCTTGGAATACTCCTAGCCACGTTTTTGTTTTGTTACTGTCTGAGTCGTCTTATTAATTTCCTGTCGAGCGAGTGTAATAAATAACGAATTTTCATATAACTTTTTATACTCTGCATTGCCGCTAACTTTATGTTCTTGTTTGCCTCCTTTATGCTTGTTTCCTTCTTACTTATGTCGCTTCAACAGTTAGTCAGTGTTCATGAGTAGGTATATGTATTATTGTTAGTATTAAGATCACCATTTAACTATTATTTATTATACAGAATATGGAAAACTCATACGACTACGGTGACGTCAGCAGTAAGTGGAAACGGTAAGTTGTCCACGCTTTTAAAACTTTAAATGCGCGAAACCGTAACCGTAAAATACATAAGAAGCCACATTTGCAATCTATCAATCTGAACTTGACAGGGAGGCCTCATTAATTGATCGATTCATTTAACGAATCGATATAGTTTTCAAAGAAATGTGGATCTAACGAAGTTAATTTTAAGATTATCAAAATATAACTTCGTGAGATTAAATAAATAAATAAAATGTTAATTGTGATAATGGAATAGTACATAAAGTATAATGGCTGTGTACGGAGTGTCCGTTGGAGTAAAACATTGCTTGCGACCGGACGCTCCGTATTCCGATTCCATATCTTAAAAATGGTACTAACATTTAATTCAAGGTAATTGTGACATCTTCATATCACTATAGAATAAAAATAATTAAATTAACAATTAGAATATGTTATTTACTATTTTAATGTAAAAGTGTGTGAATATTTCTCTACTGTTCTTTCTGTACTGTGTACTACGTAGCTATGAAAAAAATATAATCATATATTTATTACATCACAAGTTACTTTGAAGCCGAAACTGAGAGATGTCAAACGTGGCCAATTACAATCGATCCACCTGAATCTACTCATTACTAGTTCGTCGACGGCCGACACGAAGCGAACTGCTATTTCTGGCCTGCAACGGTTTTGTCAGAAACCGGGCGACCATAGGGAAATATTTTAGGGGCTACGTATAGATCCCGGAAGGATCGGAATGGACAATCCGCCATCGGAGGCACGGTTAGATAGCATTTAACTCCTAACATTTGGCGGTGACGTGCAGGCAGCGCCGGCGACGTGACCGCGGACGGCGCCACCTCCGCCGCCCCCGGAGCGGACGCCAACGCCATCGCGCCGCCGCCGCCCGCCGGGGACGCCACCGAGGCCGCCGCCGAACCCGCCGAATAACGGCGGAACTCGTCGCCGTCGCCGTCGCCGCCTCGCTCTCGTTATGATTCAAGTCGTAATATAAAATTAATTACAATCTGATATCAGTGTTTTCATTGCGCCTATCGGGTTTCGGGTTAAACGGAGGCCACCCATTCATCCGCAACTGGAATCTGAACAACACCCGTCGGGCTGCGTCGGGTACCAAATCTAAAGTATTAATCGGTACTACGCCGGTTTTTGTTTTTATTACTTCTGCGGTATTTCGTGATCCCGGAGGTGGGCCAGGGTTTCGCGTGTGCCCGTCGCGCGATGCTGTTAAATCCATTAGATACAATCTCAACCTCGGACGGTGTCACACCGCACATACCCATTCATTCGCTTACGCCGCGTCCTCCTCGAGGCGAGCGCGTCACTATAGTTTAATTTATTAATATCTTACATTTTTACGATCAGTGTGCAATTAAACATTGAAATATCAAGGAAGGAGAAGCTCGGGAACCACTCGTGTTACTTAACTTTGCTTTTATCTCAACATAATTTATTTAACTGCAGGTAGGTAGGCTCCTTGCGTCCTCTTAAACGAACTTTCACATCTGAAAGTGTAAATTAGCTAGCCGGCGTCTACACGATCAGATGTAACGAACGTTCACGAGCACGTCCAGGGAAGGGAACGCAAATGAAACAACAGAGCGGTATGCGCGTTGCGTGCGTTTATCTGCCGGCGGGCCAGTCGAGGTGCACGCGCGTGACGTCGAGCGCGAGCAGGTCGAGGCGCGCGGGCAGCACGCCGCGGGACAGCGCGGGCCGCGTGCGGGCCAGCTCGCCGTGCACGAACTCCTTCACGTACGCGCCCGCCGACGTGCGCACGCGCAGCACCAGCAGCTGCGGGTGCTCTGCACACGGGCACACGGGCAAGTGACGTTAGCGACGGGCCGACGGGGCGCCGGGAATGCGCGCAGCACAGAACACATAAAGACGTCAGAAAGGCCCTGTGGGCGTGGCCGTGTAGCCCCGATCCTGGACAAATATACAGGATCGTGGCTACCCCACGCGATCGCGATGTTCAGTCATTGAGGAACGCGCGCGCCGTGAGTACTGTGAAACGCGCCCCTAAAAGTGTTAAAAATGCCGACTTGCGCAGTTATTAATTGCAAAACGAGAAGTCCATCCTCGAGTAGGTCCAGAGGAAGGATTTCTTTCCATCAGTAAGTAGAACACTTCTCAAATTTAGTATTTTTAGTCGAAATTCGTGAAATGTTATCAAAAGTGTGAATCACAAAAAATATTTCCAAGAAAATATACATTGCTGGAAAAGTGCACATATTTATTACATTGCGTCGTCCTAAGCACGTAATGTAAAGAACATCGCGAAATCACCGTTTTTAATAGCAACATAATAGATTACGGTAGATGGGTAGTGAAGTGCCTGGAAACATTTAATCGATTCTTGTGTGCAAAAACTAAATAAAAGTATGGACGATAAAAATAAAGGTAATAAAAAATAAATTTAATCGGAGATAAACAATAGCAATAAATAAAATGCAACCCTATTCTTGACTACCATATTGACTTCGTTTGGTGTGCGTTTGTATAGGTATTAATTTAATAATGAGTGTGGCATTAAGAGCCATATGACAAATTTTCACTCTGTGATTTGAGTTCTCGAGAACTTGTTCAAGGTCACGAGTCCACAATACTGTGTTGAAACCACGTTCAAGCTATTTTGATACTTTTCCCAATTTTTGTATTTATTTTAGTATTTCTATGGTGAGATTCATTATCGATTCCCGAATATTTTAAACGACTGCTCTCGAAAAGGAGTCTATTGTTTTTAGAATTAATGTATGTATGTGAGTATTTTTATTGCACCATAACTTTTGAAAGATATAACGGATATGAATGTACAGGGTATCATTAGAAACATCATCCTAAGTTACCACAAAATACATAGAGTATCAGTGAAACTAGCTTAATTATTAATATTAAATAGGTATGGGGACGTGTGACGCCATTTAAAAAAGTATGTTTTTTTATAATCATAACTTTATGGGTATCAAATTAAAGGTCCATTAAAAATATATAATCTGTATACAAAATTAACTGCTCACTAAAATGAATAAAATATAAAAATTATTTAAAAATTAAAAACACGACTGCTAAGATCGGACAAAAATTAAAAGAAACAAGTTTAGCCAAATCATAGGCTATAAATATAAATAGCGATGACAATATATCAATAAAATTATAAATATTAATTAAAAAATATTCGTGCCATATTTTTCGTCGACGATTTCGAAATATTTTCGTCATCCATAGGAAACATGGACTGTTTCCTGTTTGGAAAAGTAGTAAATTAGAATTATATTAAACTAGTTGTGCCCGCGGCTTTATGCGAATGGAAAGTAACCTAAGGTTCTTTTTTTTCATGGCTAGATGCGATGTTATTCGATATGAATGAACGATATCACACGAATCGCATGCACTTATAAAATGTATGGAAAAACTCAAGTGTTTGCTCATGAGATTGTACCATCTGTCAATATCGGTCACAAATCTCATGGTCTGCGGTATCACTTCAAATGTATCACACAAAAAAGAGGTAAGGCAAAAAGAGCATATAAGAAACGTCCAACTAACCGCAATCTTATTCGTTTTAAGGTTCTTCGAAATTGCTGCAGTCGTATGTGTAGGGATGCTAAGCGACGCTTCTTCCATAGCTCTCTTACTGATCGCAATCCTACTGATGCCTGGCGGTTTTTGCACTCTGTAGGAGTGGGGAAATCTACTGCTAGTGTGTCTACCAATGTAGATTTAAGCGTCCTTAACAGACACTTCTCCCTTCCTCCTTCTACTATCGATGGTGACATAAAGGATTCTACGCTCGCAGAACTTTCACTGGTTCCGAGGCCAGACTGCACATCTTTTGTCTTTTCAAAAATATCCGAAACTGACATTAAAAATACCATCAAGCCATTTCTTCCGAGGCTGCTGGCGAGGACAACCTAAGCGTAAGAATGTTTACCCCTATTTTATCTTTTCTCCTTCCTATACTTGTTCACATACTTAACTTCTCACTTGAATCCGGTTCTTTTCCCAAAATTTGGAAGATGGCGCACATTATTCCACTGCCTAATGTATCTAATCCTTCAGTCCCATCCCATTTTCGTCCTATTTCTATTCTTCCCCTTCTCTCTAAACTTCTTGAACATATTGTTCATAAGCAATTATCAACTTTTCTTTTTTCTAATTCCCTTTTGAATAGGTACCAATCTGGTTTCCGCCCTGGTCACAGTACTGTAACAGCTTTAATAAACATTACTGATGATATTCGTTGGGCTATGGAGAATAAAGCTCTTACAGTTCTAATTCTTCTAGACTTCAGCAGTGCTTTTAATTCTGTCGATTTTGACATTCTTCTCGCTATTCTTCGTTCTTGCAATGTCTCTCCTTCTGTTCTCTCATGGTTTGATTCCTACCTTCGGGGACGCACGCAACGTGTGCGTCTTGGTAATAAATCTTCTGATTGGTGCGACCTCGGTGCGGGTGTTCCTCAGGGTGCTGTTCTCTCACCTCTCTTATTTTCTATTTTCATTAACTCGGTTACTAAAGTTATATCTTCCAACTTCCACCTCTATGCAGACGACTTGCACCTTTATCGACACTTTAAAATAGAAGACTGTAACTCGGCACTGGTAGCTATTAATAACGATTTGGATCGCATTAGTACTTGGGCAAAATCGTTTGGCCTCATGCTTAACCCGAGTAAATCTCAGGCCATTGTGATAGGTAGCAGGTTTAATATTAATTCTATTTCTGCATTATCTTTACCACCCCTGCTTTTGGATGGGACTCAGATCGAGTTAACGACACTGTAAAAATTCTTGGAATTACAATGGATTCAAATCTATCATGGACTGCCCATGTATCTGAGGTTAGTCGTAGGACCTTCTTCTCATTTCACACACTTAAATGCCTTCAAAACTTTTTACCTTTTAAAACTAAAGTGTTACTAGCACAATCCTTAATTATACCTCTTCTTGACTATGCAGATGCATGTTACTTGGATGCCACTGAGGAGTTATTAAACAAACTTGAACGACTTCAAAATCTAGCGATTAGATTTATTTATGGTCTTCGTAAGTATGATCATGTGTCACATTTACGTAAGCAGCTCATGTGGCTTCCCATTCGTCAGCGTAGATATGTCAGGATTGTCTGTCTTCTGTTCAACATCCTGTATAATCCCGTCTATCCTTCCTATCTGCGTGAGCGTTTCTCCTTTCTCCGTTCTTCTGATGCTCTTTGCAGATCCCACCTTAAGTCTTCAAACTCCTTCACACATAACGGATTTTGCTTCATATTCCTTCACTGTTCATGCTGCTAGACTCTGGAACTCTTTGCCTGCCGATATACGTGACAGTCGCACTATTTCTGTGTTCAAAAAAAGAGTAAAGGATCATTATCTTTCCTGTTGTTGATATTGGATGGTGTAGGTATTATTAATCTTTATATATTATAGATATATATATTATTATTTATATAATGTTTGAACCGTTATGTATTTTTATTTTCTCTCTTTCCCGGTATTTGAATTTGTTTTTTTTATTCCATATTAATTTATTTAGGAGGTACACACTGACTACCTTATTGTATTTCTTTTTCCTGTTTTGGGCCTGCTGGTAGAAATTTCAATTTGAAATAAGCAGTGCCCTTGTACTAATGTCTGTTACATTTGTTCATATGAAATTGTATGTGTGTACAAAATAAATAAATAAATAAATAGATAATCCAACATTTTGTGGCGGCGGCCATCTTGTATATAAAATTTTGTCATAGTAAACAGTATTCTACTACTCAAGCCCTTTTATTTAATGTCCGTATTGAGGGAGTCGTGAAAAATATGTAGGTAATCCAACATTTTTGGTGGCGGCCATCTTGGATTTGAAATTTGTCATAGTGTTCAGTATTCTACTACTCAAGCCCTCTTATTTGATACCCATATTGATGGAATGGTGATAAAATATGTGATCCGACATTTTGTGGCGGCGGCCATCTTGTATCGATTTTCATCAAAGTGAAGAACACTCCCGACTAATACACCTTTTAAACAAAATCAAAATGGGTTCATCCGTTCGGGAACTATGATGCCACAAAAAGACACAAACACACCACACACACACACACAGAGACATGTCAAACTTATAACACCGCGTCGTTTTTGCGTCCGGGATTAAAAATATATTGAATTTAGAAAAAGTTGTTTCATATGCGGATCTCCGATAAATTTGATATCGGTCGAATTGCATCGAGCCATAAGTCTAAGTTAATCCTCATTACGTAAGTCAACTTCTAGTGAAAGTCTCTTCAAAATCGGCCAAGCCGTTTCAGAGATTAGCCAGAACTAACAGACAGACAGATAAAATATATTATTTTTGTATATGTACCATGTATACACACAAATGTATTTAGTGAAAAGCGGTTATTTTAATATTACAAATATGCACTCCAATTTTATGTACTAGTATAAGTGTATTGAGAGAAGAAGTACCTTGCTTTATTTGCATTTCATAATATAAATATATATTTTAACTTTCTTATACAAATATACCTAGGGGTCTTTCGACCTATGCTGAAAATAACAAATGTGTATTAGAAATAATTCAATAAGCTATATAAATTCCATATAAATCGAACTTCGTGACCAAAGTTGGAAGTCCCACTATACTGCTCTATTTACGCTCGCTCGAACGTATCTAGATCGAAAAATGGCGCGAAGAAATGCGACACAGGTCTAACGTTGAGGAGCGCTCGCGCGGTACTGAGCTCAGACGGCCGCTGCATCTTATTTTGTAGTGATTTTGCGTTTACATTTATCGTATTTATTGAAATAATATAATAAATTTATGCTTTAAAATTATAATAACTTTGTTCCTTATGAAATAGTCATTAATCTGGCATAAATTTTGTTAAATAATATTGTTGTGGCTAAGAGAAATTCAAAGTTAACTTCAAGCAATTTTTGATGTTTTTTGGTTTGTAATATAATTGTTTTTCTATATTTAATCAGTGCTATTTCAAAATTTCGAGCTACTGTTTACTTTACGACTATATAAGAGATATCATTCTATTTCTTTTATTTCGTTTGTTAAGAACAGTAGCTCAATCCAGGACTTCAAAAAAGTGTCTTTGCGCATTTTATGAAAAACTTTCTCTGGTATTTTGGATTTAATTAAAAAGATGAGCAAAATTTCCAAAAAGTTGAGCCACTAATTTCTATACCAAGAGTTATTCTTCACTATTCAACAAGTCAAAATTGTTAATTTGTTTTTGTTTCCGAGAAAAATCACGCAGAAATCACAGTTGCGATGTAATATGGCTCTTAAGTCTGTTTTTATATTCTTTATATTGTAGCAGATTTTTATTTTGAACCATTAACAACAATACTTTTTAAATCATCGGAAACCGTTCGGGATAAGTCCAATAGCATCTATTGTATTAATTGTATTTTTTTATTTTGTATATATTTATTTACATTATATTGTTTGTCAATATAACTAGTTTCGTTTAAGTGATGTTGCCGATCTTATCTGTGTAAAAAAAGTTACCTACCATTATTATAAATAAACAAATATATTTATATGCAAATAACTATTTAACCTCGACTAGTACAGATTCAATGTTAGTTCATGAGTAATTAGTAATTTAATTATTCCTTATTGAATCAACCGACTAATTAACAATTAATAATGTCACATTCAATCAATACAATTTAATGTATATCCAAAATAATATAAAGAAATCATTACTCTAGTATCTATTATTTAATCGACTTGTTGTTTTTCTATATCGATAGTAAATAACTTCATGTCAATCACTAGTGTGATATGTCAAATTAAAATGGCTTTTACACGTTTATTGCGCACTATAGATGCCCGTTATGGTTGAACGTGATCGGTTATAGTAATATCGGAACGTTCTGATTGGCATGTTTAAAATGCAAGGCAATCGGTCTAATATTTCGTCTTTTGTACGGCGGACTAAAAGTGGGGCAAGAATGGCGACATCGGTTTTCGTACAAGGGATGCATGATCGCCTTTCTAACCTCTTTTCCGTGTTCTGTGGCGCGAAGGGTATAAGCCGAGTACAGTACTGACCGGGCACCGGCTGCGCGTGCATCTCGTATATGTATCTGGTGCGCGCCCGCAGCGGGCGGCGGTGCAGCACCCGCAGCGGCGTGCGCTGCTCCAGCCGCACGCGCGGCGCTGCGCCCCCCTCCCCCTCCACCCCCTCCACACCCCCCGCCTCCCCCACGTTGCGGTAGGCGTTGACGCGCGCTATGTCCGCCGCCGTGACGCGCGCGCCGCACTCGCCGGGCACCTGCGCACGCGCCCGCATGATGAATAAATACTTGCCATAAATACTTATTTTGAGTACTATTTTGTAGCTCATAGCGTTCAAACACATGGAATACAAAAATAATTTTAATATTACGATTATTTTGCAATTATCCTTGCCTTGCGTAAAAGTGTTAATTATTTTTCAATAGTTGCATTCCCTTATATTAGACTGTCTCGTATCGATTGAAAATAATAGCACAAATTATATTTATGCCGTAACAAACTATATAAGTTATAATTATAATGACAAAATTACAGTAAGAAATATATCATCAGCCAGTTTCAACGCTACAAAAAGACTGGGCGATAAAAAGAAAAGTTTTTAACACAAATATGGCTGGACGGGATGGTCGCCGTGAACGTTGAATACGCTACTCGTGACTCAGATCAATCACCATCAACAGATAAATGAGGTGTAGTTAATACACTAATAGCAACACCCTCCCCTACCTTGACCAACAAAAATGATGTAAGTATTGAAATTACGCACACATTCATTTCTGACACAGACCCACAAATGAATAATTTAGAAAAAAGTTTGGAACATACCTCCTGTCGAAGGTGCTTATCAATATGGCTTTTAGACATTACGTAGTTGGGTACGATTCATGGAATTAATTTTACACATTTCTTACAACTTAAGTTTTATTACGAAAAGACCTCGGTTTAATCATCAATAAACCAAAACAAGGTATTGGTAATACTAATGACGGCAACCTTGCGAGAAGGTTTTTTCAAAATTATCAGTATACGGCTAAATTTTAGGGGGTAAATGAAGACTTAATAAATCGTTTTTACATACTGCGTCAAGTAACGTCAAATAGAAAAATTATTAATGCCGCGAAACTTGTTCGGTACGCATACGATACAGCACAACTCTTTGTTACCAAATATAAGTGGTATTTTACCCCCTCTTCTGTACAGAATGTTCTGATTCATGGAGAAAGTGTAATTCGTCATTATTTTTTATTGCCCCTTGACCAGCTCTCCGAAGAAGCTCAAGAACCACGAAATAAAGAATTGCTACTAATGAAGACGTACTACATGCGCTGTTATATACTTCAGATCCTATCATAACGAGTCTAAGAATACCTTACAATAAAATATCTGTAGAGCTATTAGACTAAGCTTTGGCACTTCTTGGTTACTTGAAAATTGTATATTTTGTACAGTTGTATTGTTTTAAATCTTATATTATTAAAACTTACACTAAGGGGTCACATCTAACATGATGCCTACAAGTAACAAAAATACGTTACTTAAATAGATCTTATATACACATCTAATTTATCAATATAGTTGTAAGTTTTGATAATTTTTACATATCCCTCCTTGCGTCGTTCATTCTCAATGTTGAGGATCGTGACCTCGGCGAGTTACTACTCTCTCTCGCAGCGTTAAAGTTTAAAATGATATGAGGAACTGCACCGACCCGAGACGTCAGAGATGTTAAATAACGCTCCGTACAGATTAAACTCTACTAACGTGATTGCATTATTTCGATTCATATAATGAACATGCCCTATTGTGTAGTAATATAGTGATCTCACCGCGTCGTCGCCGTCGCCGTCGGACGTCAGTTTGATGCAGAGCGCTTCGTACGTCTTACATTTGCTCTGTTCGCCTTTCTTCAGCTCCGCCAGGTCCTGCCTGCGCACGATTCCACTTTGTGTTATATCAATCAGAGGCAGAATCTAATTACTGGGATTAAACGAAGCCGTTTCCCGCTGAAATATTTTTAACTTAAAAATTTATATTTATACTAGCTTTTGCCCGCGACTTCGTCCGCGTGATATAGTTACTTTGGGCATCATATTTTTCAAAAACGCTGTTGTTTTTTGTGCTGATGATGAAATTACCTTGATGTTTAAGTTCGAAGATAGTACAACAAAATACCAACGAATATCCAATATGTTTCAGCACTTTATCTTTGAAACTTTAGAGATATTAATCCAATTCAATCCAATTTGAAATAAAGATGAGAAAAAAAACAGTTCTGAAGTTTATACAAAACTTGATCGAAAACGTAATCTACGCAAAATTCTTTGAAAGAAACGTTACCACAGATTACTTTAGAATAAACGCCATCTAGAATACAGCGCCATCTATTGGGTGTAATTGCAACCTAGATGTCAAACGATATTGAAGAATTTTATCTATGAATCACCGTACACCGCCATCTATGAGAACTTCATAAAACTAAACAGTAAATAAACACTTGCTTAAGAAACAATTAATTAGAACATTTTATTCGTTTACATTCACGACATAAGCGAATAATTGAGATGATAACTATCCTATCCAGTAAGTTAGACCAAAATACGGGTACATGTGAAATTTGATTGAAATCGGTTCAGTAGTTTTGGAGTTTATTGGCAACATACATCGTGACACAAATTTTTTATATATATAATATAAAAGATGGACCTCGCCGGACGAAGTCGTCGGCGGAAAACTACTATGAGTATAATAATAAATAATAACGCATGGTGAGAGCGAACATAACTAAATAATCTACAAACAGGAATATTAATGCTAATCAGGCTCATAAGTAGTTAACTAAATTTGAACTCGCTACTTATTTGTGTATTTACACGAACTTAATCACTAACAAATATGTTAAACTCGATTACGTTATATTTAACGTACAGTTCCACGAACGGCTTAATGACGACTACAAGCTCGGATGAATGTTTTAAATTTTAAAATTTATCGGTATTAAAGCGATGGTAATTTTAATGAACGTTTGTGCAACTAGAGGCGATAGGAAAGCGACTTATAATAACTAAAGTGTGGTCTGCTCTGACACGGGTACTAAGCATTGTTTATTATTATTCTCACTTGGTGACCGGCACGAGCTCGTTGACGACCACCTTCCCGCTGGCCGATATCTGGGCGCAGGCGGAGCTCAGCTCCTCCGCGCTCAGCTCCCTGCTGGGGTCCGCCACCTGTTTGTTATCACGCCGCTACAATGGGTTCGGTTCGGGAAACGTCTGCAGTCGCTGACACCCACCGATCCGCCTGAGTCCAAACGATGGGTAAAGTCCATCTGGTATCGTTCCGGCTGCTCCTGGTATCGTGCGCTTGCAGTAATGATAATACTAATGTCTTTTCCTATTTATCTCATTGGCCGATTTAATATGTGCGAGTAATTATTGCATTTATTAATTCTGACGCGGGACGAAGCACACATGAGTAGTGAATATATCTTCGATCAACAATACGACTAAATGACTTTTTAGCATACTCAAACAATACTCAAATACGCCAGCATACATACACTGCGACAACCAAGGAGTATATTACCTACCACAGAGTATATTCTGTGAGTACGCACCTCGACCGCGAAGGGGCGCCCCCCCCCCAGACAGCGCACGTCCACGTCCTCGCGGCCGGCGCTCACCAGCTTCAGCCGCCGCTCGCTGTCCGCCGCGGACATGCTGCAACACACGCAGGCACTCCGGTAAACGGATATCATTCACCATGAGTCACCCTCCAAAGGGTATTATGCGGGTCGAATGAATAAGCTCGAATATAGAAACTCGGACAAGTTTAACAGAACGACGCGCCTTTCCGCTAATAATGGAACGATGGCGATGGGAACGCTATCAAGAGGCGCCGAACGATTGACCACAATCCAGGGTACGATCGCGGGATCGGTTTTCATAGCCAAAACTCTTGATAACCGTTTTTGAACTTGATTTTTATTTCCTCGTTTGTGGTCAATTCTATAAATAACGATGTTACAATGTAAAACGATTGTTAGAAGCGCATAGATGTTCGCAAAGTAGGGGAACAATGTATGGGTCGGTTGAGCGAGTTTTGTAAACTCTCCGGACCTCAAAAAAAGTGAATAAAGACAAAGTGACAGTTATCGAACAAGTTTTAATAAACATTCCAACGTCGGCTAGCTACGTGTTCGCTGTTCGAGACCAACAGAACAGGAACATCCGCAACAAACTAGCTTTACTAGAAAGCTTATTGAATAATAGAACATTGAAATGATTCGTTTAAAATAACATTTATATATTTAAAGCGTGCGACGGAAGCGATGCGTCTCCGTCGTCCGAATATACATCGACTCACCCGTACATGTTGGCTATCGGTTCGAATATGATCTCCTGCACCGAGGACTCCATCACGCGGCGGCCGTTCACCACCCACGGCGTCTGCGGCAACTCGCGAGACAGTTTAATGTACCTATCACACAAACTCGGGGCGTCCATTACAATATTATTTTTATGACGATGGAAAAGGATGGTAACCATAATAAGATTCGATTTCCCATTCGACACTCTTAGCTTGCCGTGCGTGGAATTGAATTCTCTCGACCCGGGAAATTCGGCCACGTACGCAGGATATAAATTTAAAAAAAATATCCAGTCGAATAGAGAACCTTCTCCGTTTCCTTTAAAATCTGATACAAAAACCAGTCAAGGGCTAGTCGGAGGCGGACTGATAGAGGTCCATTATTCGGCAGACGAGAGCCCCTTGAATATCTACTATGTTCTTTAGTACTCATCATTTTATAGTATTCACAACAGAGTCTTAGCGAAAGGGTTTCAGTGGAATGAAATAACAAACAGTGTTCAGGTCACCTGCCCCCCAGGTAGACGGGCGCGTGCGTGCAGCTGACGCTCACGCAGGCGACTGGAGCGGTTGCGGCGGGCACGCCCTGCCCCCACCCCGCCCGCGCCCCCTCCCCCTCCCCCGCCCCCGCCCGCAGCGCCGCCAGCGTCACGCCCTCCAGCGCCTGCTCCACGGACCGCCGCGTGAACTCCACGCTGAACCGCTTCTTCTGTCTGCTGCGACTCTCGAACAGATCGGGAGACAGGCCCTTTAGAACTTCCAATTCCTGCCGATGGAGAAGTTTCGTATGGACTCATCTCGTCTGGATCCCCGTGTCGAGCTAGTGCGTCGCCGTCTCTTTCGAATATTTTTTTTTTTTTATAGAACGATAAGAAAATATTTAATTGCGCGCGAGGCGAACGACGCGAAACGAACCTGCAGATCGTCTGCGTACTCCATGTTGAGTGTGACGAGGAGCGGAGACACGTTGCCTGCGTCGAGCGCGATGCCGAGATGTGCCGCGAGCCGATTGCAGAATGACCATTTCCATGCCTCTTTCAACGGTGTCAACGTTTCTGTGACAGAACATGATAAAAGCGTGCAGTAAACACTACTGTAGTGATGTCTTTGACTTCCAGAATATAGTATACAAAAAGTGTAAAGTTTATATCAGTGGTAGTGACGACTCATAATAATATGAAAATTTCTGACCACAAAAACGACATAAATAATACAATAATGACCATAATAAACTGGCTTAAATTCCATAATCTGATAATAAATATAGATAAGACATATTTTATGAATTTTAATAATTTAATTTCTAATAACTTGATTATTAAATACCAAAAATGCACGCTTGAAGAAGCTGATAACGTTAGATTCTTAGGCATAACTATTGACAAGAAACTAGATTGGAAACAACATGCAGAAATCGTTTGTAATAAGATAATTAGCTTCTCATTTGCATTATTTAAATTATCGAGAGTAGCAATAAGAAGTACGGCTCTCACAGCATACTTCGCTTATGTGGAGTCAATTTTACGTTATGCAATAATTATTTGGGGCAATGGTACAGATGCGCAAAGGGTATTTATTGCTCAAAAAAAATGCATAAGATCCATATGTGGTATCGCTCCCGACGTCTCATGTAAGCAATGGTTTAAATTTCTTGGTATTCCTACCTCTTCTTTGCTTATATATATTTGAAGCAGCAAAATTTGTCAAACGATATCCTGATTTTTACAAAATAGCTCATGAAGTGTATCCCAGGAACACTAGAAATAAAAATAGGCTAGTTCTTGACATAGTCCCAAAAAGCGCGCGATTTAAAAATAACTGCTACTGTATGTGTCAAACAATATTTAATAAGATTCCGGAATCGATAAAGAATACACCTTTTACTAAATTTAAGAGAGAGTTATATAACTGGCTTGCTGAGCGTTCCTTTTATTTGTTGCATGAGTTCTTAGACTATAGAAACTGAACGGTGGCCTGGGTGGATTAATCAGTGCTTATAGTATCTTTTTTTACTACATTTGCATGCTATTGTTAATGGCTGAATAGGCGATAATTGTATTACCTTTTAAATCTCTTTTGTATACCCTATTCAATCGCAAATAAATTATTATTATTATTAAAAAAATTTAAGTCGCAACACTTTTAGGAATAGACTCTGCGAAATATCATACTCACTAGGGTCATAATCCTTACAAATGTCGCTCAGCCACAACGACACTGCCTTCTCTCTTAATATAGTGACGATAGGAGCTGATAATGCACATGCGAAGGTAGCACACTCGTACCTACAAAATATATAACATTGACATAGTGTACTATGTATACAAAATTAACTTTGTGAACAAAAATAACTTGAAAGTCGCTTTGTGTTCTTTCAATATTGTTCTTTAGAGTTAATAGTATATCATCCCTAACTTTACTGTTTTAGGTCTATGGTAGAAATATTTTTTTTTACGGCTCAAGGCTGATTAGTTTCTTTTCATAATAATTATATTTAAAGATAGGCAGTGAGGCAAATACTTTTTTCGGTAAGAGTGACCACTATTGTATTAAAGTAAATGTCTACTTACCGTTTCCTGTCTAACATATCTTTGACTTTCTTATAGCATTCTGGCCATACACTCTCCTGCAGCACCCCCAAGCATGTGACACATGGGTTTGATTTATGTTTCTTGTTTGGTGGGGCATCACCGTTACTTGTAGGATAATCTGCTGTTTCTGTAGTGTCTACCTTTGATGAATTATTCTCGATCTCTACTGGTTCGCCTTGAAACTAGAAATATGTAACTGAATGTTAATGATTATCCGGATGTCAGTACTTATTTATTCAGATTTTTTTTAGGTTAGAATCATGTTTACATTATTTTATCTGACACTAAGGCATATAAAAATACCAAACTATGATCAAAGACAAAGTAACTATTGTATTATATCCATTACAAAGAACATAAATTATTAATAAAATGGCATGGTTTTGTAACCGACTTACTTTAAGAGCAAATTCTTTTGGATTTTCATAAACTCTCGGATTCCTTACGCCTAAGTATCGGAGACTACAAGCATCACAACATCCTAACTCCTTACATTTACCAAATATCAGCTTTTGGTCCATTTTTTATTTATTTCGATGTTTGATACTACGCGCACACCCAGTTATAATATTGTAATCTTTGGCGCACACTATATAGTGCAAGCGTAAACCAAAACTATTTTTAGTCTTATTTAGTCTAATGTCAAAGTCAAATTACTAGCAGATAGTTATTCAAAACGACTAAAATATATTAACACGTTGAGACTAAATGCTAAGAAAAAATAGCGTGTTAATGCCCGCTTAGTAAATAATAAAAATGGTGCCCGACAAACACGTTAAATCAAGCAGTACACTAAATCTCGTGTTTATTAGATGTCGAACTTGGAACCGAGGGCGTACTATAGTAATCAATAATTTATTAATATTTTATTCTAATATATGTGAAATAAAGCTAAATGAGTTATGTACATATGTTATGCACACATAATTACATCCCTTCACCAAAATTTGTCCTTATATTTAATAACATTTTTTATTATAAACACGTACTTATAATAATTAATCAAGTAAATAAATATATATTTTTGTAATTAATTATTTTTCACGTAATATTAATTTTTATTTTACTCACATATTCACAATTTAATCGAAACAATTTAAAATACCAATTAACTATACTATGTTAATAATAGATGATTATATTTAACATGCTGCGAGAATAAATCGTTAACACGTTTATTAGCATTTGCGCCCAATTGATTCTACCCGCTTTGCCGCGGGCGTTAATGGTTGTTGCTCGTTAACACGCTACATTTTTAACGCCTTAGGGCGCTTGTGCACTACACTGAATTTTCATGTCCGGCGGTCCGATTTTTTCAGGTCCGATATGTCAGGCCATATATAGGTAATGCTAGCCTGTGCACTGTCAGGAATTTTAGTTTTTACTAAGTTTTAAGGATTTTACTTTTCTCTATTCCGGACCGGCTTTTTCAGGTCCGTGATGGCGGCAATGAAAAACGTATCTACGCTTGTGCACTGCTGAGTCCGCGATCCGGAAAATTCATAAGGAATAGGCTTGGGAAAAAATAATCGATTTGTATCGATATTTATTACGATGATATTGTTAATTTCCAATAAACTTATAATCGATATTTATTGTAGATTATAAAATGCTATATTTTATATGATGATTTAATATAGTTGGTAAATATCACTATATATGCTTTAGCAAATTCGGTATAGTTTTAATTTGATCAGCGTATGGTTCTAGTATCGGTACTTAGCTAAATTTTAGAATCGTATTAAAAGTATCGATAACTTAAGGTAAGAAAAATATGTGTTGTTACGCTTAGATGCCTAAACAACTGAACCCATCTTAATGGAAATTAATATAGTAAATAGACTTAACTTTAAGAAAGGACATAGGCTACATTTTATCGCGAATAATAGGGGATGAAAGTATGCCTGGAAATTAGTCATTATAAAAATGTTTTTAGACAATTGACAAGAATAGATAAATATTTGATGACAGAAGTAATAATTAAGAATTAACAGAAGATTAACAGAAGTAATTAAGGAAACTGGTTATAATTTGCACTACACTCAATATCTTTTTCGCATTTAAAATGACTGTTTGTGTCATAAATAAAAAAGAAGTATTCTAAGGGAAAAATATTTCTGCTCAAAAAACTACACCGCGCGTATAAAATTATGCCTATATATAATACAGTCAACTGATCTCCCGAAGTTCATTTAGCATATTAATTCTCCGCTTACACGGCACTCATTTGTTTACGAAATGGCGCCACCGATAGGTCTATCTCTGTAATCGCTTAAAGTTGTTTTTACAAAACTTAGAAAAAAATAGCACTTTTATAAATTTAAACATCAAGTACTAACCCATTATCAGTAATTTTATGCTTATGTCACAGATATTTTTAGCTATTGCATGTGCATAATGCTGTTACTAAATTAGTATGATTATAAGTTTTAACATCTCATGGTAGTCATCCGATAGTATTAAAAAAATGCTTTCGTCTTGCCATAATTTATTAAGGTTCTTCGAACGCAATTACCAACGTTCCAAAAATCTCATCGTACCTAGCGTAAGTGACGTGTAGCTTCAAAGAGAGCTGCCCTACACTACGCCGCTCCGATCAGGAAAAAACGGACAAGTGCACAAGCTACTCATCCGGGTTTTTCATGTCATTCCGGACCGGAAAAAATCGGACCGCCGGACCTGAAAATTCAGTGTAGTGCACAAGCGCACTTAATGTGTACATACTTAACAGCGTTAAGCGCTAAGTACAATTAGCACGTTAAATTAACAGGCTAAGCGCTTATTTAACAACCTCAAACACTTGTGATTACATCTTTGATTACTATTATAGAAAACATTCCAATTCAAGCAGTTGAAAAACTTAAAAGAACATAGCAAAAGAGGTTATGTCAAATGTCAGCTGCTGTGTGTGCTAAATAAATGGATGTTCATTGATAGGTGCTGTCAGATCTGTTGCACTATTTCTTTTTATGTAATTCAAAATAAAAAAATTCTAAATTATTAGGTAAACTCAAAAAAAGGAGCGGAAACTTAGAAACAGGATATATTAAATTATTGAAAATGGGAGCAGTGCACGCTAAGGTAAGTTTTAAAATTTTCTTCATAACTTGCGAGGTTAGGAAATTGTATTTTTAAGTGTTTTGTCATGATTGACTTATTTCTTTATTTTAATTTAAAATTTATAGAAGGTAATATGTTATATTATGTCAGTAAAGAGTTTGATTTTAATGCATTTTTTTATATTACAAAAATAAGCCCATGATTAAGGTTTACCTAGTGATGGGAGAAGTGCGACTCTGTAGTAGGTATTTGATGATACGCACCTGTGGCAGGCTGTAATTTTTAATTTATAGCTGTAATGATAATCTTTATATTTACTGTTAATAAATAGGTGCCTATAATATTTATTTCAAAAACCTGTCTTCACATAAAGTTCAATAATATGGGTACATTTTCAGAGCTGCTTTTTTCCGTCATTGCGGTGGCGAAATTTTATTTTCACAATTCACTCAAACCAAATGTGCTTGATTATAGATTAAGATGCTATGAATCTAATAATTTATGAAACAGCCTTCAAAACACACCACTTTACTACTTACTATTTTTTTTTCTTATTTTGCACCACCAGAATGATGGTATAAGCCATTAATATTACTCAAATAATAATTTAAATATATTCTTTTAAATAATCAAATAAAAAATGCTATCTTATTTATTTTTTAATAATATTCTTACCATAGAGTTCAAATTATGTAGTAATAATTGAGCATTTAGAATAAACATTTTTTTTTAAATAATCATAAATCCTTTATAAACTCAACAGAAGTATTTCTCTAAATAACATAAAAAAGTATGACTACTGACATAATATGTAAATGTATAACCTTAATTTAAGTGTTTTATTTTTTATCATTATTATATTAGGAAACAAACTATAATAATAAATACAAATAACACATTATTCAGTAAAGTTTCTAAAAGAAACTTCAGCAGTTGAGATCAAACCATAAGATACTTAAGAACCTATAAAAAGTCAATTTTACAGGAGATGAAAAAACATTTCATATTTTTTTCTACAAGATTTTTTATTTATTTTTATATCTGACTAGCTTTCGCCAGCAGCTTCGCCCGCGTGGACCTTAGGGAAATGTTTAGTGGGATAAAAAGTATCCTATTATCTAAGTCAGCTAACACCCTATCTGTATACCAAATTTCATCAAAATCTGTTCAGTAGTTTCGGCGTGATTGATGTACAAACATCTAAACATCCAAACAAAGAAACTTTCACATTTATAATATTAATAGGATTAATTAAGGGAAAGGCATGGGAAATAAGGTGTTTACATGTATTTAAAGAAATCTTCATTAGTTTCAAAATTACTGTAGATAGTATTAGTTAAAATATTTGTGTATTTTATGGAGCTAACTGTAATAAAGGTGGTATTGCAACCAATATAATATAGATTAAAGACTTCAATCAAACAAAAAATTCTTAGTTTTATTAAATTTTAAAACAAGTAATTATGGGTTCTGTGTAGATAGGTGGTATTTCCATTTCCAATTATTATCATTTGAATTAATTATCATTAATCACTAATAAAAAGAAGCTATAATGTCAACAGTTAATATCAAAGTTACACAATTGTCTATTCAAATTACACTAATTATTAAATTAAATTATGACTATAAATAAAATAACAATATCACATAATGTTTGTCAGGGTTATAATTTTTAAACAAGTTTTTTTGAAGAAGGAATTGTACAATTAAAAATGTCAATGGAGTTAAATTTCATGTCATGTTCTTTACATGATCTTTAAACAAAAATATTATCTGCATAATCAGCTATAATTAATGGGGCAGAAAAAAGCTTGTTAGACTATGAACCTATCCGAGGGTATCTTATATTAATATTCTACAATAAAATTTTGACTCAACATGAGCTTATAAAAATCTTACACAGAAACATTTGATCCCTCTAAACGACGGTCGAGTAAAGAAGGAATTCGAATAGGCAGTTGGTTATCACAGGCAATTCTAAATTTAAAGTGCTTTTCAAATTTTCTGCTGATTTTCTCAATTGCATCAATATACAATTTATACTGTGAATTCCACACCTTCGATGCATACTCCAAAACAGATCGTACATATTAATTAAACAATAACACTAGAGTGGAGAAGTATTTAAAGTCCCGTCCAGTTCTCAAGACAAAGCCAAGCATTTGATACGCTTTCGTAGTTATGTATTCAATATATGCATTAAACGTTAATTCTCTCACCACAGGCACCCTTTTGCGCAAAACATCATTCAATTTATAATTATAATTTAAGGTTACGGGAAAAAGATATAATAATTCTGTAAACAATACACACGCAATTGGTTAGGATCTGCCTGTAGTAACTCACAATCAATAGAATTCTTGATTATCTTAAAAAATTTCATGTCATCAGCATAGATAAGAATGTTAAAATGCTTTAGAATAGAAATTACGTCATATATAAATAAGTTAAAAAGAGGGGGTCCAAGGTGAGAACCCTGAGGCACTCCTGATGTTAAGGGCACAAAGATTGAGCAAAAAACCTTTAATTGCAACAACCGGGCTTCGTTCTCTCCGATATGACTCAAACCACCGAAGAATACCGTTTTCTCCAATTCTCCTAAGAAGTATTGAATGAGAAATTTTATCAAATACTTTAGGGTCATCAGTATACACAACATCAACCAGATTGCCTGGATCCATAGCGACTGCCACGTGGTAAACAATCTCACAGAGATTAGTATTAGACTTCCCGCTAATTAAGCCGTGCTGCTGCTCAATAATTTTGGGACGCAGCAGTGGGAAAATAATGTCATAAAAGATTTTTCGAATAACTTAGAAATGGTACTAATTTTTAATGATGTGCAGAATCGATTATCATTAATCGATTAATCGATTTTTGAAATAATCAGTTGATATCGATTATGATTTCTTAATCGACGATTAACCGTCGATTATTTCTTAAAACATTAGCAATAGGAATAGTTTAAAACGTTAGTATAGTACCTAATTACATTTCTTCGATGGCTCAGCAACCCATAGCGGATCACGAGTGTGAATATTATTAGTAGATATTCTATTACTTATTATGGAAACCCTGGAATACTCCCATGAACAAATTGGTAACTTTACTCTTTGGTTGGGGAACTCCCGATGAATGAATGACCGGATCTTACAGTTTTATTTTAACAAACACAAATTAACCGTTTCTTACTAAATGCACATGAAAGTATACACGGTACATACCTATACCAAAATAATATTTTTTAACATTTTTTGTGTCTGTTTGTTACGGCTAAACTCCGAAACGGGAACGAAAACGGGACTTTCATGGCAGATAGCTTATGTAATAAGGAATGAAAAAGTATAGAAAAAAACGAAAGCACTTAAAAAGCACCTCCACTAGATGGCGACTCTAGCAAAAGTTGATTTTTGCAGGAAACGAATGGACCAAAGACAGTGATTTCCGTTCCTAAAAGGAAACTAACATATTAAAAAACTGAAATTTGAAAAGTTCGCAACTTAGATATCAATACAAATACGAAAAAGTACAAATAGAATATGAGTTGTTTATTTAGTTTTGAAAACTAATTTACTTTTAAACATGAAAGAAAACCGGAAGGGTTGTCATGGAGAAATCAAGAACACGGTTAAGTTTAGTCTGTTTTCAATGACAGTTTGTTTAAAAAGGTCATAGGGCGCCTAAAAAATACTATATTAGTTTATGCAGTGCATATAACATGATCATTGATTTTGTACTTTTATACAGGATTAATTATCCAGACGACACGAACAATTTTTTGGTTCTTCAAATCTAAGGGCACTCAGAAATGCCCTATTTATGTACAACATATTGGTTTCTAATATTTTCACGCGCGCTATCCATAAATGAAACAATTTTTGATTAATTATAATAATTAAAACAATGAAACAAAAGGTTGGCATATACCACCAGCTTGGGATCCAGCCATTAGTCAAATAAAATCTCAATTCCCGTTTTTGTAACATTCGGCATTGCTGCTCCTTAGAGACTGCGGCGTGAGTAATATAGCCTTCCTTGATATGTGGACTATTCAACACAAAAACAATAATTCCATTCGTTCCCGTAGTGCCCGAGATTGTAGGGTTCAATCAAACAAACAAAGAAACACACTCTTCAGCTTTATTATTAGTATAGATTATAAGTACTTAACTAGATATTCTTTGCAATCAGGCGTATTTAAAAAATCATCAACTTTATGTACATAATCGACTAATCACTTTATCCTACCTAATTTAACTATTTACCTACGTATACTTTAATAATTGTTCAAAGTGCATACCGTTCCTTTCCACACAGAGTCTTGCACGTTTTTGCACATTGTCTTTTAATTTGGCGAGCACTACAGTGTCATTTTTCACGTGGTCAAATGCCGCACTAATTTGCACTTTTAAGTCCTCGAGGCTTTGTGCTTCTTCAAAATACACACGTCTTTTGATTTCACCCCACAAATAAAAGTCGCACGGTGTTAGGTCCGGCGATCGAGCAGGCCACACGATGGGGCCTCCGCGTCCAATCCATCGATCACCATATTCTATGGTGAGATGATCTCGGACGGCGGCGGCGTAATGGGGTGGTGCACCGTCCAGTTGAAAATAAAAATCCCGGAAGTAGGCCACGGGCAAGTCCTCCATGAAATCGGCAATGACATGCCGCAACATATCGAGGAAGTTGCCGCCGGTGAGCGGCCCTTCGATGAAGTACGGCCCCAGTATTTTCGTGCCTATAACACCGGCCCACACATTGACACTAAAGCGCACTTGATGGTGGGTTTCCCGAATCATATGCGGATTTCCGAAGGACCACCAGTGTTCGTTATGATGATTATAAAGCCCCACACGAGTAAACAATGCTTCGTCAGTCCACAAAATGTTGGCATTAGGGTGTGCAATCAGCCATTCACAAAAGGTGCGACGGGGCACATTATCTCCATCGTGTAGAGCTTGGACCTTTTGGAAGTGGTAAGGGTGTAGCCCTGTCACATTCAGCAGCTTCCACACGGCATAGTGGCTTACGTTAAATCGGCGTGCGGCATCTCGTGTACTGGCTCGCGGGTCCCTTTCGAAGAAATCCAAGATTTCATCTTCGATTTCAACTGCAAGTCTTGATCTTCCACCTCCGCGAGCGTGAGCAGGCGTAGTAAATTGACCATAGTCGAATAGCCTTTGGTTCACAGCCAAAAATGTCTCGCGACTAGGTACTGCGGGGTTTATTAATCCCTGATTTTGCAGGGCTGGGATGGATTCTGTTTCGTATAGTCTCCGAGCTGCATTTAAACTTTCACCGCTTAAAATGTAACACCGCACCATTTCGTAATATTCGCGATTGGAATACATTCCGACGCGCGAAGTGTGGGGCTGCGGCGGGTGGCGCGCAACACGGAAGCAAAGGCGGAAGCACGTGCGTTCAAAGGGATTGTGCGCGGGTGACTGATGTTGCCGACTAAATAAAAAACCGAGCAGATATCGTCGGCGGTGCATGCGCGGTGCATCCCCTGCGCCCGCGCCCCTTGCTACCCCTGCTCGTTTCGTTCATAACTAATGTGACAATGCGAATGTTATAATTATCTTGTAATTACAAAAAGTTTACACTTCATTTTGAAAATTTTACATACTGTTTTTTTTTCATATATGTGATCTTATGTATATTATACACTATTGAATTTATGTTACTTTGTAGTCAGCAGACAACGCGGGTGAGGTGGGGGGTGGACTATTTGAATTTGAAGAGCCCATCGAACTTGAAGAACCTATGCCCAAGCCACAGATCAAACTCGAAGGTGTTAGGGTGAGTACTTGTCTCCTGTGCTCAATAACGAACCCTTTGATTGCCATATACCTATATATTTGTGACTAGTGTTGAAAAACACTAATTGGTGAGTATACTGTTATTTGTGGCCAAAATAATAAAATTAATTATCAAATAATATCCTTGCCTATTTATAAAGTGGCTATGTTTTTTCATGTATTTTATCGTACAGACTGGAATGTAAAACAGAGAACAGTCGAGCCATCTCTATATAAAATGTTACTACGATTGACACAGCTGGCCATACCAGATGAACAAGGCTTACCGCACAATATTTACCGCAGGCGCGTGTGGATCGTGTGCACGTGGACGGTCTGAACCGTACGAAGGACGACATCATAAGGAGTACCGTCGACGATCTGTTTCAGGCCACAGACTTTGAGGATGTCATACTCAGAGCACACAAGGTCAGTCACTTATTGCTGAAGTAACGTCTTTTTAACAAATTGATTTGGTCAACGAGTGAAACATTCATGGGTGGTTCATAAACTTTACATCTGCATGTTCAATGGATACTTCTAGAAGCCTGCAGCATCATACATGGCAGCTACGGTGTAACGACTAAGGCTTATCATCGTCTAAAATAGATACCGAGTGTTAAGTTGTTCATGATATCCTCTAGACAACAAAAATTGTTAAAACTTAAAAATTTCTCCTACAATAATAATATGGCAATGTATATACCATGCTCTCTAACAAGAATTACTCTTTAGACCGTCTCATGTAGCATTTCTTCTATTTGACACTTAAACTGTCATTTAACCTGAAATTTTAACTTTAGTGTTTTTTTGAACGTTATTTTTTTGTTTAGGTGCGCCGCGCGCTGGACTCTATGGGCTGTTTCCGTGAGATCGGCGTGTTTATTGACGTGTCGTCGGGGCCTGACGCGACGCCAGAGGGTCTCGAGGTAAACACTATGTCACTCTATAGCGGTGGACTAACACTATGCCTATAATATATTCAAAACATATAGTTTATAAATTAAATTACTTTTGAACACTTTCATCGAGTTTGTATTTAGTTTTAATGACGTTTGACGTTGTTGTTTGTCTTTTTAATTAAGAGTATAGATACCTTCAAACCAATACTATTGGGCACATTCACAATAAATAAATAAAATATATATTTTATGGCAACGTTTACATTTATTAAATTATTTCAAATATACATTTGACCTATTTATTTATCCCTGGCTACCGTAATCTGCCCCAAGTTCCAAATTTTGGAGTCTTGTGTCAAAGAAGAACTGGCAAAACAAACTCCGTCAAGAAAAGTGAATCGCTCTCTTTGATTTAATATTAACAGAATGAAATGTCACTAAAATTAAATACAAACGCGATAAAACCCTTTAAAAATTGTTTCACTTATGGATAGTGCGTGTGAAAATATAAGAAATCAATAACAACTAGTTCGGTAAGTACCTGATATTTGAGATATTTTATTAAGTATTATTTGTAATAAATTTTATAAATTAATATAGTTTGTCAATTATGCATTCACAAAAGGGGTGTAGAAAATATTTTTTTTATATTTTTGTTTTATAGATATACACGAAATATACCCATTTAAAAAGTATCACTGAAATAGTAAGTTAAAATCTAAATTTAATTTAATTTTCAAAATTTCCCGCGATAACGCCACTTCTGTCATGGCGGTGCTATGACGTTACGCCCCTGACGCACCTCTTAAACTAATATCGTTCTAGTTGTATGAGTAAGAGGAGCGTGACGTCAAACGCTGTTTGCGGTCACGTGACAACAAGTATAAAATATTTGTTTTTTCATAATTAATATGAGCAATAGTATAAATACAATAAGCATAATAAAGTGATTATCGATAATGGTATATAAACACTATCAGAAAAAAAAATAATGTGTATTTATTTTCTTTTACTGTCTACACCCGTATTCTTCAGATATTAATATTCAGGCCCGGATCTAGGACCCCTTCCTACAACAAGTGGAGGCACTTGCCCCGGGCGCCAGTGTCCGGGGGGCGCCAAAAATCATGATAATATAATACAACAAAAAGACTAGCGTTGCGATCGGATGGACATCTTTCAAATTACCCTAAATAAAATTACAGGGTGTATGTAGGCTATGGGGGCGTAATATCAAATTTCTGCCCCGGTTGGTAAATGTTGTAGATACGGGCCTGTTAATATTCTTATAGGACGGTTGAATGTTCCAAATATTTTTCTATAAGATAAATAAAGTTAACGATAATGTAATGATGAATGGTATATGTGTTGTGACGTCAGGTGACGTTCCAAGTGAAGGAGCTGTCGCGCGTGGTGGGCGGCATCAACACCACCGTCAGCGAGAACGAGGGCAACCTCGTGCTAGGTCAGTACCCACCGCCTACTCCACTCCACTCCACTTTATCTTACTTGCTCTCATTATAATAGTTACAATTACAGGTTCACTTACAGCCTCGAATCGAGCGTTTCGGGGATGGCAAAAACAATGTGCAGTGTACTAATGTACGTAATAGTTATTGAAACAAGACTGTTTGAAGGAGAAAACAAGACTTTGTCACATTCGTTTATCCCGTTCGGGTCTTCGGGCAGGAATTTTATTTCTGAGACCCGTCCGCACGCCTTCCACACGAGTGGACGGCGACACGCATGCGCTCGTTTCGTTTTCGGTTCAGAAAATAACTTGACTTTGACGTTCTTTTTGTTTTTATGGAACTATTTATTGTATACCGGTGATGTGAAATCCTCAATTTGCTCATTCATCGCCCTTCAGACGGTACAAGGTTCGCCGGGTCCGCTAGGACGTATATAGCTTTGTAATTGTAATTCCGGAAAAATACTCTGTGAATTCAACGCGGAACAGCCAACGGACCACCCCTTTCCTGCTCTCTCTATAAAAGGTTTAGGAAGTATCAGATTTGGCTACAAGAGACTAGGTCTTCGCCTTCGATAGTTCCCTTCCGGTTCTTATCAGGTTAGCGAAGTTTAGCGAACCGTTGGACTGAAATAACGATTTTGATTTGAATGTACGTGTGCGCGTGTGTGGTGCAGGCGTGAAGCTGCCGAACGTGTGCGGGCGCGGCGAGCGCGTGGCGGCCGAGTACAGCGTGGGCCACCGCGCCTCCTCCAACTTCAGCGTGGCCGCCGCCAAGCCCTTCCCGCACCGCCCGCGCGCGCCCACGTGAGTAGCCACAGTAGCCACAGTGGCCACAGTGGCCACTGTGGCCCCGCCCGCACTGCTGTACTCACTGATGCACCGGCGCGCCTGTTGCAGGGCGACGGCGACGCTGTACCAGCAGAACCACGAGTACCCGTGGTCCGGCTACAAGCTGCTGGACCGCGGCCTGCTGCTCGACCTCGCCTTCCACACATCCGCCGCGGTGAGATTTTGCCCGCAACTTCGTTAAATCTTTACCGAAATTAGGTCCGTCTCTTTGTTTTATTAAAAAAAAAAACCCGGAAGAACTACATCACCAAAATGAACTTGACGTGTTAGTTGTCACATAGGAACCCTATAGTAAAAATGTTTATTTTCAAAAGTAAACATACCTCAAAATCGTAAAACAATTCTTAATATGACAAATTAAACTTTGTTTGAAGTCACACGTGTAAAATTTTTGCCATCAAATCATCACCCGAATCAAAATAAATTTTGTAAGAATAAGAATTATCGATTGTTCTGAAGTCGTTTTTTACTAATTATTTGGCTTTAATAAAACTACTCTGGTAGAAGCAAGTATAAAAATGCAAACTTCGCCCCGTCTTTTCATTCCTTTCATAGGATTCGTGTGAAATCTATTCTATATCTTGTTTAGTGCCACGTACTTTTCCATACCGAATTTTATCTGAATGATTTCAAACCGAGTTACATTTGTATTTATATTATTATATTATTAAACTAAAAAAAGTACCACTACTCTGGTAGAACAGATAAGTTACAAAAATATCACAACTAATGGTAAACCGACCTCATAAGCTTGATGCCAAAGTGAAGGTTTATTCCTGGGATTTATTAGTTTCAAGAGGTCACTCCGTATGTTTCCGTACATTGACGACTGATTTTTATTTTTATATCGATACCCCTGTTAAAAAACATATACAGGTTTATTTGTATAACACACAGTTTTGCTCATGATAAATTTTTATCAAATATAATAATTACCAAATTATATTTAGTCACCACTGTGAGTGCTATACTGAAAAATATTTTCAATTGCGCTTTGGTCGTGAGTAGCTTAGTGGTTAGAGCAGTCGCCCGGATTACGAAAAGTCATGGGTTCGTTGTTGCGTCTCAGAGTGACAGGAACAGAGTGGATTTTTTAAGCATTTTTCATTAAAAATAATTAAGTAATTTTGTAACTGGGTATATAACGTGGCGACGTACCTAAACATTAAACATTTATTTAGTACTACCACATAACATGTATCTATTAAACAATCATAATTAAAAATATTTGAGGTATCTGTCAGAGGTGAATATAACATTCGTAGCAAAATAAAAAAAAAAAATTGAAATAAAATAAATTCCATTTTAATTACTGCATTAAATTCAAAATAAAAATTTAACTTCAATTCGGATGATCGCCCAGAGCGGCAAGGTTAGGGGCGGTGTAATTGAGGAGCTATTCTGTTTTCGAGTTACTTTCGGCACCTACTTGTTATATTCTTTTATTATTTCTTAAAAACTGAAAAAAGTCATGATTATAAATGTTATGTTTGCAAATTTGATCGTTTAGACCAAACACAACCTTCAGTGGGAGGGACTCGTGAGGGACACGTCGGTGATCAACAAGTCGACCAGTTTCAGAGTGCGCGAGAGTAGCGGTGAGACAATGCTATCTATATAAAATGGCGATCTATCAAAACGAAAAAATGCCTTTTGTATAAAAAAAGAACTATCGGAAACGTAGAGTGTTCGTTCGCATGTGGGGGCGGCGGGCAGGTCCCCAGATGAAGTCTGTGGTCCGGCACATAGTGAGCGTGGACCACCGCGACGAGGCGGTGTTCCCGACGCGCGGGACGTGGGTCCAGTTCTCCAGCGAGGTGGCCGGCCTCGGCGGCGGCGTCGCGCATCTCAAGACCGAGCTCAACGTGCAGGCCAACGTTCGAGTGCTGGACGATGTCGTGAGTTTCAGGGCGTTTTTTTTCTTCTCGATGTGTAGAAAAATTCGTTGAATTAATTTTGCGTGAACTTTTAACAAGGTGCTGCAGGCGACGGGCGCGGGCGGCGCGCTGCACGACGTGTTCGGCTCGTCGCTGCCGGACCGGCTGTTCCTGGGCGGGCCCACCTCCCTGCGCGGCTTCCGGCAGCGCGGCGTGGGCCCGCATGCGGACTCGCAGGCCCTCGGGGGGAAGGTACCTAGGTCTCTTCCGGAAGCGATTAATGTCGACGCTCCTTTTGAGAAACGTTCTCGAGTTGTCCTCCGCCGGTGAACCTTGACGTGCCGCGGGAAAGTCTAATTTCTGAAGGGTACGACTGAATACGTTCCCCGACGCCCGACGGACCTCGGTGCGCAGAAAGTAAAATTCCAAACGTGGGCCGATCGGAACGATTCGAGGGCGCATTATCGAAGTCTATCGGAGCGAGACTCTATGTCGAACCCAGGACGGTTACATAAAGAAGGAAGTTTAGATCGGTGTCTCTGGGCGCAGCTGTACTGGGCGGGCGGCGTGCACGCGTGGGGGCCGCTGCCCTTCACGAGCGCGCGCGCGGGCGTGGCCTCGCTGCTGCGCGCGCACGCCTTCCTCACGGCCGGCTGCCTCTGCGACCCCGGTGAGTGCGACTGTACGAGTACACACCCTCCCTACATAACAAATTGCCGTTTTGTCGTCCCGGCCACTTTAATCACAAATTTCTCCTCCTCGGTTGGGAATTCCAAATTCAAATTTATGCAGCCATTTATACATGTATTTGTGTTTCGTTAGGCGGTATTCATTCGTTTTTTTCCTCTGTTTGTCCTATTTACGTCACCCCGTATAAAAAATGGAAAACTTGAAATATCGTGTTATTTACGAGTACGAGTTCCACCATGGTACCAGTGCTGCGGAAACGGCTCGAAGGGTTAACGATGTGTATGGCGGTTGTGTCGCAAAAGAAAACACAGTGCGTTTTTGGTTCTAATGTTTTCGTTCTGGAAATTTCGACCTGCAGAACGAAGCCCCGTGGACGGCCGGAAACCCAAGTTAATAATGAAGAATTGAAGGCTATTGTGGAAGCGGATCCATCGCAAACCACGTCCGAGTTAGCTGCAGGCTGCGGTGTTAGTGATAAAACTGTTTTAATCCACTTGAAGCAAATTGGAAAGATTAAAAAGCTTGAAAGGTGGGTACCTCACGAATGGAGTGAAGCAAACCGGCAAACGCGCTTCGACTGCTGCGTTATATTACTTAACCGGCACAATAATGAAGGGTTTTTAAATCGAATCATTACCTGTGATGAAAAGTGGATTCTCTACGATAATCGGAAGCGCTCATCGCAATGGTTGGACCCTGGCATGCCAACCAAATCCTGCCCAAGCGAAAATTGACCCCAAAAAATTACTTGTAAGCGTTTGGTGGACTAGTGTCCGGTGTCGTTCATTACAGTTTTCTTCAAATCTGGCCAGACGATTACGGCAGACGTCTATTGTCAGTAATTGCAAACCATGCTGGAAAAACTAGCTGTTAAACAACCGAGGCTGGTCAATCGCTCTACGCCACTGCTACTTCACGACAACGCTAGACCACACACTGCACAACAGACGGCTACCAAATTAGAAGAGCTTCAATTGAAATTTCTAAGACATCCATCCATCGTACTCCCCGTGCCTTGCTCCAACAGATAACCATTTTTTTTCCGAAATTTGGATAACTTCTTGCAAGGGAAAAAATTCAACCCCGATGGGACAGTGCAAATCGCCTTCAAAGATTTTATTGATTTCCGTCCGAATGGTTTTTTTTATTAAGGGGATCAATGAACTACCTATAAGATAGCAAAAGTGCATAGATAACAATGGTTTATACTTTGATTAAATAAATATATTAATTAAAAAATACTTTTTGTTCCTCCCATACCAAACACAAATTTCATATGTAAGGACCTAATATAAATAAATACATAAACTGCTGCACCGAATTCTCTCACATGTAATTTAAAATTATTTAATTTTAAAGAACGGTTTTGGTATTTTATTAATTTATTTTGGGACAGTACTTTAGCAATCACAGCGGTATTAGTTTTAGTTTAGTTTTGCCATAATGTAACAATTTAGACCACGGTCCACGGTAAGGCAAAAAATTACAACGCATGCGTGTCGGCGGGGGCAGGGGTGAGGGGCCGGGAACCCGGGACGTGCTCGTACTCGGTGAAGGGGAAATGCCCTGCCGTTTTGAGCGGATTAGGTTTTATGCCGACAAGCGCCCGTAAATTCCCGCCCATTGGGCATTTATCCGGACATATACATTTTAGAGAAAATATTTTTTTTGCATTTAACGAAAGTTGAACTTATGTATTTAGTAGTGTTTGATTGTTAAAGAAAAATAAATATATATATAAAATAAAATACTTAAATATTAATTCAAATAATAAATATACATGATCGTGAAATTCAGTCTGCATCACAAGGGACTAGTGATGTTCCAGATATCCGTCGGAAAATGAAATGCTATATATAGGTGAAAAAGTAGATTAAAAAACTATTAAATTCAAGTATTTTTTATTTCTTAAATATTTGGCACCTTTATATTACAACCATTTATCGTTAGTAAGTTAATATACCAATAGCACATAACTCAAAGGTACTAATCAACTATCTTTATAATAAGATCAATATTATAGAAAGTTCAATCATAACTTTTATAAATATAAGAATATGAAGAAACCAAAACTTAAATCTTTTTTATAATTCTAATTATATCAATATAATAGAAAATTATAAGTTCTAAGATCACTTTTATAACTATGAGATTTTATAACTATGACTCTACCGATGTTGGTTGGTATGGTATGTATAACAAAGTAAATTAATACTGCGTACCTAGTAGCTACTATCTACCATATGAAGCGTTAACATTAATTTACACGAGCAAACACAGTGAAAATTAGAGGAACTTGAAAAAAATATTAATTATAAAGATCCGTATTTCTTCCTGCTCGTGTTGCAGACGAGGAGGGCGTGTCGTGGGCGGCGGGGCTGAGCGGCGCGCGCGTGTCGGCGGGCGCGGGGGTGGCGCTGCGGCTGGGGCGGGGGGCGCGGCTGGAGCTCAACTACTGCGTGCCGCTGCGGGCGCGCCCGCACGACGTCACCGCGCCCGGCATTCAGTTCGGCGTCGGCGCCGACTTCCTATAGGTGGCTCTGGCTCTGTGTCATTCCCCACTCCTTCTCTTCACAGTCCCGTTTACGTTCATTGATTCTAAATCAAAATTTGTCCTGTGGAGTTCTGTGTACGACCCTGTATATCTATCTTTAACCGAGAACTTGACGTATAGAGTTTCAAATAGATCCGTTGTCCACTTCTAAACCTTTTTTGAACGGAAACGTCCGGAAATTAATACATTTTTTTCTAAATTAAAATAGTTACTAGATTTTAAGGTCTCGCCGATGCGAGCTGTGGAAACTTTATGGTGCCGCAATTACGAAACTAGAGCTCCAGTTTTGATATTTGAAAAGTCGGAAGTGTCGGTTTCGGAAAAATCTTATATTTACTAGAGTGTGGTAGCTTTCGTTCCCGCACTCTAGTGACTGGGGAGAGATTCCGTAAAAATTCGTATCCGAATTTAATTTCGCTCATGTGTCCGAATTCACAATTATGTAATTTTTATAATAAACGTTTTTTGCCCAAAACGTAGGGAGACGAGATCTCAAGGTTTGGGTTCAACGGCAAACTCGCAACGTGGTTCAGTATATAAGATACAATTTTATTGGCGAGTCAACCGTTCGCAACGACTAAGTCTCTGTCGTCCACTGTCAACACTGATTCAACGTTAAGCAGATCACATGTTTAACTTGACACTAATGTGTTCATTACCTTTCAGATGCGGCACACCGGAACACGAAACGCTTAATTATACATAAATTATTACCGAATTGAATGTATGAATGTGGTCGATTATTTTAATACGCGACGCAGACGACGCAGCGCCGCGACGTGTACATACAGATAGCTTAGTGATTGTTAATATACAAATGTTTTATTATTATATGATGTTTCATTTTGCTTATACAGACCATTGCGCTAGAGAGTTATTGAACACAATACTTAGATGTTTACCTTTACTGCACATAGAATCGAACAATCTGTGTAGTGACATTCCTGTGAGTTCCATCCGTACTGCCACATCATATATTTAATCTCGTGGATTTTTATAAATACAGGCTTGTATATCGTTGAAAGATGAGGAACGATAAATATTTATACAATGCTGTATATATAATAGGGACTTTGAAAACATATCCATATGTGTGAATTTTAAAACACATGTTTGTGTCCTTAGTACATTGTATTATTACTTTGTACACACTTACTGGTTGATTGGGAGAGAATGCCTCTATAGCATTAAGTACGATATTTGTCTCTAGTTTTAGGCATTTAATTATTTCATATATTATTTTATAAATGTATAGTATACCGGTACCTATTGTTTAAGTACAAATTGTTTAACCCTCCCCCCCCCCCAAACCTGTGCCAAGATCTGTGACTTGGGTTTCATTATCAGACTAAGGCGGCGAAGCGAAAAGGAGGGTTATGATTTTAGCTGGTGTGTGTACAGGAATAATTTAAAACCACTGCGTAGATTTTGTGAAAATAAACTTTACGGTTATAGAAATCTTTATTCTCAAAAGAATTACAAAAATTAACTTACTGAGAATTACAACACAAACAATTTTAACACTAAGAAAAACGTAACGTACAATTGGATTTTTAATCACTGTATAAATAATTTTTTTCAAGTAAAGAAGGTAATCTTAAGTCCATCGTGCTGTCATCCGCATAACAATGAATACCGCTAATTTGCAGCATGTCATTAATATGCAGAAGAAAAAGTGTAGGTGATAGCACACATCCTTGGGGAACACCAGCATTTATAGACAGTAGGTCGGAGCATTCACCGTCGATGTAGAAGTCACTCGCATAAGACTCGACGTGGTACTAGGTCTAGGTCATGGAGCTGCTGAACCGGCTGAAAGTGGTACGGATGGAGTCCGGCTGTATTAAGCAGCTTCAATTACACACCAAAGCGACGTGCCGTATAGTGGGTACCGACTCTGGGACTTCGTCTGTTAAGCTGGTTCGCGCATTAGGGACCGCGGGGTTACGGATCCCAAAGACTCGCATACGAGGTATGCTCTCCATCGCATACTTTCTCCGAACTGCGCTTAGCTTCTCACCACTCAGAAGATAAACTCGTACCATCTCGTAAAACTCACATCGTGATCGGCGCGAACGGCGGGTGAATGAGTCTCACTGTCGCGCCCCTCGCTCGTTCCCGAGCGGCGGGGGCTTTGGCGGGGGGGCTACCGGGCGCGGCGGGGAGACGTTTTCATTGAAGTTTTATTTTAAAAAATGTGTCCATATTCTACCGTTTCAATAGGGATAAAAATATTTGAAAAAAAATAAAATAAACTAATTACGGAAAAGTGTTCTATTACTGAAACTGAATCACCAAAAAAATGTTCGCATTGGAAAAAAATATTCCTGTATGCCAGGGTTGTAGCGAATATCAGCATTGTGTTTAATATCAGCAATAATCAATGCTGACATTCAAGTCGTAATGTAACACGTACGTTGAAGGCAGGACCGAGCGTGACTCACGTGGAGAATGTTTAAAAAAACAAGCTGCCACTTTTACATTACAAGCTAATTTTATTTTTTAATTAGCTTGTTTTGTCAACCCAATTTGCTCGAGGCTGTCAATAACAATAGGGATGATGGCTTCATTTGTTTGTTAGTATATTAAACGTGTATTTTTTTTTTTGCGTAATCAATAAATTGTATCGATACATTGAGTTGATATATATTGATAGCTTTTGCTTTAATACACCCGATAATTAATTGAATAAAAAAATAAGTTCAAAAACCATTAATTTATTTGCCATAAAATGTTGATTACATTGGTCTAATTCATGTTACTTACAGCACCTAAACAATTTTGCCAGTAAGGAATAACATAATATGTCAAAATCTACTTATTATAACTTTAATGATATTCGCATGCAATAAATTTCTATTAATTCTCATTTTAACAATTCCATATTTTGCATAAATTCAAGGACTAATAGAATAAACTTTTTAACATTTTTTTATAAACCGACCATCAGACAGTGATTTAATATCATCGGGCAATCTATTATATACTTTGAAAGTACTATAATTGGCAGATTTTTGATGTGACTCGAGCCTATGTGAAGGCTGTTTTAGGACACGCCCATAATGAATTTAATCTATCGCTCCTGAAAGCTAATTTATAACGATATATTCATAATTCAATTATAAAAGTATGAATACGAAATAATAAAAAATAGGCATCAACACGACACCCTATTTAAACTAATACTGTTGATAATTCTGTAATGCTTCTGTATTATGAAAATATTGATAATACTTCCATCTGAGGAAACACCCCAAACCACTAAGCTTTACAAAATCCTGGACTGAAAAAATGCATAATATGCCAGTAACGCCGCTTTTATTGTCGATATCTCAACAAGGCCCATATAAAGCGTAACAAAAAACTGCTATAATTTACCCTTCAGATATTCAACGTGCTTTCTCAAGTTTAAATACGCATCAACAACAACTCCCAAAAATCTCACTTCGTTCACAGGCTCCAATGTTAACAGTAATAATTAGTTCTACTGCAGAGGTTCTGCAACTACGGAAGTGAATCGGTTTACTCTTCTTGCCATTAGACCGCAAATCCATAGCAGCCAGCCATCCTAAAGTGATCATCACAGTGTTAGTGATTCTCTTTGTCAATCTTTCAATAGGTCCTCTTTTGAACTTAAAGAAAACTGAGATCATCAGCAAATATTACCAGCCTATTCGAAATCAATGAGGAAAGATAATTAATATAGACCAGGAAGAAAAATGGACCCAGTATACTTCCTTGGGGTACCCATTGGCTTATAAGTCGACGTATCAATCGTTACCAAATTAGTCTGCTTGTTTATTGTGGAAACAACAACAGATTGCTCACGATTGAACAAATAAGACCTCAACCAAGCCGTTACGTGATTACGTATACCGTAACGATCAAGCACTTCAAGCAATATAGAGTGGTTAATTTTATCAAATACTTAAAATTGAGTAAGATCGAGTAAGTCGGCAATGACATTTGCATTTTCATTTGTAGCTTGATTAATATACTCAGCCATTTCAAGCAAACCATCGGCTGTGGAGACACCTTTTCTAAATCCATACTGCTCCGGAACAAGGATTTATTTGAATTTAAATACGATGACCCATCGCTTTTTTTAATATCTTAGAGAGTACCAGAATTAGTATCAGTATTTGGCAGGCCATTCGCCCGCACTAACGTATTGGCACATGCTGCGGTGTCTCGCTTGCCCGATGCTTTACAACAGATTGCCGGGAGTTGACATTTTCCATGATTCATTTCATAAGTTTCGAACGACGGTCTCGGAATTGTCGAGAGATGCGTAGCCTGTTGTTTTTTTTAGGGATATTTTTGCTATTGTTAAGTTTTGTGTTGTGAATTGTCGATTGTTTAAATTTACTTCTGTACTGTACATTTGAAAGCATGATGTGGCCGCCTTTAACAGAATCTTACAATTTAGTATGCTTATCTTGAATATAGAAGATATTGTAATTTTTCACTGGTGGTTCAAATAAATAAAAATAGTACAGGAAATCCTTAAAAGTCCACTTCCATCTAGTGATGTACCAACTCGGAAAAAACAAAACTCGATTTAACCCGACTTAAAATCCACATAACTCGAGTTGAACTCGATTTACATTACCCACTCGAGTTAACTGGATGGACAAGCAGTGGCGTAACTATAGCGATTGAGGCCCGTGGCAAATTCATCGGATATATTTTTTTTTTTTACTAATTGCGTAATAATAAATGTCAGGAGTAAGGAGTCTCCTCTGATCGGGGGTAATCTGAACTGAATTTGAACATTGTTAACACGCAACATATCCACTCACTGGCATCCACTCACATCCCAAAATAAAGATTTTCTTTTTCTCCCGGCATTTTTTAAAAACAAAACATAAAACACCAAAGTTTACAACAATAACCGGCAGTTTAAAATTAACCTCAAATCTGCATAATATATTATTATGTGACACTTGTTTGTGATGAATGAATGAATGAACATCATAGTCTTACTCAAATGATCGGCAAACTTCTCTCCGTGTAGGTTCCATTCGGTTAACGAACTCGAGTTGGAGAGAATTCAACTCGAGTGGGTTCGAGTTACGCCCTACTCGAGTTCACTCGAGTTGACCATCACTATTCCATCCATACATCAAGTAATTTTTTAAGCATTTTTCATTAAGAATATTTTTCAGTATAGAATTATGAATGGATATGAAATGGATCAAATATAATAAATGATTGTGTTAGGGGAATAAAGAAAACAATAAATTAAAAAAAAAAAACTATCTGTCTCTCTATGCAAAGAGTCTAACGTGTAGAGGATAGCGAAGATATGGGAATAAAGAAGGAATAATAAACAAAATAATAATTATTTACACTTTATTTAATAAAACCTTATTTTAGCATTCCTAATAACGTTATGTTATTTTAATATAATACAATATACATAAATTATATGCGTTATGTATTTTATTTTTATATTAGTAACTATTAGATATTATTCTACATCACAGCAAAATATTTTAACAATTTATTATTTTCACCAATAGAGTGAGAACATATAGTGGGTACTCGTCGGGAGAGTGAGCTCTCAAAGAACCTTATATTGTATATTCTGGTTCTCACACTATTAGCGGCGGTATACCGCAGAGGTGTTAGCCGGTATTCATAGTAAAGTATATCCGGTATGTAACAATCAAGAGTGTAGGTGGATTTAAGACAGCTTCTGTTGATACAGGTTAGTGTAGTGTAGTTTAGCTTGCAGCATGTCGTCAGGCGACATCTCCACAGTGAGGGGGGGGATCATCGCGCCCGCCACGTATCTAACAACACAACACAAAAACAAATTCTAACTTATAAATAATAAAATGAACGTTGCACAATGGCAGAGCTCAATGGCTTGATTTTTAAGTTCTGTTATGTATTAGACCATCATCCATTTAAATTATAATATAGAAATGTTTTTTCTTTGGTTTCCCAAAAATCTTATCTTCGCGGCTTCTTATGATTTTAAAACAAATTACTTAGGAGGCCTTTTAAGGGAAATAACATATCTTCAACCCATTCCCTCTGAAATCAGATAAATGGAAAGTATCTTAAAAAGATCATATTTCTCTATATATGAATATGCACATTTACATGATTCGAGAGTACATAGAAGTTGCAGTATGTATGTGTTGTCATACATACCTGCCCTCTGCATTGAGGAAGTTGAATGTGGAGCAGGCATGCTCAGTGGGCAGTATCTCTACATTCAGTTTGGAGAGGCGCGCCGCTCTGAACACTGAACCCATCATTGCACGATTGTTGCTCTCCAAACCCACAATCTGTAAATCATTGCGTTTATAGAGTTTCATTACCACATCATGAAAAGCTGTACAACCTCCACTGCTCAGTTAAAGGCGTCCCTCATATTTATCCCATACTTGAATATACTTTACTAGCCCGTGTAAGTTATAGATAATATGATGAAACTTTTCATCATCCATTCCCAATATAAAAATAAAATTAACTGCAAAGGGTATTGTATACAGTGAAGCATAGCGCACACATAGGAACATTATGGGTTACTTTTCTTTGAGATAGATAAAAAAAACTGTTTTGAAAATGCAATTGCAAGAGAATTCAGCAGTTTTATACAATGTGAATATATAAAACAAATTCATTTATAAACAGAACACTTGTCAGTGTTATAAGAGGTCCATATAATGGTCATTGTAAACATCTACTACCTTACCAGCAGATCGATCTTGGGTTCTAGCAACTTGAACAACTTGAGGGAGTTCTCTGTTATTTCTCCAGAACCTCGCACCTGCCATGACAACACTGTCCTGTGCAGACACAGAAGAATATTATTAGTCATAATTCATTTATGTTGAAAATTAAATGAAAAACAAAAATGTGTTTGCATTGTCATACCAACTGTTTATTGTCGTTATTCCAATATATTTATAATTTGCACTTATATAATGATTTAATGTAATGCAATAATAAAAATATTTTATTACCTGGGAAATATAGCCATGGGTCCTAAGACAGTAATGCCATTATTCAGTCTGAAACCATACTGAAAAAAAGTGAAATTATTGTACACTACAATGCACAACAGAAGGTGAAACTGTAAAAATAGACAATTTATTAATCACATAAAGCACAACAAACTAAGTTGCACTAAATTTTCCGTCTAAATGAAACTGAGGTAGGTAAGTACTCACTGTGGCATATGAGTCTATCATGAGTCCCAGGTCCTGTTCCTGATTAATAATACGGACCGTCGTCTTGCCATCGCCTTCATATGCGGCTTTGTGTCTCATTGAACTAAAAATTTATAAATGCTGTATGAGATACAACCTTGACAAAGACATTAAATCAGAGAAGTGTGAGAGAATAAACATAAAACGGGAGCAGAATAATTAAGTTTTTATCAACATAACTAACCTCAATAATGGAGATCTATTTCTACTGACATGTATGGCTGTTCGTATTAAGTTTGATAACATTTTGTTGTAATTAAGTGCTACCAAAAGATTTGTTTATATAAAACCAAAGTTTTATTAACTGCAACGGAGGAAAGCCTTAGAATATCTACATCACAGACTTAGTAGTAGGTCTCTACATTTCGGATAATTTGCTGTAATTTAACAATGTCAATTTATTAAATATCTGTCAAGTGTCTACTGTCAATTCTTCTTCTTAATGTCAAATCAAAGTCAAATGCGTTTTGAGTAGCTTGAGAGATGCGAGTAAGAACTAAAAGTTGAACTTTTATTACATCTTGAATATTAACCTTTATAAAATTTAATACACATACAAAATATATTTTTAGTCTTTTGAATTGTACGTACATATTTCTATTTATTTTAGCGTAGGTGTCGTCCTCTATGTTTGGAACTAAACGTAACTATTTCCGAATTCTCAACTTTTGTTATTACTTAACAAGTAAATTAATAAAATAACGTAAATGTCGTTACCACAGTAAAGAAAACATTTCTTTACTTTCATGAAATTGTATTATTTATTGCTTAATACATACATTTCGGAACACTTCTCTGGTATGTCAAGCTCAGCTGATGACGTCAACAATGCGGCAATGCAGATGCGCGCGATTTTAAAATGCTTACTGTAAAAATGCAATTGATTTTTCGTAAGTTGCCTCAAAAGGATATCAAAACTAGACTCGCTTCGTGTTCTTATTTTCTTCTGTTAATAATTTGTATACTGGTTACATAATGTTCACTAATTTTTCTTTCTCGAATAACATCTTCTAATAACTTGAAACCATTTGTGTTTTCTAAAAATTGGATTATGGATTGTGTCATTGTGCCTGAGCTTTTAACGACACGGAAGGGACATTACAACAAGTTTAGAAATGATTACAAGTTAGATTTTTGGCTGGAATTGAAGAAGCGATGGTTGATACTGGGCGTGCTCGCGTCCGTTCTGCTGGCGGTGGTGTCACCACGGATCGGAGCGCCCGGAGGCAACTAGTGCATGTTCACACGTTAATAGCTCATTCTAGAACGCATTGCACCCCTCAATTCGGCCATGTAATTGAATTTTTTACCTATAAAGCTTATAGTGCAATATTTATTCATAACATGACACTGGTAATTTTTTGTTATAAACTACTAATGATAGTGAGTATTGATGAAAAATTATATTTCGAGGTTGCTGTTAATTAATGATTAGCTGATATATCTCAAAATTAAAAAGGATCACTTGATTTTCGGTCTTCCCGTTTGTCTGTCTGTATGTAATACTTATCTGTCCAATACTACTCATGGACCAATCGAGTTGAAATTTTGTAACACTAAACATACTATGTAAGTCAGTGAGACGGATGTGTGACGTTAACAAATTAAACATTAAACTTTTTGTACATATCCTTTATAATGTATTCTTTCAAATAAAAGGTAAGGAAAGGTATCAAATATAGTTTTTAGGTTATTTAAAGTCGCTCTTGAACAGTAAATATAAGTCAGTATAAAAGTACCTGCATACATTCAAACAAAAACATGTGTTTTTGTTTGAACACTATGTATAAGCTTATTATTTCGTATCTTAATAACTTTTTACCATCTTTATTATTTAAGTTAGCTGCATAAACAATGATTCCGTAGCATATTTTTCTCATGATCTATTCACCATGCTACCAATTATTATCAAATCAAATTATTTAAATAACTTTATCGTAGATTTAGTTATATTCGATAGAATATTTGCATTGTGCAACTTTAAATTGTATTTTCTTCTTACATTAATGATAGTTATAAACAAGTAGTTATCTGCTTCTACTACAACAACATTTCATTCATTTAGTAATTAAAAAAAATTATTTACCCTAGATCATGTTTTCGAACTAACTTAAGTTACATTCAAAACACGAATCACCTTCATTCGATAAAAATAATCGCAATGTTGCTTCTGAAAAGTTCGAAATAATTCTATTTTGATCTGAGGGTAGGACATACAATCGACGACGATAATGTAGATAGGTAAGTAAACTAGTAGATAAGTAAATATTTCTGCCGACTAGGTTGAGTACCAAGAATCGAACCCGCCACCATCTGAAATAGCGTCACCATAAAACCCACGTGCAAGCCACTCAATCAGAAAGGTTCAAGCAATCTAAAACAAAACCATATAAAGGTCTTCGTACATTACACAGTATGCACCGCATTCAACTCCCACTTCTCGAATAAATAAAACTTGAAATGCGAATTTTATGCTTAATTAGCTAACCTGAAAAGCTAATAAGTAGTATATGCACATGAATATATCTTTACTCCTGTGCTATATGGTTAAAAAACTCAGACTCATTATTATCAAATACCTTTAATAATAAATTATTTTAATAAATAATTATTAATGACAATAGACTAGTTGACTTTATTTTTATTTTATAAATATATTTATTTATTAATATCTGAGAAATAACAAAATAACAGCATGTCTACAAATAATAGTTTCGGAGATACGGTACTATGTTGGTCGGCCGAAAACGCTCCCTACCAGATTCAAGCCACTGAGTGACGTCACACAGTGCTACGGTAGCGAAAAACGGATGGATGTCTGAGCAATCTCTGTAATATCTTTGTTGTTTGTGTGTTTATATTTGTAGCTGTCATAATGGAAATTACGTAACTAATTTAATGCCATCTGCATTTTAGCAAATTTTTGTAAAAAAAAATCCTTCCTTTTTTCAAATTTTGACAAACGTAAGTTTTTCCAAAGTAGTTTCATAAAATTTACTTTCATAAATAAGTATAGGTTAAAATGGTTCATATTTATCGAACACATAACAAAAACCTTTATTGGTCACTCGTAGGACACAACCCTTAAATTATGAAATAATTTTTTGCAGCGTGTGAAAATACACAGTTTCATGTTAATTTTATTTTCCGTAAAACCGACACTCGACACGGATGACGCGTCATATCATAGGTAAGCGTTGGGCAATATCGGATTTGAATTGTTTGTGGAAAAATATTCGATAAGTGAATATTAAAATAAAAGAAAATAGCGTGCGGTGACCAAGTGGCGGCGGCAACTGCCAACCCAACTAGCGACATTAGCTTTTCAGATTAGCTGTAATTTCCAACATTTGCACCTATATGAAGCAAGTTTGTTTCGCTGATCCTAAACTTTATTAATTAAAATAAGACGAAGAGAAAGAACATGATATAAAATTAATTAATTACGGCGTTAAGCACGTGTAGTGTATTGACTTTTGCCTGCTTCTGCTACAGACAAGTATATTGATACAAGTGTACTGTTTTATAGTGAAGTTTGAGATCTGTCTTCATTATCATATTTAAACAAGAAATAAATTTTATCTATAAGTTATATCAAAGTCTAAAAGCTTCAAATTCGAGTTAATATGAAAAAAAAAATCACATAAGCACATTATTCAGATCCCAAACTAAAATCCAAACTGATATACATATAGTTAGGAAATAACGAAGTTAACAAAGGTGAAGTAAAACATTCTTCATGGGTCTGGGACCCAGCTCATACTAGGACCTTAAACACTTACATTGAGATTCTGATTATGCAATGAGTATTGTCAAATATTTTAACATTCGTGTGCAGGATCTCTTCACTCGGAGTACTTGTCGTATGCGCCTCTCTCCTACATATACTACAGCTCTGGTCGTCGGGCGCGTGCGCCGCAGTCGCTGCGCGCGAGTGTGAGTGCGTGCGCACTCGCCACCGCTCATGCTCATGTCGTCGCTCCCATATTGTGTGCGTTCGCCGCTTCCACAGCCGCCGATGCTGGCCTGCATAACAGCTTGGTGAAGGGGTAAGTGGCCATAGTTGTTATGGTTTCGTTACACTATAGAGGTTATAGGATACTCTGCAGACGAACATAATCTATTTACTTCCTAAATTATTGCTACTGTTCATTTTGACAATCGCTTGTTGGATAATATTATTGATATCTTAACATTTTTGCAGTAGTAGTTAGCACGTTCGTAGTCGTCGATTAAGAAGTATATGTTTAACAATTGTCATCGGAAACATCAAAGACTTGTCATATGTATGATTGAACAATCAAATCTTTACCTTGTTCAACTCCTCCGAGCTTTGGAAGCCATGCTAAACCGTTGGTCTCGGCAGCATCTGCAATTTTAGCCCCCATCAACTTGCTATGCCCGCGTGGTGGCTTATGGCTCGGTCTCTCTGTGTTTTTTATACGTGGAAGGTCTGTGCTCGAGCTGAGGAAATATTATAGGCTAAAGATCACGACGAACTTGGCTAGTGATAGTTGTATGTGATACAGCGCAATGTTGTCGGCGGCTGGTGGTCCGTGCGCCTGGTTGTCTCTCTGTGTGTCACGAGACACAACTACCGCGGCGCTGTGTCTCGCCACCAGCTACGTGGTATCCATGGCGGCCGCGCCCACAGCACTTTATATCATAGTAAGTGCACCGATGACTTTGAAATTAGTCACTGTCAATAATTTCTTATGCACTAGTCTTTGTTTGATGCAAATGCAGCGTTTTAAAAGAGTGACGCCTAGATGTCCGTTGAAATTGCCACTAGTTTAAAGCGACATTAGCGATACAAATTTACAAATCACAGTTCAAACTCATCATTAAACCTTAATGGACTCTTGTGTAACTGGATAATAATAAAACTTTGATTTATATTATTACAACACAATATTTGGTAGCAACAAACTTTGTCAGTAGAGTTGTTACTGTAGAGGCCATTTTTGACTATTTACTATTTGTTGACAGTGTGGGTTTGCCCCGACACCAGCTTTGGGCCAATCGATATGGCCAGCTCTATGCACTCTGCCTCCATTTATCGGTGGTGTGCTGTACACAAGATTGTTGCACAAATACAACATACAATGCGAGAACATTGGCATGCATCAGAAAACAATGGACCCTATTTGTGAGAAATTGTGTGAACATGAATTACGCGATTGCCCACATCAATTGCCAGACTGCACTCAGACATGTGCGTCAGTGGCGAAAATTTGTGCACTGGTGCTGTTATATTTTGACTGCTGCGAGAGACTGTGGGATGTCGAGGGCAGTCTACATATTGTACATGTGCTCGGTACTATGACGTTCGGTGAGTATCACTTTGCACAGTCCATGATTTAAAATGATCGGTGTTCAGTGCAATAAAATATTCTATTAGAATGACGATAATTTAGCCAGTTGACTCTTCAAGATAATTTGACAAAGTTATTAAATTGCTCTTAACGATCTCTATCTATTTATCGTCCGTAGCGGTGGTGTACGTATGTTTGAGTGCAGTGTCGTGGTGCGTGTACGCGCGTGGGGGGCTCGCCGGTTCTAGCGCGCGCACACTCGCCGTCTGCGCCGTACCTAAGGCGTTACACACCGGTAAATAACATCAATAGATCATAATGGTTTCCATGGTATTCAATACTAAGGATTTAATCGAAAACAGATCTGATTTATCGATTTTGGGATTCTTCTTTCCGGTCAAATCTTAAACATCACTAATTATACTTTGAAAACGTCCCGTTTCCTCTTTTCCAGTATCGGTATTTGTTCTTTGTATTAAGGTCGATTTTCGGTTGCGTGATTTTTGTACAGAGCAAACAACGTCTGTTTGCTCTGTACATTATCGGAAATTTATTATGCTACTTACTCATACAGACAAGCATGCTCGAAACATTGTTCCTTATTACAAATAAAGAAACGTTTTTATAATCTTATATTGCAATCTTGGGTATCGGTGTAATTTATTCTCGTTAAATATAAATTTTACTAATCAAAAATTAAAGGGAACGTTTCAAGATTTCAGAATGAATGTCTTGTCACCGTAAAAGTTGCAATGTTCGTAAAAGTGTTTTTGTAGAGGAAAGTGTGCCCGTGCAGGGTGGGAGGCGCCGGCGGCGTGTGCGGCGCGCGGGGCGGGGCGGCTGGCGGCCGCCTTCGTGGCGCCCGCGCAGGCGCTGCTCGTGGCCGCGCTCGCCGCCCCGCGCTGACTCTGCCTAACTATTCCTTGTCGTTTTATTTATTGCGAATTTCAATTGCATGAGCATTGTCGACGCTTCACTTTTATTCGAGTAGGAGTGGATTCGTCTTCGAGTACGTGTGTGATAAAAGACCGTTTACTATTGTTGTTGTTTTTGTTAATGTTATGTTATGAACGGTTTTAAATAAACTTTTTCCTATGTTATTAAGTATGCCGTTACTGAAACTTTAGAGTAGCACTCTACTCGCTAAAGTGGCCTTAGAGTGATTTGTTTAGTACATGAGGTTAAACAGAACTGTCGAATTTCTCTATTCTTTTTTGGAATTACATTATAGGATGAGGGTCCATGAGGGGCCTTGTAGGCCTTGTGAGGTGCACAAAAGTTACTTATAGAAACCCAAATTGTGGTAGGCTGGCGTACGGCCGCGTGTACTTTGAGCTCAATTTCGAGAAATATAAGGTCCAACTTTCTGTAGGATTTATCCCTAGTGAGCAGTAGGTAGGTTTTTGTTCAGGGATCAATTAATTAGGAGAACACACAAGATTGTGTGAGCGACTGAAATGAATAGTTCTTGTGTTTGTGTTCTATAAAAAGTTTCATAATTAATTATAACATTCGTTTCATCATGTTGATATCGGTTGAAAAACTAATAATATTGTTTATTTCACTTCGTAGTGTAGTATGTAATATTATATCCTTCTACGGGGGCAAAAATTTGGTACTCAACTGGTATACCGTAAAGGGGCGCCTTAATAAAAGATCACAAATTTTCTGTCAAAAACGTGGGTTTATAAATTTGAAAAAAACACACCATCAAACCCATTTCTTCTCGTAGGAATTATACTCTTTCAATATACGATTTGCGTTGTAGATTTACTTTGGGATTAAGTACTTTTACAATAATTGTACCTAATTGTTTGCGAGTAATCAATTAAATATAGTTCTTGACATTCTATTTCTCTTATTTATCCTTATTGTTTTTTTTTTATTACCGGATCTCAAATGACCGCTCGTTAAGTCGTCTATAGGTACTTACTCTGCTTGATGTATACCCAAGTCGAGTATGCTCAGAGTTCTATAATCCAAGTTATACGTAAGAATTAAAATAGCAAGTAGATATATCCAATTGTTCGGTAGTTAAGTATAAACATTGTTCCATAGAGTAGATAAGAGTTGAAATTATTAAATAAATATTGATTTTCAGAGTAAATTGTTTTATTTCCATTTTTAATAATATCACATTCGAAATTTAATGTAAACTTGCTTTTTTATAAGCATAATATAAATAAAATCAAAACTTATATCTACAGTTTACAAAACAAATTTAAAACTAATCACAGTCATAGAATAATTATCTTAGTGTCCAACTCGGATGTGAAACATAATCCCTAATACTTAAATTCTATTTGGTTCTGAGTAAATTTCTACAAATTGTACTAAGCGAAAGCGAAAACTATCACATTTTTTAATTATTAATTAAATACAATATTTAGAGATTGCAATAAAGCAATAATGTATTAAGGGTGCTAGAATTTTGTACCGATTGTTACCGGTCGGTAAAAATAAGCGTTTTAATTTTGTGCACCCCCTTTGTAGCTTTTCTTGTTTTATTCAACAACTAGTAAGCACACATAAAAGAGGCTATCCTTAACATGTAGCGAACTTATGTTTTTCATATTCTTATTGAAAAATGCTAATGATTAAGAATGGCCTTTTTTATCAATTTAAAAATATAAATATATTTCCTTTTTATAGAAAAATTTACGATTTTTTTTTCTCTGAAGATGTCATCGAGGTTTGCAAAAAAAATAATAAAAATGAACTATATGAATGCAATATACTAAATGAAACATATTTTTGAGGATGGCACTAATTGCTATTGCTTTCAAAAGAATTGATTGAAATTATTTTGAAAGACATATTCATTTGTATATAATTAAAGTTTATCGAGTGTATTACTAGTAACTAATGAATCCATGATTAGGTTATTCTCCTATAGGTACATGTATTATAAGTACAAAAATACATTTCAATAAATGTATAATAAATACTTAAGGAAATCTCCTAAGTTTGGACTTCCTACTCACAACAATAATTAATGTTATTGAGAAAAATTCGTTGTAGCAATCGTACGATTGTGCTATTCGCAATGAAAATCCTAGTCTAAATATTAATATGAGCTCAGTGAACACAATAAATATAGCTCTCTCTAGCATTAATGAGGGTTTTCCTAAAACTAAATTTTTCAAATGGTTCTACATGAGTTCTTATTTGATTCGATCGTATTCGAGTTGAAGATACACGAATTTAAGTACGAATTAGGAGATCTTTTAGTGGTATATAAAATATACAATAACTATTAGGATTAACTTTGCAATTTCGCAAAATTAATCGTGATACACCTTTTATTTACTTAATTATTGGCTGTTATTATTTATTTTGTTTGTACCTTAATTTTTGACAGTTAAGCTCAAAATCGATTGTAGAAATTACATATATTATTATGAGTACTATAATATAGTCGTGTATAATTATTAAAATCAAATCGATCGTTTACTCATTAAACACTCCCTGTATCTCCAAAATCCGTTAACTTAAAAAATGTCTTACAATCGAAACTTTCTGCAACGTTAATAAAAACGTCTCCTAAAGCTTTAGTGAAATTCAAAGGTACACCGGTGCGACGGAACTGCGCCTCGACGGGCGCTACGATGCCTCCGCGGGAGCTTGCTGTTTCAACAGCTCCCAGTACAGGCCACGTTTACGCACTAACTCCTCGTGGGAGCCGATTTCTGCTACCACACCTGTGAAATATAATATTGATAAATCAGAAATGCATTCTCAATTAGCATTCTGACGCGTCTTTTACTATAATAAATATTCGGTGCAGAGTCAAACACTTCGCAGCGCTCACTGCGAACGTTATCGTTAGGACGATTCACGTGAGTGGGTTAGACGGGCCATTACCAGATCGGTTAATCTTTTGAGCTCCAAGAACGTAACTTTTATAAAAGGTTTAGCTCCCGGAAGCTCGTTTGCTAAAATGTGAACCTCTAGGAAACAACTTTTCGAAACTAGTCTAAACGACACGACATTGTACTGAACCGGGGTCCGTGTTTGTGGTGGTGGTGTGTGCGTGTGTGCGTGTGTGCCTCGTACCTTGATGTATGACGGCGATCTGGTGCGCGCGCCGCACGGTGGCGAGGCGGTGCGCGATCACGACGGTGGAGCGCGCCGCCGCCGCCGCCTCCAGCGCCGCCTGCACCGCCTGCGGGACACACGCGTTATGTATCTACTTCCGCATCATCGGGGTGCTGCCGAACGTGGCGGTGGTGGTGGTGGTTACCTTCTCGCTGTTGGCGTCCAGTGCGGAGGTGGCCTCGTCCAGCAGCAGCACGCGTGGGTCCCGCAGCAGCGCGCGCGCTATCGCCACGCGCTGCTTCTGCCCGCCCGACAGCGACGCGCCGCCGCCGCCCAGTTCTGTATCGTAGCCCTGCGCGAAATACGTAAAATACTAAGTTTTCGGACGCTCTTTGCTGGCTGGAGGATGATAAATCGTAAATAATAAACGAGAGCGGCCCGAGTGTGAATCCCAGGGGTGTTCCTCCCGATGGCAGTTTATTCTTTCCGAAGTTTAGCTGAGTGATGCCGTTCGCCGAGATACCTCCGGGGAGGCTTATTTCCGTGCGTGAATCGAGGCGCCAAAAATATAAAAAGTTCAACCGAGAGACGGAACCTGCATCGGCTTCAAAAACGACTGCCGGTATCGAAGTGATACAACGATATCGTTTCCGGCCCCAGGTCCGACCGCTTTGGTCGCAGCGAAATCAGAATTACTGCGGTGCGCTCACCAGCGGCAACCCGGCGATGAACGAGTGCACGTTGGCCTTAGTGGCGGCCTCTATGATCTCCTCCAGCGGCACGTCCCTGGTGTTGTCTCCGTACGCGATGTTGTCGCGGATGCTGCGCGAGAACAGCGCCGGCTCCTGCTGCACGAGCCCGAACTGCGCCCGCAGCTGCGGCAGCGTCAGGTCGCGCTTTATGTCCCGCCCGTCCAGACGCTGCACAATAATTATAGTATTTAAAAACTAGGCCCTCCATTATGCAAATGTTCATCTAGAAGGTAATTTTTTTATCTAGTGTCACTTAATTATATCAAAAGTAAAAAAATATATTTTAAGAAGTTTCGAATGGTCGTCTGCGCGGAATTGTATTCCTCATTAGCATTTTTGAAAGTTCCTGTTGAAGCGGTCGTTTACATTACAAAAGTACTTCGATCTTTTTTTATTGAGTTGAGCAGTGTGTGATCAATCAACAATATATCTGTTTAAACAAAAAAATCACTTATAAATAAAAGAAAGAACCGGTGAAATAAGAAATTTTGAAATTCAACTTACAATGGTCCCGTTATTTGGATCGTATCCTCTTTGCAAAAGTTGTACAAGAGTAGATTTGCCGCACCCACTCGCTCCGACGAGGGCCAGGGTTTTCCCCGCCTGCAGCTGTATGGACGCCCCGCGGAGGACAGGCACCTGGGGCCGACTCGGGTAACGAAACTCGATGTTTGAAAACTCTATATCGCCCCGGGTAGTCTGCAAATACATACACAGTGGTTAGATTTTAAAGATATGTAGATTTTAAAGGTTCGGTAGATTTCTAAATTTAGTAGTAACCTGATATGCTTCTGTGCATACATATAATTGGATACTTTGCTAGTGTTATGTCGGGCAAAAGTGCGTATTCTTTAGTTATACGTCTGGAAAACAGAAAATTACAAAAGAAATTGCTGCCAGATTGGTAAATCGTTTCGTCACGTCCTCTATCTGAATAGGCACTGACGGGTCGGAGAGATACTAGACTTTTTTATATTTAAATTTGGTAGATGTTTTTTGAACGAGCACCATTACGATGAACTACGATGATAATATCTATCTTCCTACCCATCCGGGTTCCTCCTTGGCTGTACTCTCTGTGACGATCGTCGGCTTCCTGGCTAGTGCTTGTATGATCCGCGCTCCGGAACGTTTCGCCGCCGCGAAGTTGGGGGCGAACGATAACGCTTCGGCCAACATCCACGCTCCGTAGATGAGAGCCTCCGATACCCTGTCGACATGTACAACATATTATTTAGCAAGTCTACATGAATATATATCTTCTGGGTTTTTTTCATGAAGGGCTACATGCTCTCGGTACTGTTTTTAAATAAAGTAACGTCACGGCAACGGATACATTAGAAGGTACCGTAAAATTTGAAGAAAACGTAAAATTTGAATTTGAAGAAAATGAAAATTCACGAGATTGCAGTGATAGCAATAATGACATGCGGGGTCCACGTACTCTTAATAAATCTACGTCTCCTGCCTTTACGCGTAGTGTCTCAATATTTAAGTAGTCTCATATCATGATCATCTTGGTGGCCCGGAGCATGTACGGTTTAACACCGAACATTCCTCCGCGTCAGCATTTACGCCACACGACAATTAAGTATTAATATTTCTTTTTAGTTCGCTATTGCCTAACAAGTCGGCTACGCGTCTCAATCACCTACTTACTTAAGTGTGACATTATCAAACTATTATTGTAAAATATATTGTGTGCAATAAATCTATTAAAATCAAGCAGTGGTTTTTATCATCTATCAAGATAGGTGTGTGGTGCAAGACCATACATACATATCAATGTAATAGGTTGGGAGAAAAGTATTTTTTTTTATTAAAATAAAAAAGAGTAGTTTATGTATATTTAACTAAATTATGTAGATACTATATTGTTCGGTAACTTTTTGTCACCAGATAGGAAGATGATCCCATCGCTATAGAAACTTTTTGGCTTCTGATCAAAAGACCACGACGAGTGGTTTCGGCAGTCCTCGCGTAGCAGAATTTTTAAAATTCTAAATAGATCGAAACAGGTGGAAATATGAAGGTGCAAGGTCAGGATTATATGGCGGATGCAGTGACACCTCCCAACCCAACTCTCTTAATTTTTGCTCACAAATGAGGACACGGTTCATTAGGTTTCTTTCGGGGAGCTCGTGAGGTACCCGAATATCCGACTCCCAGATTTTTTCAACCGTTTTGTGGCCAACCTCTAGCTACGTCGGAACGTCTAGGTCGGAAGAAAAACAAATGGAAATCACACATTTTCCTACTTCGAACTCGGAGCGATCTCCTTTAAATTTAAAAGATTTCAACGCGTTAGATACTGACAGCACTGCGTGAGCGTAGGGCAGCTCCTCCCTGGCGATCAGGTACCCGCCGTACGCGAGCGACACCGCGTACCCGAGCGTGGGCGCGCACAGGCACACGCCGTACACCCCCCCGCGCACCCACAGCCCCGCGGCCGCCGGCCGGGACGAGCGCAGCGCCGCCGTGTAGCGCTGCAGCATCGTCCGCTCCACGCCTGCAGGGGACCGAACGTTAGTCAGCTGATCGCTCGCCGCGAGCGCGCGCGGGCCGATGTTAGCGCAGTACATACCCAGCGCCTGCACGGTGCGCACGTGCAGCACGGCCTCGGCGGCTGCGCGCGCGGCGCCCTCCAGCGCGCGCCGCTCCGCCTCCTCCGCGCGCCGCGTGGCCCAGCCCTCCAGGCAGATGCCGCCCATCACCTGCGCGACGATGTTCCGAGTTAATACGCTATCGACGTTGATTGCGCGACGTTAACTGTGCGATTTCAGTTATGTACTTACGCAGGGCACGCTGAGCAGGCTGACGAGGGTCATCTTCCAGGAGTAGAACATGGCGAGGGTCACTCCGATGGCCATGGTGCTGACTCCTTGGAGTATCGTCCCCAGGCGGGTCCCTGTTCGTCGTGGAAGATTATGAGACGTGTTAAATTCGATTATCAGATTTGAATCTATCGGGGATTATCGTGAAGAACCTAAAACGTTCTCCGTCCGGTCGCTCCGTGTCTCCGAAGGAACCGAACGCCGCCGGCTCCGGTTGCAGTTCCGGCCGTTTATGTTCGCTGACCTATCCTAGATTCGCGCGATGCTGTTCCTCGCGGGCGACCTTCGCCCCGGCGGGAAGGACGCAAATAATCTTACGATGACGGACGAACGTATGAGCATCATAAATGTTAAGATATGTGTGTTGTTTACCGGTGGCGCCTTGCACCGCGGCGCAGTCCGAGGAGAGTCTGGCGCAGAGCGCGCCCACGGAGTTGGACGGGGAGTCGAACCAGGCTTGCTCCTGCGGATATATTTGAATATTGAATGAAGAATACGACGCAAATTACATTAACGTGTAAAATATCTGTCGACGGAAATGATATCGTTTCTGCGATAAACGCTGAAAAGACGAAATAAGTGTTATTTAAAAAATGACAGTGTTGCATATCGCTGACGAGTTGGTAAGGATTATAATGAAACCAAAATACAGTAATTCCGATCACGACATTGATAAATCGACAGGTCGACGTTGACGATTGATGACTAAAATATCGTAGGTCACCTGTCTGAGATAGTTGGAGAAGCAGAGGTTCCGGAGTCTGTCGGTGAGCCGGAGTCCGGCGCGCGAGAACAGCCACGTCTGCAGGAAGGTGACGGCGCCGCACGCCGCCGCCGCCGCCAGGAAGTACCACGAGTACCGGCTCGACTCCGCCAGGATCAGCGACCGGTCCCCCCATGAGAACATCTGTACGCGATTACGGATCGTTTCATAAAACTCCTTACTTTTGAATGGCTCTTAACACATTTTAAATGGCTAGCACTCACCCCGTATAGTTTTGACAGTAGCAGAGCGAAGGTCGGCATAGTGGCGCCCACCAGGAGCGAGGCGACCGCTCCTCCCACTAGCAACTTCCATTCGGGAGCGTTCAGTTTGATCAGAGACCAGGTGGACACTTCAGGGACGTCCTCGTCTGTATCCAGTTCTGCGTTGACGTGATTCAGTATATCCGGTGCGGGGAGAGCGGACGATATGGAGCCCATACGCATGCTGCCTCGGATCATAGACTCTGGTTGATAAAAATATATCACGACATATATTAGTGAATTATTTAAATATATTCACATATGTCTAAATTAGTAGGTTACATAAAATTAACAGATATTTTTTAAGCTCAATTTTATGTTATAAATTTAATAAACAAACCAGCGACTTCTTGATACTATGACATTAGTAGAGTGGATAAAGATATCGATTGTATCGTAGAACGTGTCGATAATAAAACATTATTAAAATTACACATGAAAATATAGAAAATCACCTCTATGTGTCGAGCGTCTCTGCAGTGAAGCTCTCTTGAAAGTTTCCTTGGGCATTTCTTCCACTTCGTCGGTTTCATCTTCCGCACTCAAAGCTGACATGGCACTCTTGTGAGTCATATCGTCTTGTACCAATTTCCAATATAACCCCTTCTTTTCCAGCAGTTCCATATGCGTTCCCTCTTCTAGTACGGCACCCTGTTCTATGTAGACTATGCGAGACGCGTTCACTATTGTCGAGAGCCGGTGAGACACGACAAGTGTGGTGCGACCCTTACTAGCCGCATCTAACGCTGCTTGTACCTAAAACGGAAATAATCATATAAAAATGATATCTATTTGTTCTTTCAATATTGAGACTAAATAGACAGTCCTTCGTCCGATAAGTTTAATACGTTTGAATGAACTTAGAAGGGAATATTGAAATAGTATCATCAAAAATAGCCAATATTTATTTATACTGGAATAAGTAGTGATAATTGGCTTTAACTCACTTGTCTCTCAGCGGCGGGATCGAGTGCGGAGGTCGGTTCGTCGAGCAGTAAAATGCTCGGGTTCCTCAGTAACGCTCTCGCTATTGCGACTCTCTGCTTCTGCCCGCCTGATAGTGAAGTCCCGCTGCCGCCCAACATTGTATCGTAACCCTGAATTACACATACGGTCAATAAATTATTATTATTTTTTAACATTAGTAACCACTGCCTTTTTTGCGTGAAGTAATTCAGAAACTAGAAATAATGTCAGATGATAATTCAAATCTTAAATAAAGAATTTCTGTGTTCGGGGAACGCGGAAGATTACCTTAGCGAGTTTGATGATGAAGTTGTGCGCGTTGGCAGTCTTAGCGGCGGCGATGATCTGCTCGTCGGTGGCGGTCGCGCCGAGGGCGATGTTCTCGCGGATCGTACCCGAGAACAACACCGGCTCTTGACCGACCACGCCTGAGAAACCAGTTTTATTTTATACTAACTTGTCGCCAGCACCCTGGCCCCGGAGAACCGTTTAGTTAGACCAAATATAACATAAGTATATATAAATTCAGACTTAGAATTATCCGTATACCAAATATCATCAAAATTCGTTCAGAACTTTTTGCGTGAAATAGTAATAAACACTTCATATTTATAATATCAGAAGGATATGAAAATTAAAATATCGAGTTCTAGACTTCTGTGTTTTCTAGTTGACCGATCTTTTCCCCGGACTCGAACCGGCCCCCAAACATTTCCGAGATATCTCTGAATCCAGATTAATGCAGCCTCAACTATCATATATAAGGTGGGCTCTAAGGGGAGAGGCGGCATGACCGACCTATGCTGGTCCTGAAGTGGTGCAGGTCGAGCAGTTCGAGGCGGTGGCCGTCCACGAGCAGGTGGCCGGAGTCGGGGCGGTAGAGGCTCTGCAGCAGCTGCAGGAGCGTGGACTTGCCGCAGCCCGACGACCCCACCAGCGCCACCGTCTCCCCCGCGCGCACTGTCAGGGTCAGCCCGCGGAGAACCTACATCGGTCATGTATATTACTCTGCCTGCTCTGTCAATATGCTACTATAAATTGAGAAATTGATATAAAAAGACAAAGCTAACATAGGTCACCTGTTTTCGTGCGTTAGAGCAGTCGTCCGGATTGCGAAAGGTCGTGGGTTCGAATCTCATCTTACAGTACCATGGATAGAGTGGGTTTTTCAAATATAGCTTTGTGAATGCAAATTTGATCAAGTATATGATATAATAATGGAATCAAAATCTTTTTCGTTTTAGAATTATATCTTATCGACCGCATGGTGACCTCGATTATAGGACCGCATTTTTTCTAAAACTAACACAACGCGGAATTACCTTGACGTCAGGCCGCGATGGGTAGTTGAAGTACAGGTTTTCGAAAGTGATGTCTCCTCTGAACTTGTCGGGTTTCAGACCGGTCTGCTCCAGCGCGTTGATCTTGGACTTCCTCTCGAGGAGTTTGAATAGTGATCTGGCGGCACCCCGGGCGGTCGAAAACGTCTCCAAGTGAGGCTGACACATCGCGATGTTCTGTGCCGCCATAAATGTGCAGAACAGGATCTGAACGAAGGAAATTATTAGCAATTAATTTGTTGTCAGCCTCTTTGTATATTTACAGCAGGATATTTAATTATGTAGGTATCGCTTTCGTTTTTATGTCTCGTTATTCATACAATCTATTTGATTATGAGATAATAGTTTTGACTTCAGTCACATTACTTCATTTATCGAAGGTATCACATACAAAAAGTACAAAAGAAATATCTGCTGAGTGATCGATCGAGAAACAAAATCGCATTTAAGTCGTTCAAACGGGAAATTCGTATTCGGTGTTGTGATATTAGGTAAACGTTTGGTATGTACACGTGGATACCGACCGTGAGCATGATCCCCGGATGGTACTGCTGTTGCTCCGGCGGCAGGTCCATGTCGCGCACGCAGAGCACGGCGCCGTACGCGAACACGATGGCGTTGAGCGCGTACGTGAGCAGCCAGCCCAGCCCCGCGCCCGCCCCCGCCCACGCCCCCCGCCGCCGCGCCGCCGCCGCCGCGCCCGACAGCGACGCCCCGTACCTGCCCACCACACACACACACAGCTCGGTTGAAGAGAGGAAACAAAAGGCACCTAGTGTCTCTACAGCGGCCACTTTAATATTTCATCTACCTTTCCAGTTCTTTTTCTTCTCCGGCGTAAGCTCTCACAGTTTTGATCGCGTTGAGCGCTTCTTCCACGACCCGTCCCGCTGAACCGTACGCTTTCACTTCTTCCGCTGACCATTTAGTTTGATACTAGAAGAAACGAAACGACTGACGATCAGTAACAGAGTAAGCTGTAATCGTAACTGGAGACCGTTGACGGTTCATACGTTGATTGTGCGGCACAAATTAGTTATGCTGAGTTTTTGTATGCGCTGTGACGGTACGAACAGCCGAAGGATGGCAAAGAACACCGGCACCCGTAAGTTTGTTGCGGATAAAGGTGGAGGAGGGCACAAGAATATTCGCCAAGATAGTGAGCGAAGAACAAAATGAAGTGACATCGTTATCCATGGACCGAGTTTCTCTTAGAGCATTTCAGGATCTGTTACCTTAGCTACGACGCCGGCGACTATAATAGAGACGGGCACGACCGATAGCCCGGCCAGCGTCAGCTCCCACCCGTACGAGAGCGACAGCGCCGCGCCCAGCGTCACCGTGCCGCACAGGAACGCCGTCATCGCCACGTGCTCACCCACGCCGGATTTCAGTTTGTCCATATCTCTGTTACAACGAGGTTAATTGTTAACGATATACCATATGCCTAGCGTGTTATCAAAATCAAATTCGAGAGGTAGACGGCATGTGTGAATGTATATCTTATTGTCGTACTAAGAGTTGGAATTTATTGGATCCATTAAATGTTCATTAATCGATAGAGCACTATTACTCCAGGCGCACGTTACCTTAATGATGATGACTTGGAATAACCGCTATTATCGGTATCTTCCGTGAATATCGGTTTCCGTGAGTCGACAGTAAAATGTTTTAATAAGCGATTATTATAATGATACTGTCTGATATTAGCTTTAATTTACTCGTATTTATTCGCAACATATAACAATTTTAAGTTGTTAGATAAACAAATTAAATAATGTTTACAAATATAGTATGAAAATAAAATATTATCACAATTCGTCATTAGTCCTATGGATAGAGCCCGAATTCAGGGTATCATTTTAAAAAGTTTTTGATTCTGATTTGACCTTATTGAAATTAATGAAAACATCAATCAACATTCAAGGAAACGAAAGAAATAATAAAGATCGTGCCTTGTGGCGATCAGTTTGTTCGACTACCGGCCAAGAGACAGACGTGAATATTCAGATATATAAAACATAAACTGTAAATATATCAACAATCGAGCGATGCATCAGAAGCATTTCATGATAGCTGCGTTACACCAATCATTCGGTTCCTTTGAAATGAATATAGTAACTATCTTACTCTGTGAGAGCGGATGCGAAGTTCATGTTGGTGTTTGTATCGAAGAAGGCGACCTCCTGTGTGATGACAGCTCGCAGCAGCCGCCATCTTAATCTTGATACCTGACGGGAGAACTCTTGCTTTATTGTTTGTATAATTTATGAACAGATTCTAAAATATATACTAAGATAAAGCGCTGGTGCATGAGATGCACACTGATTTTAAAAGCTCAATTGCTAATAACCAACTACTTTACTTTTGAAGTAAAGTTCTGCAGGATTTTTTTTAGTATGAACATTCACTCATGTAGGTGATTTTCTTGGTTCCTTAGCACTCGAGATTTGAAACAGTTGGCTTCTCAGACCGATAGGTTGTTCATGTTTAATAAAATCGTCAACATACCATTCTGTTGGCGGCCCAGTTGGCCAGTGTTACTGCTATGGCGGCGGTGCTGAGTTGCGCCGCCATTATGGCGACGCTAGCCACACCAAACGCTATTGAATCTTCTACAAGAGCGTCCATGTGGCTAGTGCGGTTACCTTCCGGCCTGCGACAAGAACGAATGACTGAGAAAATGTGCTTAACTAAATATGAACTTTCCTGTGCGAAATTGTATATTTTTGACAAGTGTACCGTATGGTACTTACAATCGTCTCCCTCCGCCGAACAGACTGAGTATGTATATGTGTGGCGTGGTGGGCGTGGCGCGGTGCCTCTGCACGAACAGCGACGTGATCTCGCCGTACGCCACGATGGCGGCGAGCAGCGCGCACGAGCACGCGCACGCGACCGCCGCGCTCGCGCACGTGCTCGCTACCTCCACGGGGGACGCGTACCGCCACTGGCAACACAATACGATATTATGAGTCATGATGTCGCGCGTCACCAGTACACCTACCAAAGTTTTGTATTCGATTCGTCATTTTAATTAAATTATTTTGGGTACACAATTTCATATCACGATTTTTTTTTATATAATGTTATCGTGTCCGTATTTAAATATGTATTTACTGTATATTTTGAGTAGATTTTATGAGAAAATTTATTTTAGTATAATGTGTTTTACGAGCTTTTTTTTTAATAAAAATATGATTTACTTAAAAGAATATGTCCCTCATTCATTGTTTTTTTTTTCATAAGAACAACATGGTTATTACAGGTAGTCATTTAATTTAAATATTAGGTAAGTATGTAGATTAGACAATTATTCATTTATTATATTATTTATATAATAAACGCTCAGTTTCCTGGTTTACTCATAATACTAGTTTGTTTTTGTTTTCAAACGGTTTGGATACCTATACGTATAACAACAATTGTAATTAATGATATAGGAATCGATAAACTCATAATTAAAAATGCTAAAAACATTATCATACATGAAAAAAAAACATTATAAATGAATTTTATGATAAATGATCAAATATTTTATTTAACATTAAATATGATTTATTTAAGTAATTGTCACTCGCGTGAAATACTATTTGTTATAAATAAAAAACCGTAAAGAAAAAAAGAATAAAGAATCAAGTCTTTTAGTCAGACAGAGTTTATTTATTTAGACGGAGTATACTTAATAATGTACATCAATATTATTAGCCCTTCACTAAAGTTTAATAAGTTCTGTTCAGACTATTGTTACCGAACTGCTGTGGCGAATTAAAAAAAGGGTTATAATTGGGGCCGTTATTTAATTTATCACAATTGACAATGTAATTATAGTTGAAAACGTCTTCATCCACAGCTGGTCATAGGCTATGTGACGTCACATTAAATCGCGGGTCACCGGGCGGTGCGGTCAGTGCCACATAGAACGATCGGATATTTCTCTACCTACATCCAGATACTGGCATATAAACGAAATGGTGGACCGTGGAGAAATAGACATTTGTCTAATGGTCTCTATTTACAAAAGAACCACTATATTAAATTTCAACATTTCAAAATGAACTTTTCTATTTTTACTTGATAAGGTTTGAATATGTAACTAATTTATTATTTATATTAGTTTGGAGACGGCACTGGAACATATATTCGAACACAGAGAAATGCTGACTATAATAGATACAAAAGTAACCTACATTAACTATCATAAATCTCAACTAACTATACCAGGAAAGCATAAATCGTGAGGAGTGTAACGCTCCAAGGCCCGATCTCTTGTCACAGTTCGCTGAAACAGGCGTGTCTTATTGTAATCGAACGAATGATAGCGTCGCCAGAGCACCTCTCCCACGGTCTTGACTTTGGACATTTGTGTACATTTGGTTTAAGGTCATGTTTGACTGATAATGAGCACTGGATAATAATTAATCAACACCGACATCGCTGCCACTTTATGAAACAAACCTGCTTTGGCGAGTTCAATTCCCAGCACAAATCTCTAGCAGCAGATTTGCGAACTATAGCTTCGCAAGGCCTATCCAGAAAGACACGATACACAATTTTGGTGTTTTTCTGCATCCTTGTGTCATTTACTATTGCGAGTGGTGAAAAACCATACACGAAATCTATCCACAAGACTAAAATGTCATAAATAGCATACAGATTTGAGCGGGAGACGTTATACATAAAATGGATCAAATGCAAATCCATTCTTACTGGTCTAGCCATTAGTAAAGTATTTGCTGGCTTTTAATTAAAGAACGTTGTACCTAAATACTTCTTCGGGTATGGACACTGGATGTTTATGAACTTCCTTGATGCCAACACTGCGTCGGTCGCACGCTCCTGCCTGATATGACACTCACGGTTATGCGAAATTTGCAAAATGTTTATTGAATTCTACGCGAATTAAGGTCATTTGTGTTTTGTTTAATTGTGTAAGGTCAGATAAGTACAATGATAGATTTCACTTATTTAGGATTACCAAAATAACAATAGTGCATTCAATATAAAGTAGGAACTTGTATTGAAAAAAAATCCCACTAAATACTGTCTAAGAAATTATAATAAAAAACATTTCGCTTATTTGTTTTCTTTTTTTACAAGCTTTTATTAATCTTGAAACTGAAATTCAGCCCACTTGCCAATGTACCATCGTACACTTGAAATTCTGTATAGACATGTAAGTCAGATGAACATGCAATATTAAGGTGTCAGTAAACTGATATGGTGATGGAGCTGGAAGGTGGTCGTAGGAACTTAATGGTGAAATGACGCAAGTGCGTCGTGTTCGGTCTCTTTAGATCCGTCTTTATGTGAACATCTACATATTGAAACAAAAATAAAAATATTTAAAAAAAAGGATTTTTAAAAACAAGCTTTTATTTGTGCTCACTAAAACGTAAAAATATGTGTATTAAGTAAAATTAGTTTAAAAACCCTGTTAAGTGTAATGTAATAAGCTTTTCAAATCAATTATTGTAAGAGAAAATTTTGATTACAAGTACTTTGAATGACCTGAATTTATTTATTTACCTTTTTGTGCGCACAAATAAAAGCTTGTTTTAAAAAACTTTGTCCAAATGTGATCTTCAAAATAGTGGCATGAACTATAATAATTGTTGCAAAGCTAAAAGTCGATAATAACTATAGCGAGAGATCATTAATGATGACAATTAATTGAATCATCTAAAGAAATTGATACTTAAATACTTGGAATGTACACAATTATCTCATTTGGAGTAACTTGGAGCTTATATTTCTTTATATTCATTGACACAGTGGCCACACTTAATCACTCATTGCACTGCTTTTTGTTTAAATTATTCTATGAAAATTCATTACAGAAGCAATGTGCGAAATTTTACCGAATATGTTAAGGATTTTCCTGAGCAATTTTAGCACTATAATTTTCCGCCTTTATTACTCGTATTGAGGCAGCAAAAATATGTCATAAAATTAATAAAGTGTAATCAAATTACTCGAAGCAGCTACGTACGCTCGTGATTTCTGTCTGATATATTTTCGCGGTTCTTCCAAACTTAAACTATATTCAAAACAAAAAACGATACCAGTTCTTTTCCGTCATCCCTCACCCACCCAAGAGTCATGACAAACAATCAGATACCTTTGTTTAACTGTCAAACCGTGACATTACAGAGTGTTTGTTGGTTCTCAGAATTAATTAGTACATAATGACTATTAAATTCTCTGATAGAGTTCACCGAAGTAAGTATATAATCTCGCGGAGGCTTACGGCGAACAGCTCGAAGGTGACTGTGGCGTGTCGGCGGACGCTTTTTCCTTTAATCGTAATAAAGCGATTCTCTAGACATCATTTAATGAAACTAAAGGCGAAACAATTAAATATAGGTCGAGGCTGTACTATTTATATAGATCAAATTTTATTTACTCATTTGCAACAATAATTATATAAATAATTTAATACCAGATTTTTATAGAAACAATTTTACTCCAAGATGTTCGAAATGTTTTTATTCTTATTTACAGTATGCAACTACCCGTTATGTAGATGTTGACGTGAAATTTGTACCTTTTATAAGTCTTTAATAAGTGATTTTATCATTTAAGGACACTATAATTAAACTACAATAAATTACAAATATTAAACTACAATAAACAAAGCAAATTTCCTGGAGTTTGTTAAAGCACCAGGCACCAGGTTTGGATCAGGAAGTCTCGGGCGCATCGTTTTGCCGCCCAATCCGTAAATGTCACGACGATGACGTTACTATTATTAAGATGAACAAAGAAAGGTTAAGATTTTTAAATCAAAAATTAATTGTTAATGCCGATGCGTGTATTAAAGATGAATTGCGAACTGCTAAATATGATCTTTTTATATATATTTATAATTGTTCTTACTACTTCAATTAAGTGTTCAGCGAAAAGTAAAATCAGATAATGTATAATTTGTTTTTTGGATTTCGTACCTCAAAAGTAATAACGGTACCCTCTGTGTGATCGATCTGTACACACTCGTCTATTTATCTGTGTGTCTGTCATAGATTATTTGCTCCCAAACGAGTGAACTGATTTGAGTTGAAAACACTATATCCATAAGTGATGCACAATGGCATGTTAAATGCACATGATCAATTGTTTTTACAGATAATGGTGCAGAAATGGCATTGGCATAATGACAGTATAAGTCATCAATTTTTTATTTCACTAACCTCAAAGAGTTTATGTATAAAGAATTTGCAATTTTAATTACCTTGTTTAAAGAGAACTTTTCTTGTATTATAATAAAATGTATTTTATTAAATCTGTTTGTATAATAAGCGTATTTTATCAAATCTGTTTGAATTTAAAAAACGTCTTTCAATGTAAACTTAAAATTGTTGAACGATTCATGAGTACGGGTTCCTAAATAACTTTATTTGAAGAAACATATTTTTATTATAGCAACAATAACCGCCAAAAGATTAAGTCACGTATTGGCGACGTGTAGGTATATTATTAAAATTTGTGTTAATTTTCCTCAAGCAAAAGTTTCCAGTTGAGCGGGTAATAAAACATTTTCCTCGACTTCTGCACTAGAAAGCTATTCGTGGAGCGCGCCGGCGCCGTAGCGTCAACAAAACATATTTACATGACAAAAAATAACACATATTTCTCCAAATAATCACAATGTAAGTTGCAGCAAATTTTTAATGTGTTGTTAGTGCTTCTAATTCTTTTATCTAGTTTTTTGAATTGTATGTATGAGTTTGCGTTTCTCTTAGGCTCTTTTAATATTTCAGTAGATACGTTTAGACGTATAGACGAAAATATATAAAATAATATTACTATAAACTTCGCCCGCGTACATTTATAGCTCAGCCATATCATCCGCCCGCGTATGTTGTAGCTTCCCGTAGGAAAAGAATTTATAAAAGCGGTCCAGTTGCTTCAGATCCTTTTCAGTGCAAACGATCAAGCGAGTTTTTATAAATGTATAAGAGTTCAATAAATATTTTACATCTATTATTTATGTCATAAAATCACAAATTTGAGGTCATTTCTAACATTCAATATAGTAGAATATATATGTGTTGCAAAATCGGGTACATTAATAATTATGTTCTAGTTTATACTAGATCAATATGATACCGGTTTAGAGAAGATCGAGTCTATGGTATTAAAGTATTTAATGGCGATGGCAAATCCCCGTACTACATTATACGACATGAGCACAAACAAAAAGTAAGCCTGTAACAGTGCGTCGTGAGTGTACGCATCCAAACTTTTTGTCTTTGATCTTTAACATAATTTCTTTTTTATTATTCATTTTCCGTAATTTGAAATTTTAAGTAACGCGATATGCTCTTACTGAATTTCAGTTCGTGAAATATTCTTAGAGCGACAACGCGATGGTCTTTGAAAATTAATAAAATATCAAGCCTAGTCAGCTGTTCCATTTTCCAACCAACTACAAGCATCGAACCCGGCACAGACCTATGATATTTGTCTGTATTGAACGTAAGCACCGAGATGCATTGTGTTAAATGTCACAAATCAACATCAAACCTTTCAATGATCTATTTGGTGCGCTGATTGAGTACATAATGCTAGTGTAGATAACAAACGGTAATAAAGTGGGTTTTACTTTTGTTTTCAGCGTATGATGAGTAATTGTTTCATCTCATGTAGATATAAGGAAATATTTCTTGTAAGTTAATGTTTTGCTTGGTAATTTTGTTACGGCCCACGCACGGTTATATTGCGCACGCGCCGGCCGGTGAGCGCCCGCATCTAGCGTAATTCCCCGCACGCATTCAGCGCATTATATAAAGGTGAGTTTATATGGGGTCAGTAAACGGGACAGTAGCCGGCGTCAGTGTTGGCGCCGAAACTGACCACGCTGCTTACATGGGCTCAGTCATGTAATAATATTCAAGGTAAAGTCTTCACGATTCAACGGACAATAAGTCAGCACTGAGTGGTCTCGATTTCTGAGTCAGTTAATGACTTCGTTTAAACACGGTTTAACACTACCAGTGTTGTTATTATTAATAAACAAGGTTTAGCGTACTTCACTTAGTCAAAATTCATATTATTAGACAGAGACTTGGCAAAGGTTAACCTAGTGCGAGGTTCTACGGGAGTAATACTTACTGTTAGAAGATGGTGGGTTTGCTTATTCTCTGTATAATATGAATAATACTAACTACGGATTAATACTTATATTGCAATTTTAGCGTAAATTGTCTTTGACGCTAAACCTTGTTTATTGATAGAGACTAGGAACCGTTCTGGTCAGTCTGTCTGGGGGATGGGATGTTATATTACATTTTGAAGTTAAGTTTACTAAAGTTACTAATGGTCTTTCAATTAAATCTTTTATTTGTATGTAGTTTGAAAATTTAATTATTTGTAAAAGTACTCGTATTTCTTTCGGCTGTTTGGGTGGATTACCTGAGTATTAATGAAAATACGCTCTGTAGAAGCGAAAAATAATAGGTGCTTGAAAAATTCGTCAGTCTTGATAGGTCCTGGGTAGTCGCCCGGATGGCGAAAGATAATGGGTTCGAGTCCCATCTCGGAGTGCCAGGGATATAGTGGAATTTTGAAAC